GAAGCAAGGTGGTTTTCTGGTTTGGGCAAATTGCCAAAAAGCTTTTTCATAATTTAGAGTTCACTCAAAAGAATCTAACTCTTGGTACACCTGAGAGGGTATGTACATTGTAACAATCATTAAAGCCTGGTTCCCACTTAAGTTATGCACGTTTATAATTAGCGTAAGCCCGAGCACAAGCATGAGGTTGCTTACAGCTCAAATGTATGCAAGCCTAAGAAAAGGCCAGGGATCAGGTTTTCCCTTGCTATGTACTTTTGTTCACGTTGTGCATGTGAAAACAAAATGCTGCTCAAGTGTATGCAGCGTGTTGGGCAATCTGTCATGCTTGGCCAATTGATATTATGCCATAAACACCTGAACCACCAGTAACCACCCATGTAGATCCTCATCTGTTGACACACCACTTGTGAGGTAATTATTTTTAGTAGTATAGTAGGGATGAAATTAGCCTTTTCTGCACATGAATCTCATTAACTAGCACAGGGAAACATTGATGCCAATGACCTCATGGCCTTTTGTGGATAGGTGTGTGAGGATAGGTGGTTTAACTCATTGAAAGGGTCTTCCAGTTATTTCTAGGCAAGCCAGTAATTGTCTTACTTTTTCATTGGTTGACTAAAAAACAAGAAAAGTATCCATTTTTTATCACCTTGTTATAGGAATAAGTACTAACTTGCCTGTGACTTAAAATCACTGAGTCGTAACGTAAATTAACGTTGCAAGCAATCCTTTATTAGTAATAATTTCAGTTTCCTAAGTATTGTAGTTCTTTATCGTTAAAACGTTTCTTTGTTCTCACTGTCAAGCAAGCAAGTTCTCTAGAGCTCCTAAGTAAGTGTTTTATCTATAAACAAGTTACCAAAAATTTACAATTGCATGGGTGCATTTAAGAGAGTCCAGACCCCTGAATCTGTCACTGATTTTCCGTATGATGAGGTTCTCCTGTTATTTTATGGTTACACTCAACAATATATTCTATTCTGACATGAGATTTCCTAAGGAAGGTCTTTTGCACATTCTTCGAACAGATAAATGGAAATATTCTCTGTCCCGATGCTTTGAAACATTTATTTGATAAATGCTGTGCAAAACTTGCGAAGAAAAGGCCTAAGTTGTCTGATGTTGCCAAAACTCTTGAGGTGAGAGTAGTTTACTTTGGAGCATGTATTTAGTGGCATTTACCCTTTTCTTTCCTGCCAATCCATTTATTAATTTGGATCAATTTGGTCAGTCATAAAATTGGACATTGTAATCTTTAAAATAACTCAAGTGGTTGCCAATCAGAGACAAAAATGCTATTTGCAATAGGCATGCTCTAGATTATGTTGATGATATCTCAAAGACTATGCAGGTCTATATGTGAGGTCAACCGGTACGTCTATAAAATAATGTCCAATTAATGTCTTAAATTCAAAAGAGAAACTTAAGGAGGCAAAACCTTCAATGTCACTAGTGCAAGATTGTGGAATCGTATTCCTGTAGAAATAAGGGAATAGAAATTGTTAGTTCTTTTAAGCCCGGGGGGGACTCCGCATATAAAAGGGGTGGGGATGCTCTTCGTCTCGCTTAGGGGTGAAAATTTCGGATTTTGGTCTCATTTAGGGTGTTCTGGGCAAAACGCCATCATATTTAGCCCGTGAAGGTCTCGTTTAGGGTTGCACACGAAAAAATATAAAAATATATATTTGATATATATTTTTTTAATTCGTTTTATTTACTCCATTCATATAATCCAGGTTTTCTCATTTGTCTGTGTTTTAACATGGTCTCTTTTAAGGGTCAAAAAAAGCTTGGGCCACGCCCAGATCGGTCTCCTTTAGGGGTTTAATTCAAAATTTCCAACGAGCATCCCCACCCCTTTCATATTCGGAGTCCCCCCGGGCTTTTAAGACTGTATTTTGTATTAGTTTTTGCACAAATATATGAAATTGATTATTCATCTACAGTCATGTAGTTTTCATATTGTTTAGTATTTAATATTTAAACCTTAGTAGTATTATGCTGTTAGTAATAACCTGAAATGTTTGCTAATGAAATTTTAACTATGTTCTCGGCAGGATTTTACACTTCCTAAACTTCTTGTTACTTCAGACTTCAAAGGGCAATCTCCATCTCAACTTACCTGCAAAAAGGGTGAAATTATCTTGCTGATCTCCAAGACAGTTCAAGGGTACGTCACTCATACTGACTGTTAACCATTAATATCATTATCTAAATCAAGACTTTGGAAGGTACTCATTAGTGAGCTATCAAGCCATCTGGGAGCTGGTCACTTGTGAGTTCAGGATGTAACCCTTGAGGATGGAAGTACGAAAGTGAATAGTAATGTGACATTTTTACTATTTGAACTGCGGGAAAAACATTTAACTTGTGAAAGATCATTGTAGTTTAGTAAAAAAGCAGTTGTGGAAAGAAAGCCGACAGTTCTACTTCATATAGATAAAATTCGAACTCTTACTGCCTCATGCACAAGACAAAAGCGAAAAATGCCACTGAAACTTAAAATTTAAACAAACACCACTTACTTGAAAGCTGTAGTACCTGTTAGTAGACTGTCTAATGCTTCATGGTTTAAACCTTTTTTTGGAGCAGGAAAAAGAGAGAAACTGGAAAACTATGGTTTGGAGAAAAGAAAAATGGTTACTTTGGTTTATTTGATCCCTCAAATACTGAAAATTATGCTGGTGAGAACTTGGAATGTCTTGTGTTCTTTCACTTAGTACAGTAGACTGTAAAACGTTTTAGGGCCTTCTCTGGGACCCGTTTCTCGGAAGGCCCGGTAAATTTTCGGACACGAAGGCAAATTTCAAATTTTAAAATGAAAAACTGTTGAATTAGTAGCACAGTTCCTAGCTCACAAACCAGTCAATTCAGCTTCGTTAATTCAAAATTTTGAAGGTTTAATCTTGAATGCAAAATGGCAAACATAAAACAGCTTTCCGGGTCCGAAGAGGTATCGGGACTTTCGAGAAACGGGCCAAACAGGTTGATCCAGGCATGAGTTCGTGAGGTCTGTACTTAACACTAAGTGTCAGCACAAAGGCATCATTACAATGCTGGATTACTTTTACCAGGGTTGTCACTAAGATTTCAAGTTGCCGGGTAAATACAACAAGTAGGCGGGTAAATACAATAAGTAGGCGGGGAATCAAACGGCTAGGGATTTATTTTGGTTCTATTTTTCTCCAATAAAAGTAGCCGGGGAAAATCCCCGGCCCCCGGCTCTTAATGACAACCCTGTTTTACATTTAAATAACTTTAGCTCAGTCTACAGTTGCTTGACACACAAGAAAAATGCTAGCTTTCTTTAACAAAAATGATTGTTTTATTATTCTTTAAATCATGTATGCGTACCTCTGTGCTTGGCCTCAATGAAAAGTTTCCGTCTTAAAACATCTGCCTTTTCCTTGACACTTTCAGGATATTCTTCATTTAGCAGTTGTTATCCGTCGAGTGATATTTTTGTCTTTTGTTACTATAATCTTGAGACAGCAGTTCGGCTATTTCGTCTTCGCATAACGTGTGAAATCTTCCGCCATTTTCTGTGTACTGCCAAAACAGTTCAGAGTCACCGGGCTGCTTTTTTGCGCGGTGCCTGTGCTTCCCTTTTTCAGTTGATGGCCACGATTGACGAAAATCGTGAATTAACGGCACATTTCGTCCAACTTTGTCCAATGCTAGTTGGTTTCGAAGAATTAGCCGTGGGATTTAAGCCAATCAGAAGCGGAGACAAAACAAATGGTCTCACTATCAATCCCTGCGCCTTGGACGTGTCATCTTTGTTAGGGTTCACCCCTTTCCAATTATCTAAAACTACTGCTGCAGCCTAGTACTACTTTGCTTTGTTAAGACAGGACTTTAAATGCATACGTTCAACAGATTTGTCATTTATTGGTGCGGCCGACTCGCCTGAACGCGCTTCCCTCCCCCTCCGCCCCCCACCCCCAAATTTTGCATAACTATTGTTTCCAATTTCTCCGGGGTGTAACAGTCGTCCCAAGAGAAATCGAAGACAATGGTTGTGGATTTCTTTTTTGGGAGGGGGGGGGGGGGGGGAGTGGTAAACAAGGTGCGTTATGGCCTATGTGAAATGGTGAATAAGGGAGCTTGCAGAGTGACTAGATATCGATAATAATGACCTTTAAGAGCGAAACCTATGACTGTTTTATCCTAAGAGTTTAGGAAGGTCCCCATGGAGCTTGTCGTTTGAAATGCTGCTCCCAACTAAAGACACTAAAGCCAAATTCATCCGGGTGTATGTGCAGTTACCGTGTCATGGCCGTAGCGAGTGTCATTCTTTTACACTCATAAAGTAGAACAGTCATTTCGCCCCTATAATTAAGGAACTTCCGAGGTCAGTATGTTTGTCCTCCATTGACAGGATTGTGTGTATTTAAATATTCATATGTGATTTTGTTCTATGAAGCTGGAGCAGACGACAACAGCTGGGATACAGCAAATACAGATGAGGAGGAAGAAACTGCCTCTGTGTCAACAGAAACAGAATCAGAACAAGATTCAACAGGTATAAAATCAGTACTTAGACTTTCTACTTAGCAGTTCCTCCATCTTCTCAGGAAAGTGCTGAGTAGAAGGACTGGAAGGTGTTTGGAGACTGAATAATTAAACCCGGTCGAGACTTCCGCTCTATTGCAACACTAGTAGTATAGTGGGGACCGAATTATCCTTTGTTTTGCGCCGAAATCTCGTTAACGGATAGTTCAGGTCCCTAATATACTACTAACACCTTTCTCATTTAACAAATTAGCCATTACAGACGTCAGTCTTACAAGCCGATCTACTTGATGATTAACAGTGGTACATTACTGGTTTCTGAGGGAATTCGTGGGTTGTTGGTGGTTCTCGTCCTCGCTCCGGGAAGTTTCTCTCCCGCTGCAAAAGTTTTCCCCTCACCTTAGGGATATACTATACCATATATCTTCAGATCAGGTATATGGTAGAAAAAGAGCCAGACAGTGGATCTGCTGTCACTAAATCATTATTGACTTTTTATACTCAACTTTGGAATTAACGTGTCCCTTTAAATGTCCTTTTGATTTTCTCTATTAGTTCCCCCAGAGATTCAAGCTCGTGGAATCGAGGCTGAGCATGCTTTTCAGCGAGCCTTGAAAAAAGGCAAAGTTAGGGTGTATCGCGGGCGCGTTATGTTGATTGGACAAAACAGAGCGGGAAAAACGAGTTTAAAGAAGTCACTTCTAGGAATTTCCTTTGATCCCGGTGAGCCAAGCACCGACGGAATAGAAGTAGATCCATCGAAATTTGAGGTGGACGTGGACAGAGTCATGAACTGGCAGCTTGTTAAGAACGAGAAGTTTACTTCTGAGTTTGCCGATGATATTGCCAGGCTTGTTGTGGGAGAGTTACAAAAGCCTGAGGATCAAGAGGAAAAGCCAGCCTCGATTACTGTAACAGAGACTATGCAATGTGATGTCACTCAAGGAGCGGCAGTCGTACCACAGGCTAACCAGCAGGTATAGTTTAAGAAAATAGTTGCTGTAGGTTAGATATTAAAATTAAGGTGTGCAAAAGTAAAGGAGCAAACGGGGTGTGACTTTCTTCTTGTGGAGCAAGATGTTTTAAGGTGGCTCGACTGGATTTTTTTTAGGGCGATACCTCCCAAGTTTGAGCCTTAACTACGTCGGCATGAGTAAAGATATCGAAAAAAGGTTACCACAACTGTATTACATAAAGATGAAAGTTTCTTATGATCTGGGTTTTATTGCAATCGGAGTCGCCATGGCAACGTAATGACGCCATTACGTTTTTCCTTTATCCTTGTGTTTCTCTGTACCAGGAGTTTTTTGAAGAAATCGCTTAAGGGAGTATGTACCTGCCATAATTGCCTCCATTATGGCAAAGTTTGAAGAAATTCTATGAGAGCGTTTTCGAAATACTGTGAAAGGTAGTTTTAAGAATCATAAAAACAGTGAAATAGCATGCTAGCCGCTCAATTCGCCTATATATTAAGAAAATGATAAGCTTTGGGAACGCGGCTTCATCTCATAGTGGTTTGATTCCATTGAAAACTGCATACAAAAAGAGAGGGGAATTGCTCTGGGCGATCGCGAGTAAGAAGGATTTTATTAACTTGCATTCAGCTGCTTTTGATACAGTTTTTGGAGGTAATTTGGTCCATGCCTAAAAATGTCGCATTTTTCCAAAAACTGCTCGATAAATTTTTTTACAAATTCGATAATTCCGAGATCAATCGTCAAGAAATATTCCCTGCAAGTTTTAAGAACATTGAAAACAGGGAAGGCTTTTAAATAGGGCCTCAAATATAGCCAATTTTCCCCCCAGATTTAGTGTTTACGAGCGAGCCTCCTCATTATTCACTGGCATTGTTTTCAAGTTTCATATACACGTGCACATTTAGCAAAAAGATAGAATTTGCATCAAAAAGGACCCTCAGTTAAATCTCTGGGATATGCTAATTACCGGGTAAAGAGGTTAGTGACACATTATAACATCAGGGCAACTCTTTGTGAGAGTTTCTGTGATGTTATAACCCGAGTAAGATAATTAAGTATTGCATCCTACACGATGAGCCGTGACGTTCACCGTTTCGGCTCTCACTGCTATCTGTGACGACAAGCCAATTATTAGCATATACCGGATATTTCTTCGGAAAGTAATCGAGAGTTCTTTTTGATGCAAATTTATATTTTTTGCTAGTTGTGCACGTGCATATGAAACTTGAAAACAATGCCAGTGAATAATGAGGATGCTCACTTGTAAACACAAAATCTGGGGGGAAAATTGCTTATGTTTGAGTCCCTACTTAAAAGCCTTCCCTGTTTTCAATATCCTTGAAACTTGCAGGGAATATTTCTCGACGATTGATCTCGGGATTGTCGAATTTATAAAAAAATTTATCGAGCGGTTTTTGGAAAAATGCGAAATTCTTAGGCATGGACCAAATTACCTTCAAAAACTGTATCAAAAGCAGCTGAATGCAAGTTAATAAAATTCTTCTTACTCGCGATCGCCCAGAGCAATTCCCCTCTTTTTTTGTATGCAGTTTTCAATGGAATCAAACCACTATGAGACGAAGCCGCGTTCCCAAAGCTTATCATTTTCTTAATATATTAGCGACTTGAGCGGCTGGCATGCTATTTCACTGCTTTGATGATTCTTAAAACTGCATTTCGAAATATTTCGAAAACGTTCCCATAGAATTTCTTCAAAGTTTGCCATAATGGACGCAATTATGGCAGGTACATACTCCCTTAAGCGATTTCTTCAAAAAACTCCTGGTACAGAGAAACACAAGGATAAATGGCGTCATTACGTTGCCATGGCGACTCCGATTGCAATAAAACCCAGATCATAAGAAATTTTCATCTTTATGTAATACAGTTGTGGTAACCTTTTTTCGATATCTTTACTCATGCCGACGTAGTTAATGCTCAAACTTGGGAGGTATCGCCCTAAAAAAATCCAGTCGAGCCACCTTAAAAAACATCAGTTTTCATTTGACTTTCAATACCTGAATCCTGCAGTGTCGTGTCAGACAGTACTAAAACAGGCTACGAAACAGGCAACAAAAACGTTCAACTGTCTTGTTGTGCAAAGCAAGTGGAAAAGCGTTGTTGCCCGTTTCACCACCCAAGAATTAACACTATCTTGCAGCAAATAAACTTGTTGTAGGTTGCAAAAAGGTGTTGCACAAAGGTTATTACATCCGCCCTTTTATCTTGCCCACAGAAACTAGATTAAAAATGAACATTACTTCTCGCAGGTTCCTTTGAGGTCCTCTCTGCCAAAATCCATTCTTTCTCACTGATGTATTTTTCGCTTACAACTCCAGGTGGTTTCTGTACCCATACCAATGGATGAGCCTGCGGAGTCCTCGACGGATCTACTACCAGATGATATCCCTGATCTACTTCCTGATCCAGAGTTTCATTTAGAAATCGATACCTCGGGGGGTGTCCCAGAGGACGTCAAGGTCCTGGTGGCTAAATACCTACAGAGACAGCAGAGTGTACAAGAGACAAGCGACAGGGAGACTGTGGTGACAATGTGGGACTTTGCGGGCCAACATCTTTACTACGCCTCGCATCCCGTGTTTTTGTCACCGCGAGCAATTTACGTGTTAGTTTATAACATGAGCAAGGACCTCAGCGCTAAAATGGAGCCTTGTGTTCGTCAGGGGGTGCATGACTTTATTCCCTACTCGAGTGGGGACGAAACAAACTTGGACAGCATTCTGTCCTGGCTTGTTTCGGTTCACAATCTAAGCCCCAATGGAGAAGCGAAAGATGAGGAAATGCCATATTTGAGGCCCCCGGTGATCATTGTGGGTACTCATGCAGACAAATCATTTGAGGACCCCCAGCAAATGGAGAGCAAGATCAAAAGAAACCTGTCTGGTAAAACATATGAACAGCACGTCCGACGACCCTTTTACTGCGTGGACAACACGCACGCTGCAGAGGATGACGGTGTTACAAAGCTTCGCCAGGAAATAAGAGAGGTAAATCGGCACTTTTTTTATCTACTACTTCTCCTTCATCTGTCTTACTCTGTTACAAAAGAATTACAGAATTCTTTTTTGGCCCTTCAGGCAAAGCTTTGTGGCGCTACGTTTTTTGAGAAAGCATGATGATTTATAGCTCTAAACTGGCGAACTTGACGACTGGTGTAGGCATATGTTGATCTATTGAGCTAGCGGGGCTTCTTTTGTGCGAAGTTGTTCTCGCCCCTGGTATTTCGCTTAGTTGGCTTGTTAATGCCAGAAGCGCAAACATCCTCGTGCATTCTAAAAACCTAACCAGAAATAATCGCTCTGCTAGGAGGGTAATGTTGAACACGTGAACATTGCCCAGATATTGTGTAAAGATTTCCAGCACAACATCAGCCGTACTGATCAGGAAAAATCGAAATTTAAAGGGTTATACGATCACGTAACAGGTCTCGATGTGACAGTATTACTTTGTCACGTTTAGTGGTGGATGGTTTTTCAAATATTTCATTTTATCATCTCAGGTTTTGCGACTGGAGCCATATATGGGAGAGGATGTACCTGTTCGCTGGTTCAACTTTGAGAAAGTCGTTGAAGCTCTAGTTCAACAGAAGATATTTTACTTAAAAGTTTCCCAGCTGTACAACATTGTACGAAAGAAGTGTTACATCGAGGATGAGGCTGAGATGGTTGCCATGTTGGATTTTTACCATGACCTTGGTATAATCATCTGGCACGGTGATACTGTGGTGCTACAGACACAGTGGTTGATTCATTTGTTTAAGAAGCTCATCACTATTCGACCTTTTGACGAACAGGTATTGCCTGCGAGGTGACATTTGATATCGCGTCGTTATTGGTGTCTGATATTGCCTTCACGAACCAAGTTATTGGGCTTAATTTACTGATTCTTTGGACTTCAGAAAAGAACTGGTAGCCCTATTTTGAAGTTTCAAATCGTTCTTTCCAGGCAAAGGTTTTGGTGACTCCACAACGATCAAGATTTTAATTTATGCATGTATATTGTTTGTTTGTTTGTTTTTTGCTTTAGAATCCACGCCACGCAGCAGCCTGGAGCCGACTGGAGGAAACTGGCCTTTTGAGCATGCGTTTAGTAGACCACGTGTTTGCAGAGTTCCTGTGCGATGGCCAATCACAGACCGACATTTTATGCATGATGGAAATGTACGGATTGATCGCAAAATTTACGCCCGAAGACTCTAAAAAAGCTCCTACACCGGCAGCTGTGAAATACTTTGTACCAGCGCAACTTTGCTCGTGTCCGGTGACCGATCTCGACACCAGTCCCACTGACATCTGTCCCCTGTTCATCAACTTCTCTGATGGTTTTCTCCCTCAAGGGCTGTTTCCTCAGCTTGTTTCTCGCTTCATCTCAGCCTGCCCCACACTCGGCTGCAGAGACGAACCAAACTTGTTTCAAAACTTAGTCAGGTTCATTTTGGGCGAGAGTGACCTGTTCTTGATTTGCAAGCAATCATACGTCAAGGTGATTCTTCAGAACAAAGAACAAGATGTTGGTCTGGCCTCGCAGGTTCGAGAGCTTCTGGAATCGATTTTGTGCAGTTTGTCACGTGACTTTGCATGCCTGCGTAACATGCGTTTCCAATTTTGCGTGACATGCCCGTCGTGTTGTGACTCGAACAAAGTGTGCACGAAACACAAAGTACAATCTTGCGCATTCATCGACTGCATCCATTTTCTGCCCATTTCAGACGACGGAAAACTGATTTGTAAAAGGACGTTTGGTGCTCGTTCGTGTGTGACAATTTCTGGCTTGGAGGAGTGGCGTGGTTTTTCCAAAAAGGTAATTGTTTTAATGACATACCAAATAATCTTAGGAAATGCGTCGAAACGGGTGAAGGAAAAAGGGAGAAGGGACTGGAGAGAGAGGAAAAGGCACATCCCCCCATTTTTTTCACTTTTGCGTTCTTTACCTTTTATCCTTTCTTATTTTCGTGGGCCACGCAGGAAATAAAAAAATGAAATTCAGGGTTTAATTCAGGGTCCGGTCCAGAAACTTAACAACTTCGTAACGCCATACTGAGGCAAAAATTACGGAAGATAAAAACGAAACCACTATGTGGCCCTCCTGGGCTTCCGTAAAAAAGAATATACAATATTCTTTTCTGTTCCTGACGAAAATTTGCGATAAGGGTAGGTATTTGAGTCCCTATTGTCTTTGATACCTATCGGTCAGAATTTCATTTCAGAGGCAGGTGACTTTAATAGGCTCCAGTTTTCCTTCAGAAATTAAGGTCCTTTCGCGCAAATAGTTCCGGATAGAATGGAACGGAAGAATTCTGTCTCGTAACCTTTGAAGAGATATATTTTTTTTGTCTTTCCTAGGCAAACGATCTAGATCTTCTAGATGCTGCGAAACACGAAAAAAGTGGAGGTGAGTTTAGTATCAGGTTAACTAATATTTCACTTTTTTCGCATCCGCAATGCATGAATCATCGCTTGATTTTTGTGAAAGGGACCAAAGGGAGTTGTTGCGTGTTCTCAGGCTAAAACTTGGAGGTATATCCACCAAATCACACCAGGTTACATGTCTCGGATAATGGCTTAAAAGAATGATTTAGGTAAAAGGCAAAACCATGTTCGTTGTAGAGCATATCCGTCGGATCTTAAAAGAGCTACTGACCGGCCGACCCTCATGAGTGCTTCAATATTACCCAGACGGGGACGAAACCCCTCATTTACACAGGTGTCTCTGTCCTATGTACATTTAACGTGTAACGTTTACGACTCACTTTCGGCTCTATGGGAGGTTTTGCATGTGCTCTCTCTATCCGAGATAATCCTCTCAGCATATTTATATCCTTTCTACAGAAAACATGAATATCACTTTAGAGCCCGCGGTCCCTCCAGAGGTGTTCATCTCGTACCAATGGGATCATCAGGACACGGTCAAGTTACTGAAGAACAAACTTGAGGAGGCCGGGTTCCATTGCTGGTTGGACATTGGTCGGATGGGTGGAGGGGACTCCTTGTACGCCGAGATTGATGCTGGAATCAGAGCTTCAAAGGTTAGTAGTTGCCTAGTAACGTAATTCGCCACTTTAGAAAAAAAAGGGAGCTGGACCGAGTTAACTGTCGCAAAAATTTCTGGGATCGTTACTGGGGACGCTCCGGTCAGCTATTGGCTAATTTTTTTTCCTGCCCCCAGTCCAGCCATCTGTTTTAATTTTCAGTAGGAAAGGTTCTTCTCTGGGATGTACTTTGCTCTTGAAACTGATTTTGTCGAATTGAGGTAACGAAGATAATTTCACCCCTCCCGTAATTATCTCGATGATGTGGCTCGCTGTATAATCGGTAATTTAATTCATATATTCATCATTTCATTTCCTGTTATAAGTTACGCTCCAGTATAATGACCAGCTTCCAGTTGGCTTGTTAGCTCAATTGGTTGGAGCGCTCCACCGGTATCACCGAGGTCCAGGGTTCGAATCCCGGAAAGCCTGATTTTTTTCAGGCTTTCCTTTAGCAAGTAAAACGTTGCATCTCCTTCTCTTCATTTATTTCTTCATCCCTCGGTTCAGATGTATGAAATTCATTATTATTCCTCATTTCAGTTATATTCATGTCCCTTAATAGCAAACCTCAGAGGGAATTTAGTTTACAAGGCCCTGATTTGCATATTTTCCTGATTTTGCATATTTACTACTACTTTTGAAATGTTTTTTTTAACAGGTCGTAATTTGCTGTGTAACAAGACGCTATTGCAAATCTGAAATGTGCCAGAGGGAAGTGACATTGGCTGACAACTTAAGGAAGCCAATCATACCCTTGTTATTCGAGTTCATCGACTGGCCGCCTGCAGGACAACTGGCCTTAATTTTTACCAAGCTGCTGTATATAGATATGTCCCTTACACCTGGTAACTTTCCAGACAACAAGTTACAAGAGCTGTTTCTTAAAGTTAGAAACTACGTTGAACCTCGATGATTCCAACGAACTGTTGCCTTCGTTACTTTCTGAAAGTGTAACTTTCTCAGAGGTCTCATCCCTTCGCATTTATTGCCCGACTTTGGGAAAACCGTCATTGAACTCTTTTAACTAATATATAAGAATTTAAGAAAAAGTAGAACTAGTTAAAGAGGTATTTTTCAGCCGATATATCAAAGATAAGACAGAAAGAAATTGACAAGACGCGTGTAGCAGGTCAATATAAATTCGATGGGCCCGTTCAAAAGTCACGTTGAGTTTTCAAGCCTGAAGTAAGGTTAGCCTTCCTCCTGGGCCTTCTCAATTTGACTATGTCAGTCATTTTGACTAGGTCAGTTTCTCAAAGAAATAGCCCATCAGTACTTCCTTCTCACCACTCGCGTGATGGCCGAGTGGAAATATGCGTCCATGTTTTCATTTTACATTTTTTGAAAGATGCAGAAATTGTGAAATAGTAAATTTCATATCCTTAAGTGAAAGTAATGCATTGGTGAGCAAATATCCGCCAAGTATCCCACACGTGTCAACTCGATCGTGCCCGTGAGGCTTGCTTGTAAATAAGCCCATAATGAAAATGATCGGAAGCAAAACTATTCTGTGATCTCTGTTCATTTTTTGTACCTTATTTGACCAGCCTCCAAATTGACGTACCTTTTTAGAGGGTCGTCTCTGAAGTTCTAGAGACGCGTTTGGTGTCTGCATTATGTCCAGAAATATAATATCACTAGCCCCGCCCTGTTTCAGGCTCTCAGAAAGTGGGAACGGATAAGTAAACAGGGGAAAAAAACGGTGTATGCGGGGAAAAGACATTTCGCACCCCTCTCCACTATCTAAACGCCATGAACAGACCATGTATCGCTGGTACTCATTTACTAGCTAAAGATCGAGAGAGAGTGGAGAAGTGTCTTTTCTAAGGAAAAAGGCGCTGGCAAGGCTGCAACTAGGAGTAACAGACCTGAAATACTAGACCACCATGCCTCCGCCCTTGCGGTGAAATAACAAGTCCATGGGGGAGAAGTGCTACCAGGTCAAGATCCGGCCGTATGGGCCTTATTAGCCTGCCTTCCCTTCCTCCCTATCCCCTATCCCCTATCCCCTATCCCCTATCCCCTACCCCCTACCCCCTACCCCTTACGGGAGTTTATGAACGAGTTTGTCTTATCAATTCCAAAAGAATAAGAAAGAAAAATAGAATAAAATGGAAATTCGAAATGGATTTCAAGAAGTCTTTTTATTAGTGTTTTAATCTAAGAAATGATGACTTAGTTTCTGCCTATGCCAGGTCTGAAAACGGGTTTTAGAGGCGTTGAGCCCGTTTCTCGAAAGGCCCGTAAACTTTTCTGGCCCGAAGGCAAATTTTGAAAGCAAAACCTGTTGAACACAGCCCCTAGCAAACAAACCGGTCAATCTTGCTTCGTTAACTGATAGTTTTATTGGATCAGTTTACAGAGCAAAAAGCGCTGAACAAATAGCTCGAAAAAGACGTCGTTTGGTACATCAAACTTTACATGTTTCATTTATAATCATTACTCTCATTCTATTATTTATTAGGGACCTTAAGATCCGACGACGGCGACGGCTACGGGAGCGCCACAAAAGCAAACGGTTTAATTAGCAAAACAACAATTTTGCACATGCATCACGCTTTTTTGTACGTTTCTTTGCCGTCACTGCACGACTACGACGTGAAAATGCTTAATGAGGAAGTACATAAGCGACGACGAGATTTCCTCTCTCTTTCTGGATCTTTCTGAACTTGGATATGGTTCTTAGGAATTCAACTTTAGGAGGGGTCGCTTACATTTGACAAAGTTAGTGACTTAGAGTAATTGCGATGAAGATTGAAAGAACGCGAATTCACTTTTTCAGCGACCTTTTCACTGCCTTCACCGTCCCCAGATCTTAAGGTCCCTAATTATAATATTCCGTGTTGTGGACGGGAGTGTAAACTAGATCTTTTAATAGTCTAGAGTAAAAAAACCTTATTTATTTTAAGCTTGCAATGTTTACCACTGCTGTTTGCGTTTTACACTCAACTCTCTCTAAGGCGGACATCTTTGGGACCGGCAATAAGTGTCCGTCTGAGAGATGTGTCCGTCTTATAGAGAGTCAAATAAAAGGAGTAAAGAAAGGGCAGGGGCCAAAGTTACCGGCACTTTCGAGAATCAGGCCCCTGGTCTGATAACGGGTGTGGAAAATGGCTGTTTTTTGTGGAGGGTCAGGATTTTGAGAACCGGGCGGCACAACTCCAACAAAAATTCCCAAGAGTTCCCTCTATCGCAACCCCTATCCCAGTGCCGTATACATTTACCCCTCAAGATGGGATCCATGTGCACATTCTCGGCCCAGTTTTTTCTCGACCCAGGTGTAGAATGCGGGTCTTCTGCTTCAGATTGCATCAGCTGAAGTTCTTACCGGCAGTCTTTAGGTTTCCAAGGTATTTCTCCGTCTCTCCTCTGAAAATGGTGCTTGATCTGGACTTATACAGGGCTGATAAAGGTGGTGACCCGGAAAAAATCCGAGAAAATCAGAGCAAACGCTACAAGGATACGACACTAGTCGACCAAATTGTTGAAGCAGATACGAAATGGAGAAAGTGTGAGTTAGGACTACAATGTAGAACTTATTTAGTTTGTCTGTTGATGTTAATTTACTTACCGAACCATATAATTTTTCCTTTCATCAGTGAGGTTCTCGGCGGATAACTGGAACAAATTAAAGAATTTATGCAGTAAACAGATTGGTGAAAAAATGAAGGTATTATACTTCGCTCTTTTTTCTCGAACTCATTCTCCAAATGGGTTGTATAGGTTATCCACGTGTGAAGTTTAAACTGGTCAGTCAAATAGCAGATAGTGATTTCTTCCATCTTTGACAGTTGAAAGCTTCAATGGCCTTATTTGAAACTTGCGTCATCTCACTATGAGGATCAGTGATTATTTGTTGTTAGAATTACATTCATCAGCTGTGGCAGCCACACAAAATAGTTATTGTTTTTAATGAGTACAATCGTACATGAAGTAGTTTACTAAATGCATCTTTTCCTTTGCAGTGAGAATGCATTGTCTTAATTTTTTCCGTTTTGCCTGTCTCTGATTATGTTCAGGTTAATTTAATCTTATTCCAGAAACATCTCCTGACATTGCGTTTTTTGTTTCATGTAAAATGGTGAATTGTAGGGTGCTAAGTAATGGTAACAGGACTGAGTGGAGTCCAATTCGGTCTGTAATCATATGAGTGATTAACAAAATCAGACGACCGCGTAGCGGGAGTCCGATTTGCTTAATCACGAGTATGATTACAGACCGAATTTTACGACACGAAGTTCTGTTACCAATTAATCATAACTTTAACAAAATTTGTGATTTATAGGACTCTTTTTAAATCAAAACACAAGAAATTCCAAGATTTTTTCGCTAGCAATGAATAAAAAAAAGCCATTTAAGCACGCGCGTGATGGTGCGTACTGTCCAATTACTGAGGCATGACGCGTACTGTCCTATTAAATTGTCCTATTAAGGCTGAAATCAGGGCAGTTGAGAACCAATCAGATTTGAGAATTTTGTTATAGTTATGATTAATGTGGTAATAACTAAGTTTGAAAGGAGGTTATTATCCATTTTCTAAAAACGTATGGGTATTTCAGTCTTTCTTTCCCATTTCACAGATCTTGTAGACTATTTTTCTTCTAATAGCTTGGACTCTCTTGTTTAAAGATTGAACATGTTAGTTGTTTTGGGGTGAGGGGAGGTGTTTTAGCAGACAAGTAGTTATCATTTTCGTTGTTTATTATTGTTTGCAGCGCAAAGAACCAGTTGGTGACAGTGAAGAATTGCCTGAAAATGTGGTCAATGGCTTGGAGGAACTTACCCCAGATATATTACAGGTACAGCCCTCAAGGTGCATGTTGCATGGTGCATGTTGCATGCTTCATGTACACTCGCGTAAGAAACTGTCTGGACTAGCAGAAAGGGTGCTATAAAACTGATCCCTAGTCTCCGGAGAAAAACATATCTTTGGCACTTACTGCATGTCTAGCAATTTAAACGTAAACAGTCATGACTGATGCTTTACAGGATACTGTAAAATTCCGAAATAAGCCCCGGGGCTCATATTCTTCAAAGACCCTTTTTGAGGGGCTTATCTTTGGGGGGAAATTACTATTTCAAAATCGATTGGGCTAGCCTTATAGTTGGAAGGAAATTTACCGTTTTTGCTTTGTTTTACTTTGTATTTGAGGGCAATTTCCAAGTACAAGCCCCAGTAGGGCTTATAATTATTTGGAGGGGCAATTTAGCAGAGGGTTTTTACTATTTCAAAATCGAGGGTTTTTACTATTTCAAAATCGATTGGGCTAGCCTTATAGTTGGAAGGAAATTTACCGTTTTTGCTTTGTTTTACTTTGTATTTGAGGGCAATTTCCAAGTACAAGCCCCAGTAGGGCTTATAATTATTTGGAGGGGCAATTTAGCAGAGGGTTTTTTTTGTGTGTTATGAGTTTGGGGGCTTACATTTGGAGGGGCTAATTTTCGGAATCTTATGGTAGATTCTGTCCTCTCAAATTCCATTGGTAACCTTGAGTTTTTATACTAATATTTGGCAAATTGTCAGGCTTGAGGTTCTTAATCTGTGTTGTTTTTTTTATACACAACAGAACCCCAAACCCCATAACTCGAACTAGGTCCAATATCCCTTGGATTTCAGCCCGCTTTTCAGACATTTTTTCTTGGTTAACTTGAACTTGGATAAGTCAAATTCCCCACCAACTTGAATGAAATTTTCTTTCCTTTCCCTTTCAGTAGTCAACACTACAGCAATTTGATTATAATTGGTGAAGCTAACAGATCACATTTTATCACTAAAAGTGGTTAATCATTTTACCGTTTCTCATGAAATAAGTTATATTCGCTCTGCCCTATACACTGATGTGCTGAAAAAGTCAGTAACTATCAATTATTTTTACATGGCAAATTGAAGTTTGGAATCAAACCCAATAACTCTGTATCTTTGTGCTTGATAAAAAGCTAGTCTGAAATGTCAGTTGTCTCCTCCCCCTAACCTGTCGAGGGCGCGAGGAAGAGAGACGTTTGAATTCCGGGCATTACAATGTTATCTTGTGAACGGTATTTTCTGATTGGTCATTACATTTCCGAAATAGAAAACCTTTTAATTATTGGCTGAACCCGCTAAGAAAAAACTCAGGTTTGAAATAGTATTAACAGACTCAACATGACTCATAATAAATTGCTCATGAAAGTGTGAAATGTGACCTTAGAATTAGCCTCTCTTGACTAAGTAAAGACTTAACCATAGTAGCAACTGACGAGGAACACTTTCATTCCAATGCACTCCCAGTACAGTCATAGAGACTATTAAGCTAAAACAAAAGTAATTGCCAACAGAGGAACTGTAGGACATTGCTCTCCAGTCCAAAGACTCAGCTGAAAGACTCGCTTCTCTCTTGACAGGCTCCCAGCACAATTCTCCTTAGTTAGTGTAGCTCCAGTTCATTTAGCTACAATTAAGATCTGAGGTTCACTTACCCGTAAGAATTCAACTTAAGAGCTTAGTCTAGCGTCAGAACACTGTAGCAGAATATCATCATCACATTTATGAAAAAAAAAACTACATGCTTTTAGCTTTTCAGGTACTTTGGGGAAAACCAACTAAACTAAAATCTTTATTGAAAGGGTATGTAGTTGCAATAAAAAGCTTAAGACTTTAACAGAGGTTAAAGAAAATCAGTACTAAACTACATCTGTGATCAAATCCTGTCAGAACCCCAGGAAATATATGCATGAAACTGTGAGACCAGCTTTATAACCTCTAAATGTTAGACTCAAAGCAGCAAAAGTAAGATTTGTTCAGTTAGAGTTAGGAATACTCCGTGTACTGTATAACCTAAGTGAAAGAAAGAAAAAGGGAAAACCTCTGAAGTTCAAGCAAAGTCTAAGGTCACATTTGTAACTATCACAAGCTTATGAGTCATGTTTATCCTGTAAACACTTCATTTTAAACGTGAAAAGTTAAACGCCTCTTTTCATTTATTCTGGAGGCAAGCATTATAATGCTTGGAAGTCAGGCATTCCCCCCCCTCCCCCACGCCCCTCATGGGTTAGTGGGGGGAGACAACTTACATTTCAGACTAATAAAAACTCCAAAATTCTGCAAATTTCAAAATTCGCTTCAATATTCCAAAAACGTAACAAAAAACAACAAAATTTTATTGTTCTAATTTACATAAATGATACCCTGATGAGGGGGGGGAGAGGGGGACTGTGCACAGCTCCCCCAAAATAACTATAAGGATATGTGCTGCTCAAGGGGATCTTGATTTAGGATCATCTTCTGATTTAGCTATTTTAGTTGATTAGTAGCCTTGTAACTGAAAAACCCTTTTAGGGAGTTGCAATAAAGTATGTATGTATGTATGTATGTATGTATTGAACACTTTTCCTAGATAAGGATATACAAAACTTTTAGAAGAGGAATTGCTGAGAACAGGTTAAAATTGGCCTTTTTTACTTCAGTGGATTCTAAAGGTCATGACTGTAGGTTGGAACTGATCGACCTCTTTTGTTCGTTTTGATGATTGATGGAAGGAAAAAAAGTAACCTTTTACTATAAACAACAAAATCAAGGCTTCATGACCAGCAGTTCAATTTCCAAGCATTTTAAGTTACAACCTCAGATTACATGGTCTAGTGATAAATTATGCTTTCTTGGAAACTTTTTTTTTTTTAAATTTGTGCTTTGAGCAACTTGTAGGTCTCCTAAAACCTGCTAATTGGCTCAGACAACATTCCGAGAAGGTATTGTTAGTTTCCTGTAATCCAATTGGTTAGTTTTGTTTACGTGGCCCTGGTTACAATGATAATATTGTCACCTTGAAACAACCAAATATTGAATGAATTCTTATCAAACAGGCTCTGACTGTGACTCAAATCAAACATATCCGAACATTGATTGATGGAAATATAGCAAAGTGTAATGAGGAAGTCATACAAGTGGAACAGCTTAGAAATGAGAGGCTATTTGAGGTTGGAAACCTTCTTCATGAGTCTGTTCCTGTCAGCAATGATGAGGTATTTTAGGGCTATGCTAGGAAATGTATAATAATTATTGTGCATTAATTTTGTTTGTTTGGAAAGGAGGAAACAGTGTCACCTTGTGTCCTTAAATAAACTTGCAACCTGGGCTAAATAATGAAAGTATTAAGATAGAGCAATCTTTGTGCAAATACTTTGTTCAAATTTGCTTGGATTGATTTTACAGTGTTTTATTTAAGGTAGAATTAGCATGATTTGTCATTCAATTCAATCCAATTTGTCATTGGGTTAAAACTTGAAGAGTTTGAGGTTTGTTACTAATAGAGCAAGTAGGTTTTATGTGGCATGGCCAAAGTGGTTGTTGCGGGAGATTGCTCAAGTTGCATGCATTGTTTGTGCTCAACTCTTAGCAGATGACTGCAGATCTTTTTATGTAAATCCTTGCTTCTACCTTGCTGCACTCAGTCCCAATCTATATGGATCAACCTTTGCTTTATGCATGTTAATAATAAATTACGTGCAGTTTGCTCACTAGTTTCCTTTGCAGCCGCTCAGGCCAGAGTCACACAATGCTCCCTGGTGCCACGTACCTGCTTCCTTTCCCAGAATAGAGCCAATCAAACTGCAGCTTTCATTTTCTTATGAATGCTCACAGGAGAAATGCCCTCCAATCACTTTGATCCTTTTGTTTGACCAGATGGCGGTGTCTTTAGAAGATCTTTACTCTTTTGTCATGGAAATTTGGTAATTTACAGGCTTTTAATTCACATCAGAAATTAGCAATTGCAGAGTTAATTGAAAGAAAAAAAATGACATTTTCGTTAATTTTACTGACTGGCTTTGAAAAATTGCTAATTTGCAAGCATTGCTGCAAGTCATTGACCACACATCATATCGTATACTGCAAACAACACTTGAAGCTGTTCCTAAAGTCAAAACATGGCAGGAAATCTTTACATCCACGGATAAAATAACTACACTTATGTAGGTATTCTGTTCCAGGCATTTCGGAGAAAACCTAAGAAACTGACAACTACACATCATATCGTATCCTGCAAACAACACTTCAAGCTGGACCTAGTGTCAAAACATGGCAGGAAATCACTACATTCACAGACAAAAAAACTACATGTATGTAGATTTTCTGATCCAAGCATTTCGGAGAAAACCTAAGAAACTAAAATCTTTAATGAAAGGCTATTTCGCCACAAGAAAACTAAAAGCTCAAGGCTTTAAGGAGGTCAAAGAAAATTAGTGCTAAACTGCAACTGAGATCAAATCATGTCAGAAAAAATCCACAGAAACGAAAACCACAGGAATGAAACTGATCAGCTTCATGACCTCCATTAAAATGTCGGCGAGACTCAGAGCAACCAAGGTTAGATTTTCTCAGTCAAATTTTTATCATAAATCTCCATGCACTGCATCACCCACATGCTGGAAAGAAAACAATAAGAGTAGGAAAAATCTCTGTTATTTTAGCAAGCCATCCAAGGTCACGTTTTACACTATCTTGAGCTTAAGAGTCATGTTTAGCCTGTCAACATGCAACTAAACGAGGCACTCATTGGTCTGAGTAGACTAAACCGCAAAAACAGTGGGAAAGGAAAGTACATCAGTTTGAAGCAGCCATGTGGGGGCGGGGAGCATTGCATGACTCTGGCCTGAGCAGCTGGGAAGGAGACTGTTTGCTCAGAAGTTACCTCAGAAATCTTATGACAAAACTTGAGCTTGTTGCCCATCTAGAATAGCTCCGCTAATTGTGGGTAACATAGACCTAACTCATTTGACAATTGAATAAACTGTTGCTGTTGCTGTTGATAATAGAGGATAGAAAATGGGATGATTGTTGGCAGATCAGTAGCCTGACTGCATGCAGGGTAATCTTTAATGTGCCATTTCTTACTCCTTTGGTGGGGCTACCACTAGGCTAAATCCTGGTAAGAATACTGGTTGTGACTAGCTAGATCATATCACAGTACAGAATAAAAAGAAAGTTCTTTATTTGTACTCATCAGCATTAGGCATCATTGTTAGGATAGTACTGACATTTTCATGTTTTCTTATGTAATGTTCTCATGACTCTCATAATATGACATTTTTGCTACAGGAGGATAACAGAGTAGAGAGAACTTGGGGTGACAGTTCAGTGAGAAAGAAGTATTCACATGTTGATCTGGCTTACATGGTGGATGGAGTTGATACAGAGCGTGGTGCCAGTGTAGCTGGTAGCAGAGGATACTTTCTCAAAGTAAGTTTTACAATCATTATTCTTTTGCCATGAAACTTAATGTAAAAAAAAGAACAACATTTTGACCATCCAATGGTCATTTTCAAGTTCAGAAGTAAAAGTTTAGCTTGTGCAATTGTGAAAGGGCTTATGAGATACTGACTAAAGAACTCTGAAATATTTACATAGAAGCAATGCAAGAAAATTACAGCGTGAATGATAATGGAATGCTAAAACGATGAAAGATATATAAAAGTGAAATAATTAAATAATAATTAATAATAATAAAATTATATTTAAATTTAATTATTGTTAAATATAATTATCATTAAATATTTAATAATTTAAATTTCCCTTCTAAATATCTTTTATCGTTTTTATCATTTTAGAGCACTGGAATATTACTGATAAAGTCCAGGGTTCAGGGTTGACATTTTCTCTGATTAGAACACTGATAGTTTTTCACATTTGTCCTTTGCTGTGATTCTTTTAAATTGGTGATTTTATCAAAAGCAAATATTTGTTGTTTCTGTGATAGTGATAAAAAATTGCCAGCACAAACACACATGCCTCATACCAGTTTGTATCTTGGCAACTTAGTTGAGGGAATCATATTCTTCAGGATCAGAGGGTTTGATTCACAGACTCATCATGTCCAATTATTGTCTTCTTACACTACAACTGGTTAAATAATCATTTAGTTGTGGCTTTTCAAATAAAGGATATGGTGGTACATTTTAAAGGTTTGATTCATATTATAGACTGTGAATGAAATCCTGAAGTTTTCAAAGGAAGCTGATGTGAGCAGCACTTGTCTATGATCTGTTTGTGCTGTAGCTTGGGAACAAAATTCTTTAGTGTTGTTACTGGCTTTGTGGAACCTCTGTGTTACAGGGTTCGTACAGGTCATGGAAAGCCTGGAAAGTCATGAAATTTAAGAATTGGATTTTCAAGGCATTGAAAGTCATGGAATGTAATTGTCGGTCCTTGAAAGTCATGCAGATGGCAAAGCAAGGATAATGCAATATAAAGAGGAGTAGTTAAACAGCATGAACAGCACACATTTTGGTGGATAGCAGAGTTTGTTTCTGTTGAACTGTTCAAGGTAAAAAATATATGCTAAAACAAGTAAGGTTTTGAAAATTTTCAAAAATGACATTCAAACGTAAGGTGGTGGAAAACTAAAAATGTCATGGAAAAAGTCATGGAAAGCCATGAAATTTGAAGAACTTAAAAGAGTAAGAACCCTGTGTTACGTCAACACAAAATAATCAGTGTTAATGATTTTTACTTTAGGGGCCACTTGTCTTCCTTGAACATGCTCTGATCCAGTTGGCAACACGCATGTTGCACAAGAAAGGATTTGTTCCTCTTTATACGCCATTTTTCATGAGGAAGGAAGCCATGCAAGAAGTTGCTCAGCTTAGTCAATTTGATGAGGAGTTGTACAAGGTCTGTATCAGATAACTAGAGTAACCATTGTGTAGTTCCAGCAAATATCCAGACCCCCACCACGGAGGGAATTTCACTTAGGACCCCCCCCACCTCCCTGGATTTTCCATTTTTGCAGGGAACTGATGACCCCCCACCCCTTCGGAATTTCCACAAGTGTGACAAAGACCCCCCAACCCCTCTGGAAAAGTTCATTTTCACAAAGAGAGACTATTAAAGTAGAAGAATGAGGCAACTTATGGTTAGTACCCAACGGTTTCCATCAGAAGCTTGTATGCTTCTGTTTCCATTTATTTGAGTGATGTCGCAACATCAAAACACACTACACCACCACAAAGTAACCTGATCTTTAATTTTTGCTCATCTCTTACATTAAATGAAACAGAGAAAGTTAATAAGTCGGTTATATTTGTGAATTTACCTTAATCAGGGCAAGCTTACGATTTGTTATTCGTCTAATGGGCGTAATGTTGATAGAATTGACGCCATTTCGCATGGGAAATGCAGAACAAGTCAAACAAACGACAACAAAATTAATGCAAAACAAAGGGGAGAATAAAATCTCTGAATTCTGAAATGATAACAATGAATACCCCCTGCATTTTGAAGGTAATTGAAGGGAAACCAAGTTCAATTTACTGTTTTTCGATCGACTGATGCGACGTGATGCGCGATGGCCGTATAAATGTTTGGTGAAATCGACACCATTTCAGCGAGAATTCGATCAAGAACATGCCACACGTTCAACCACAAAATTAAGGGAAAATGAAAAGGAGAATAAAAACTCTTCATTCTAAAGTGGTTACAATGTACAGCTTGTGCTTCGTGATGCAAAAATTGCAACTCTTCTGATCTATCGATCGACTGACGCAACGTGATGTGTTGCGTGATGTGTTGCACGCGTTGATGTTTTGAGGAAGACTGGTAACCAGTAATGGCGGCCGAATATACGAGCATGCGATAAAACGAGTTGTAGTCGGTCTAATTCCTTTGAAATTAGATCCAAAACGCTTTTGGAAGAAAGGAAACCTGGTTAAGATCAAAAGGAACAATCTTAAGTGATATATTTCAAGTTATTTATGTCCTAAAATGATCTACCAGGTCGGTAAGAAGCAATGTTCGAACTCAGGTCGAAAACGAAATGATATTGCCCCCCTGGAAAGTGATTTTATGGTCCAACCCCCCTCCCTTTTGGAATTTCCTGGGCCTCTGACCCCCCCACGCCCTTGGAATTTCCAATTCCCTCCGTGGTGGGGGTCTGGATATTTCCTGGAACCACACATTTTGTTTTTGTAGCTAGAGTCTGGCATGTAGGAATGTATGCACTGTCCCCGCTACTTTCAAATTTTTGGGAAAAAAATTAGGTGTATTCACTTAAGATGCAGTCAACACACTATGAATAAAAATACTGCATTAACCTGCACAGCTGGTCTAGAAAACTGCAGTGTGGGTTTGAGACAGGCAAACAACACAGACATGTTTTGCACTTTTGAATGGTATGCATGTATCAGGGGCACCCAACGAGGATATAGTTCAAAACCACTTAACATAGCATTGTTGAACGTATTTTAGTACTCAAACGGTAGATATAGGCATATTTTTATCCCCTAAAAACTTTTCATCTGTTCGGATTTCCTAGCTGAAAGTCTAGTGATCCGAAAATTATAGGGATAAAAACTTACCTTCTCGAAAATTTTAGCCAGGAAAAGGCTCTCAAAAGTTCTAGGTGGCCTTTTTTGGGGTCAAAATCCGTTAAAAATGGGTAATTATACCATTTTGTAGATGTTCGAAAATCCTAGGAGAGGCAGGCAAGCAAGAAATTTTACAACAAATGCTCCGAAAATTTTAGATCTCAAATTGTCTTCCGAACAGATATTTTCCCGAAAATTGCCGTTGGGTGCCCCTGATGTATGTTTTTTGTTTTTTTCTTGAAAAACACACTCATGTGTCCTAGCAGATATATTTTCTTTGTTACTTGGCGATTGTCATAATTTCAAGGGTTTTTTCTTATAATCAAAGAACATCACTGGCCATCACATGTGATTAAATTTAAGGTTGTCAGTGATCAAATTAGAAGCCTATCAATGGTTTATTTTTCTTGTCTTGGATTAGGGTAATGTTTCTGGAACAACAAAAACAACAACAACAGGAAATTGGTCAAGTTGAACCAGTAGATTTACCCAAAACAAACATGGTTACCTGCACTTGCCTTTAGTTATTGGGCAATTCCAGAAAATATCCATACCCAACCACGGACGGCTTCCATGTTTTAACCCCCCCTTGCCTTCGGAAATTCCAAAATGCGCTACCCCCCCATGCCCTCAGAATTCCATAGTCGTGAACCCCCCCTCCCCTTCAGAATTTCCGGGTTTTTTTGGAAGTACATTTTCGACTTAGCAACGCCTATAAGAACAAACGAACATGAATTTATGCCTCCTCAAGGCTGTGATCTAGCGGCGCCAGGTGACAAGCTTTACTCTTCAGTGACAAGAAAAACCTACGCTAGTTGCCAGGCCGTGCAAACTCCTTTTTAAGTCCGAATTTGGCTATAAAAATAAACACCACTTAAGGTAATTTTACTCCTCTTTGTTTTCTTGTGCTGTTTTGACGTTTACAAAGGAAAATAGCTCAAACAGACTGTTAAAATCTTTTGGCGGTCAAATATACCGTCGAGTCGTGTTGCGTCCTTTTATACGTCATGTAGTGCGCACGAAAAGCGTTCTAATCTGACAGGCGTTCCTTGGAAGTGAGGGACTGGTGCGAGTTTTTTACTGTTTATCGGACGGTTTCGGACGGGAGTAACAAGAAATTTGCAAGGGGTATTAAAAGATACATTTTCAGTTTTTATTCACGTGACAAGAAATTCATCAAGGTAAATGTGAAACCAACGTTTTACTGTTCACTTCTATAAGTTATGAGCGTAAACATGTGTCTGATCTATCGATGCTTGTCTTCTGCTTCCGCGGTCATACGTTCGTGGTTTATTTACAAACTACAAAAGTCCACAACAATAGCGTTTTCCAGGAACTTACTCTACACTTTCTACTCCAGAAATCCAACCTGTGGAATTCCCCCATACCTTCGGATTTCAAATCGTAAATACCCCCCCATGCCTTCAGAATTCCATAATCGTGAATCCCCCCTCCCCTTCGGAAATCCTTAAAGCCATCCGTGGTATGGTATGGATATTTTCTGGAATCGCCCATTCCATGGTTAAGTCAACTTAATCTTGAGTCCTTTCTTTAAGGAGTCAGTATAATGTGCTTTCAGGTGATAGGCAAAGGTGCTGACGAGGCTGGTTATGAAGAAAGATATCTCATTGCTACTAGTGAACAACCAATTGCAGCATTTCATCGTGATGAGTGGTTAGCTGCTAATGAGCTGCCCAAGAAATATGCAGGCTTCTCAACATGTTTCAGACAGGAAGCAGGCTCACATGGACGAGACACTCGTGGTATTTTTAGGGTTCACCAGTTTGAAAAGGTTGGTGTTTTGTGTAATACAGTAGAACCTCTCATAAGCGACCACCCAAAATGCCAATGCTCAGCTAGCTTTAAAAGGTGTTTATTAGCAAAATGTCCGTGTGTAAATGGGTTTCAGTAACTTATTCTCAGACCCGGTTCAGACGCCAAACTTTTCATGAGCCGAACCTAATCCAAATTAAGGCCGACCCAAATTATTAAGACCAGCTGAATTGATTCAGACACTTATCTTAATTGCAGCTGAACTAAGATCAAAAGGCGAAAAATACTCATTTTGGTCAAACTGCTTACAAAATATGTCATAGTAATTTATGCATTAGGTTCAGTACATGAAAAGTTCGGTGTCTGAATCAAATCCATTCCAAAGTCGCTCCAAGGGCGAAATTCCCAGCTGGGCTAGGCAAAAAGAACAGCTGAGCTGTTCCAAATTGAAACAGGTGTTCTTAATTGATTCAGACGCCGAACTTTCCATGTACTTAATTCAATGTATTAGGTTCGGCTCATGAAAAGTTTGGCGTCTGAACCGGGCCTTAGATTCATTTGTATTACTTCCAATGATAGACCATAAATACTTGATTGTTTTTTAAATTGACACTTGCTGCCAGCTGGTTGCTGCACATTAATGTCTTTAATTCAGCTGCTCTATTTTTAAGAGAAATATTTTGTAACTGTGGATTGTCTTCTTATAGGTAGAGCAGTTTGTGATCTGTTCTCCTCATGACAACACTTCCTGGCAGCTTTTCCATGAGATGATTGCCAATGCTGAAGAGTTCAACCAAGCACTTGGGCTTCCATACAGAATAGTTAATATTGTGTCTGGTGAGTCACATCAAACAAATCTTTTATGATCCAGCAAATTAATAAATAAATATATTTGCTCATAGTATTATGTATTTTGGGCAAATCACTTTGTCTTCATCACTCCTGTTGTGGGGCTGGTAAGGGGACTAGTAAGCTCTGTTATGGTAAAATTTTGAACCGGCGACATGACTTTTAAACATTGTCAAAAGACTGATGAAATGCTAGTAAGCAACATGGACATTCACAAATTCATGGCCTCCTCCTCAATACCCGGGGAGGAGACTTCCATATGAAATGGGCAGGGATGCTCGTCAGGAATTTTGAATTAAGCCCCTAAAGGAGACCAATTTATGCATGGCCCAACCTTTTTTTGACCCCTAAAAGAGATCATTTTAAACTTTGATTAAATGAATCGAGTAAATAAAACGAGTTGAAAATACATAACTTTTTTTATATTTCTTCACATGCAACCCTAAAAGAGACCTTTACTGTTAAATATAATGGCGTTTTGAACAGAGCACCCTAAGTGAGACCAAAATCCTAAACTTACACCCCTAAGTTAATAGGGTGATGAAAGGGGGTTAAAGAATTATCAAATAAATGTTAGTCCCTGAAAACTGTAATTTGTTCTTGAAAAATCCTTGGAAAGTTCTTGAAATTTGTTTGTCTGAAGCTGTACCATGTACTAACCCGCATTTCATTACTGCTAATATGTATCCAAAGTGTGGAATTAAGTGCTAATTTTGCAACAATATCTTTAAGGATGATCTGGAATTCTTTATTGGTATAATCTTGGATCAGGGTTGTTATCGTTATTGTTCCTGTACCCTCTTTCAAATCATGCTTTTACATCGCATAAGTGTCTATTGTTATTACACTGTTTTGTAGACATTATTAGGAAGTTGATTACAGCTATAACTATTGGTGGTTACATTTGACTGACAGGTGAACTCAACAATGCAGCAGCAATGAAGTATGATCTAGAGGCGTGGTTTCCTGGAAGTGGGGCTTTCCGTGAGTTGGTGTCCTGTTCGAATTGCACAGATTACCAAGCAAGAAGACTAAAAGTTCGCTTTGGTCAGACAAAGAAGATGGGAGAAGGGGTATGGCATTAATTTCTTTTCTTTGCTTCCTTGACGATTCCTTCATAAAATAATTAGCATGTTTCTCTCAAATTCCATCTTCCCAGAAACCAATACTATTGTCACTTCAGCTTCAGTTTTTTTGTTTGGTACATTTGTCACCTTTTAGATAATGCTCAAACAGATGTCTGTTTTAGTAGCGAAAGGTGTAAATGGCAGGTTGCAGTTTACAGGTTGGAGGTTGCAGGTCAGAATTTCAGACAAGGTCACGCAAAAACCTGAAGTGGCGAAAAAAGGGCTCACATACCTTTTTAATCCCAGACCACCCCCAAGCCCCTGAAATGATAGAAAAAAAGAAGACGTAACCGTACTTTAAAGACCAGCACAGATGAGGTCCCCTAGGTGTTGGCGTCACTGTAAAGACTTAGAACAACAAACCGTTCGAGTGTAACAGGATCCAAATAAAATGCTCTTTTCCTAATAAAGTGAAAAAAAAACGGAAATGTCACGTGCAAACTGTAAGTGGGTGAGACCAGCCTTTACAGAATTTTTCAAGCCCCAAAACTCCCAGAACTCAGAGTACCTTGAAAGAGCACCCCGTGGAATTTATATAAACCAACCCATCAATGCCGAGAAGACCGTTATCCGTTGTCTGCGACCGTATTTCGAGATGTAAAGTAAGTAAGTAAGTAATTTTATTTAACCACATATCGCATATGAGCGATAGCTCGTTTAAATGCAAATGTGCCATAAAAATTACAACGTGATAATTTACATAATCTACATGTACAAGTAATGAATAAAAATAAGAAATAGAAAAATTAAACCAACAAAAAAATAATAATAATTTAAAAAGAGAAAATATTGGTAATCAGATTGTCTATTTACAAAATTCACAGCTGCAGTCATACGATGAAGACAACTGTATGTTTTGTAAGTTTTTCCTAAAGATAGAGAGGGACTCCGACATCCTTATTTTGTCTGGTAGATTGTTCCATTGTTTGCCAGCCTGGTACGTGAAAGAATGTTGCATATAAAATGAGGTCGGTCTTGGAAGAACAACCTTAAGATGGCCCCGTAGGCTGTAACCATTGCTTCGCAGTACCCGAATGTAGTTCGGTGCCTGGTTATAAATGCTATTGTATACGAGTATCAGTGCTTGTTCTATGCGTCGATGTTCCAAGCTTTTGATATGTACAGTTTTAAGTAGCTCTTCGTAAGCAGTCGATTTAGAGTAGTTAAGAAGAGTCCTAAGAGCAAATGCGTTGGTTGACTCTAGTTTTGCAGACAAACCTTTACTTAGACCTATGAACAATGGTGATGCATATTCAAAGTGAGGCAGAATAAATGCTTTGTACAGTTTAATCATAATATCTGAGGGTATAAGTTTACGAATGCGACGAAGAATTGAAACTTTTGTGTTCACTTTCCGGCAAATTTCTTTAATATGTGCTTTAAAAGAGAGTGAATTGTCGATAATTACACCAAGGAGCTTGATCTGTGGAACGTAATCCAGTTCATTACTGTCAATAACAAAGGGCGTTGGTAGAGTTGCTCTATTGAAGACGATGGATTGAGATTTACTATGGTTAATCGCCAGGAAGTTCTTACAAAACCAGGAAACGAGTAGACCAAGGTTGTTTTGTAGATTTATTTGCAAGGTGGATGGACATGGGCTTGAAGAGTAGCCCGTAGTGTCATCGGCATAGAATCTTAAGGAGCACGAAATATCTGAAAAATTCACATCATTCATATATATATTGAAGAGAAGGGGGCCCAAGATTGAACCTTGAGGAACTCCACACTTCATAATTTGCAGATGTCCCCTTTATAGTTCCATTTCAGGGGTTCAGGGAACGTCTAAGAACAAATTCTAGGGCTCGAGAAGGCATAAAAGCACTATTTTGGCCAACCTCGTTCCCAGGGTTCTCTCCTACCCGTCCCTACGGAGCGAGAGAGACAGGCAGGAAAGAGAACCTGGAAACGAGGTTGTATTTTGACCCACTTCCAGTTGTTATGGACACTTCCGGTCTCGATGTGACCTTGTCAAACGCGGAAATTCTGATCTGCAACCTGCAACCCACAACGTAACCTGCGATCAGGCTTTTTTCCTTCTTCGTTTTACAAGAAAGAGAGTAAAGGGAGAGCATGATCGCAGAGTACCTGCAACCTGCAAACTGCAATTTACACCCTCCGTCTAAGTAGCTTATGTCGAAAAAATCAGCAGTTTCTTATTTCGGAACAAGATTCATAGCGTTTTGGTTCACAGTGTCAAAAGGATTAGTCGCAGTGTTATTAGGAGTCATCTGTTTGTGTTTCTTTTCCTTTCTTACAGACGGAATATGTTCACATGTTAAACGCTACAATGTGTGCTGTGTCAAGAACCATTTGTGCGCTCCTCGAGAATTACCAAACAGAAGAAGGAATAGCTCTTCCTCCTGTCCTTAAACCACTTCTTCCCGAGGGCTTGGATTTTCTTAAATTTGTCAAATCCGCACCGATTGAGGAAAAACCAGAAGCTAAGAAGCAAAAAAAGAAGACAAAGAACAAACAGGGCCCTCAAAGTGATACATGTTTAGAAGCTAAAATGGAAACCATGGATGTCAACAAAGAATGAATCAAGACCAGACTCGCACTTGTTAATTGAATCTGTGATCGGTGTGATCCGATAAGTTATGAGAATAAATTCGTTGTCGCTCTAGCTTTGATTATAAAAATAGTCGAAGTAAAAAGTTATAAATAGCACTCTATTAAGCCTCTTTAAGTTTTGGGTAGGAGAAAGGAAATGCGTTATCTTCGTCGCCGAAGCATGCGCCCTTCTAAAAGGAACTGTTCTCCGCGTTCGCGTGTTTTCCTCTTTCAGAGCAAAATGAGTTGACTGTTTTAGTTCAATAGACAAGTGTATTTACCGTGAGATGATATAATTTTAATGGCTATAAGTATTTAGGTAAATATGAGGAGCTAAACGATGAAGTGAACCACGGTGAGAGAGGTAGGAGTCAATTAGAGAATGCGTGCGTACTTTTCGCTTACGTTTGGTCTTGCTTGGCCCGCAACACGGGGCATCGTATCTAGAAATTGTTGTCTTGATCTATCAACTTTCACCAGGAGCAAAGAATTGTCGCAAGCCTCTATTTCTCATGAGTAGAAGTCTGAATAAAGTAGCACAGCACTCTTTCAAGTCTTGTCTGACTTTAAAAAAAAGAAACGCACGAGACTTTTGTTCTCAGTTATGCGGTTTACTTTACGGTTTATCATATTAATGCATTGAGCAGACTAAACCATTCGTAGAGCCTTGACTTGGAAATCAGTGCACTAGAGGGTGATGGAGGTTGGCCGCTGAATAGAGGCTCGTCAGAAGTTAGCATAACCTTTAGCCAAAACTTCACTTCACTTTGAGGAGCTTCAGACAACTTCCGCACAAAAGACAGCGGCTCTATCACTCAACAAAACTACTAGAGTATATCCTAACAAACAAGCAAATTCTCCTCAAAATGTCGTGGTGAGGTTTTCCCAACTTTGCACAAACAATTCTTCTGTTTATACTATGGCGTAAACTTGATAATGCATCGGACTAAGGCGGCGATGTCTGTAATAGCCTGTGCCAGGCTCTCAGATAGTATAGTGCGGACGTATTAAAACGAGCAAAGCGAGCGCGACCTTAGAAAGGGGGCGATGGAGGCGAGAAAAATGGGAGAGAGACGACGCCCTGTCTCTCCCCAGCTCCCGCGCGTTTTCGCATTTCTTTTTACTGAACGACTTTTCACCACTATCTCGGAGCCTGGAACAGGCTATGTCTGTAACTGAAACGTCGTTACATTACAGGTTCACAATCTGTCATCACCCATAATGACTATTTTCCTTCAACATATTATTCAAAACAGAGCCAGACTACAAGTGTATCGAATATCGAACGTTAGGTAGCCGCTCTATAGAGGTGGTCACATGGCCAAAGGGTGGCCGCGGCCGCTTAATAGTAGCCTGCGAACGGCAGACTTTTTCCTCGCTCATTGCCCCTGAGGGGCGTTTCCCCCTCGCGAAACGTCCCTCAGCGGCGATGAGCGAGGAGAAACGTCTGCCGTTCGCAGGCTAGCTTAATAGAGGTGATCGCTTCATGGAAGTCTAACTAACAATTCTATTCTCCTCTTCTCATAGTAGGGAGCTGTGTATACCGCTTTCTTCTATTTCAGCATCATGTAACTAACCTTTCGTATATGGACGTAATCCCAATAGTCAGGCTCTAGAATCGATGCCTTTACAAAGGCTTCGCAACGATAGGAAGAGCGGATGCAGTAGGCCACTTCCGAGTTCCTGAAACCCTCAATTTCAACATGAGGTCAAGTGCGCAACTTTTCTTGTGAAAATGAGTTTTATTTGCATGAGAATAAAAAATCATTTTCGTATCAAAGGCTGAGTTAGCCTGCGTAACAAGCATTTCCGTTTTGTTTCGAGCGTCAAAGAGCGCTCGAAAATGGCTCTCGTTTCACTTCTCCCGCAGCCAAAACCGTGAATCTCGTTCCTCGGTCTTTCTTTGCCCCGAAATAGCACGGAGACGCGTGCTACGCAGGCTAAAGCTGAGCACGTAACCTCGTTTTGATACAGAAGCCCAGGGAAACTCGGAAATGGCCTATTGATCAGTGGCTTGTTTTAACCAATTGTTTGTCTATTTATTTGTCTAGAAAGCGTTCGATTTTGTACACTTAGCTAGCGAAATAACTTGCGATAAGAAATTGTTTGAAATGTGCGACTGAGGTCAGCAAAATCAATGGTTGAAGTCAGGCAAGAGCCCTCCACTTCTCTCTCAGGCCACTTCGTTTCCTATTTTAATAAATCCCTTCCATTGAAAATTCGCCTTTCGGTGTCCTAGGGAGTGGAATCCTGGAGTCCTCAGGCAGCCGCTGCTCTCATAAGTTTATGAAACATAACTATGTGCGTAACATTTTACTGAGTACTAAAACAATTATTGGTTTCGCCTTCCGTATGATCGGAGAATTATGCAGACCGAGGAGGTTGTTACTCGCCGAGCCGGGTGTGTTCATACGTGCTCGCTCATGTTTTCGTGGGAGGTTTTACAATGAAGGTCCCACCATGGTGGGCTTGAAGATTCAAAGAATGACAACAGAGGGTAAGACTCAAAGACAGTTCAAAGAGTGTGCCTGATATCAGTACAGTTATTTCAATTAATGTAGCTTGCGAGCAGGCTAACTTGTGCAAGTTCGAGGAAAAGTTTTGGCGGCGGAGCAGCCATCACATGAGAAGATTGTGCCGAGGAAAAGTGACTTTCCGTGGCTGGCTTGATTTTCCCCGAACTCGCACAAGTGAGACTGCTCACAGGCTACAATTAACGTTGCACCTCGTTCCCAGGGTTCTCTCCTATTCGTCGCTCCATAGGGACGAGTAGGAGAAAACCCGGGGCCATTTTAACTCCCAAGAGAAACTCAAAACAATGCTTACGCAAAATTTTGGGGTGTCAAACAAAGAGCATTATGGTATGTTATGTTATTTTCTGGAGTGGTCAAGCCTGCGAGACAGACCGCAAAGTCATGTGGGTAGCTGTAAATTCCTTACTTCACGGTTGTCAGTGCCTTAGGGCCTGTTTACATGGAGTGGGGGACCCCGGTCTAGTGGGGTAAGTTTCTTTTGTTTTCACGCTCTGGGGAACACAAAACAAAAGAAACTTACCCCACTAGACCGGGGTCCCCCACTCCATGTAAACAGGGTCTTAGTATGGTATTAATCTTCACAAACATTTACCTTTGTCGTTCAATGACAGAGGAATATCGCTTCATGGCGGCTAAGTTGAAGATTTTTTTAATGAAATTTCCCGTATTGCTTCGCGGTCTCGTCGTTTAGGCTATTCAATAACATGAATTGAAATAGCTGTGTTCCGTAGCATTTTAGTTCAAGTCCCAGCAGAAAGCCTGTCAATCGGTTTAAGTAAAGGCCAACTAAGCTTTAATATGTGTCACGAAAAGTGAGTGATCCACTTCCAGCTGGAATAGGTTTGTTTAACAAATGCAGATTATGTGACGTTCCTGAGCGAAAGGTCTCAGTTTCCGAATGATCGATAGGTTCTTTTTCAAAGCTATTTCTGGTGCACAACCTTTCATGTAAAATAAATAGCATTGAAATTCAAATTTGTAAACTCATTTTCACATGAGTAGTTGTGAACCAGACCACGCGTCACCAATTATGGGTACATACATATAGACTAGTCACCATTTTTCCTTAGGGATAGTCGAGCAAGCGAAACGCGAGCGCGCGTGAAAATCACCCGACGCGAGAAAGGCGAGACGACTCTCCCCGCCGCGTCTCGCCTTTCTCGCGTGGGTGATTTTCACGCGCACTTGTGTTTCGCTCGCTTTACTATCCCTGAGGAAAAATGAGGACTACTCGTCGTCTAACATACATATGCACACGAAGACTAACATCACGTGGTATGCAATGGGATAAAAACCAGCCAAACTAATTGGGTCGGTCTGCTTTAGTCTATCATTTAGGATCTTTATATATGATAATTGATCTAAATCTACAGAACGAGTTTGTCTTTGAAATAGAGCACATAGGACTAGTACAATCCCCAACCTTTTTTAAACTTTCTCTTGTGAATACTAATTTCAGGGTGCTTTCGAAAGAGAATTTGATCCTTTGCTGCTGTCTTAGCTGGATGCAGGGCTGGCTGGATGGATGTCACGAATGTCTTGTATGTTTCTTACAAGCCGTCTTTAAAACCTGTCGAAAGTTTCTATTTCTTATGGCATAAACAATTGGGTCCAACACAGTTTCTAATACAAGTACGTTCACTCGTATGATACCTGCAAGATGTGAAGTTGGCTGGCCAGTGATGGCGTTGATAAAAACAGCAACTATAGTAGGACTCCAGCAAATCCCAAAAATAACCACAAATAGAAACAAAGTTACGGCAACCTGAATGTCATCCCCTCTTGATTCTCGAGGGTAGATTTCAAATCCTGATTGCATGTTTGTTATTGTTCTCTGTTCAGGAAAGCGAACTCGTTGTTTGTGAGCCTTAATGGCACAGAAAACTCTTACATAACAGAAGATGACAATCACCGCGGCGGTGAAGACGAAGATGCCTCCGACCGTTATCTGGATGACGCTGGAAGATACTTGCAGCGCGCACATGTAATCGCGCGCGTTGTTCAATGTGAATGTACCATACCCGATCAAGGGAAGGATGTTGCCTAAAATCGACAAAATCCAAGAGGTCGCTATCATAACTGAAGTGCTTCTTTGGGTGAAAATGAACGGATACTTCACTGGTTTTAGAACCCTCACATAACGATTGATGCTTATTAGAATCATTGTTGTCACTCACTACGAGCCTCAGCGCTCCGGAAGTTAAAAAATTCGTACCGTCTGGTTGCTATGAAGTGACGTAATCATCCCGTTGAGTATCCATCACCGTAACACTTTTGCGGTCAACTACCGCAGCGCTCGTAAAGTACTTTAATTAAAACCGTGTTCAAAACCCTTTAGGAAGTCTGTTTATTTTTGAGTCGATTAATGCACTGCTGACTTTCACGAGGTCAACTTTTGCATAAATTATCAAACATTATGTTAAGCGGGAAATCTACCTATGGTTCGCGGGAGAAGCAACTTCTATAGCGGCGCAAGACAAATGTTTCGAGAGTCGAGGATGTGCTCACAAGCTATTCACTATGCGACCAAAGGAGATATCACTGGCATGATACCTGCATGTAATGGTAATTTTTATCAATCCAGGTCGCGCCGTGTTCGCTCGAGAACGCTGTGACAACTTCGTTTGGCGCGCTTCTCAATACTTCCAAAACATGTTGTAATCGGTAAGTAGACTTAAGCACTTAGTATCGCCAAGCCATTCGAATCAGTGTATACCCAATTCTTTGTCTGAAGATTCGCGCAAACACATATACCAAGTACATCTGGATGGAAGAGGAAATTGTCTCCCTAAACGCAGCCAGGTTATATTTTGAAGGATGGCGGCACAATTCAACGCGTCTTCCAGGTCAGCCCTAATTTATAGTTCGTAAGAGTATAAATTGCGATCTCCCTATTTTCGCTTAAGCTTTCTTTGATAAAACTTCAGTAGAAACAAAACAACGCAGACATGACATTCTCCTGCATGAGACACAATCGGCTGAAGGAAATATCTGTTTACAAGTCGGGTAAATTATCCATTCTTGCGCACCGCAAAATCAGCTAAAATCAGTCGCTGGAAACCTGGCATATTATTAAGTCTGAGCGCTTCTAAGAATAACACGTTTAGAACTTCGACGAGTAGAAAAAAAAGGCAGTTGTTCTGTATCCTTTCTGGTTCATCCAGGTAGAAGTCCTGGCATATTATTATGCCTGAGCGCTTCTAGGATATATAACACGTTTAGCATTTCAACCCGTAGCCGTAAAAAACAATTAGGTAGTTGTTCTATAACCTTTCTGGTTCACCCAGGTAGAAGTCCTGGCATGATATCATTATGCCTGAGCGCTTCTAGGATATATAACACGTTTACCATTTCAACCCGTAGCCGTAAAAAAACATTTAGGCAGTTGTTCTATATCCTTTCTGGTTCATCCAGGTAGAAGTCCTGGCATGATATCATTATGCCTGAGCGCTTCTAGGATATATAACACGTTTAGCATTTCAACCCGTAGCCGTTAAAAAAAATTTAGGCAGTTGTTCTATATCCTTTCTGGTTCATCCAGGTAGAAGTCCTGGCATGATAGCATTATGCCTGAGCGCTTCTAGGATATATAACACGTTTAGCATTTCGACCCGTAGCCGTAAAAAAAAATTTAGGCAGTTGTTCCATATCCTTTCTGGTTCATCCAGGTAGAAGTCCTGGCATGATAGCATTATGCCTGAGCGCTTCTAGGATATATAACACGTTTAGCATTTCAACCCGTAGCCGTAAAAAACAATTAGGCAGTTGTTCTATATCCTTTCTGGTTCACCCAGGTAGAAGTCCTGGTATGATATCATTATGCCTGAGCGCTTCTAGGATATATAACACGTTTAGCATTTCAACCCGTAGCCGTAAAAAAAAAATTTAGGCAGTTGTTCTATATCCTTTCTGGTTCATCCAGGTAGAAGTCCTGGCATATTATTATGCCTGAGCGCTTCTAGGATATATAACACGTTTAGCATTTCAACCCGTAGCCGTAAAAAACAATTAGGCAGTTGTTCTATATCCTTTCTGGTTCATCCAGGTAGAAGTCCTGGCATGATATCATTATGCCTGAGCGCTTCTAGGATATATAACACGTTTAGCATTTCAACCCGTAGCCGTAAAAAACAATTAGGTAGTTGTTCTATATCCTTTCTGGTTCACCCAGGTAGAAGTCCTGGCATGATATCATTATGCCTGAGCGCTTCTAGGATATATAACACGTTTAGCATTTCGACCCGTAGCTGTAAAAAAAAATTTAGGCAGTTGTTCTATATCCTTTCTGGTTCATCCAGGTAGAAGTCCTGGCATGTTATCATTATGCCTGAGCGCTTCTAGGATATATAACACGTTTAGCATTTCAACCCGTAGCCGTAAAAAAAAATTTAGGCAGTTGTTCTATATCCTTTCTGGTTCATCCAGGTAGAAGTCCTGGCATATTATTATGCCTGAGCGCTTCTAGGATATATAACACGTTTAGCATTTCAACCCGTAGCCGTAAAAAACAATTAGGTAGTTGTTCTATATCCTTTCTGGTTCACCCAGGTAGAAGTCCTGGCATGATATCATTATGCCTGAGCGCTTCTAGGATATATAACACGTTTAGCATTTCGACCCGTAGCCGTAAAAAAAATTTAGGCAGTTGTTCTATATTCTTTCTGGTTCATCCAGGTAGAAGTCCTGGCATGATATCATTATGCCTGAGCGCTTCTAGGATATATAACACGTTTACCATTTCGAGCCATAGCCGTAAAAAAAAAATTTAGGCAGTTGTTCTATATCCTTTCTGGTTCATCCAGGTAGAAGTCCTGGCATGATATCATTATGCCTGAGCGCTTCTAGGATATATAACACGTTTAGCATTTCAACCCGTAGCCGTAAAAAAAATTTTAGGCAGTTGTTCTATATCCTTTCTGGTTCATCCAGGTAGAAGTCCTGGCATATTATTATGCCTGAGCGCTTCTAGGATATATAACGCGTTTAGCATTTCGACCGTAGCCGTAAAAAGAAAAAAAATAGGTAGTTGTTCTATATCCTTTCTGGTTCATCCAGGTAGAAGTCCTGGCATATTATTATGCCTGAGCGCTTCTGGGATATATAGTAGCAGTTTGACCCGTAGAAAAAACAAACTCAGCCGTTCATTTTGTGGGAGATATTTAAGCGTTTTTTCTGTGTTAGCAATGTGATCGACTTTATACGCAGACCTTAATAATATGTTTTTTTCTTTGACGGCACTGAATAATTTTAGCCGAAACTTGAGCCGTACATTTGTTGAATGCCGCGCTTTAATTAAATTTCTCGCCCTAGAATGATGACATGATGGCGCGAAAATTGACGCCTCTATCGTATTAGATGGGAAATATGATCAGAGATAAATGGAATAGTGAATGTTACAAGCTTCTGAGTATCCAGCTGAGATAGGGGACTTTTAGTCCCCTATCTCAGCTTGATAAACAACATTTTTTTGGTTGCTAAGACGGTGCGGCTCGTTATGGAGTTTCCGTGCTTAATGTGTAGCCTAGGTAAGCCTGACATTTGCACAGTGAGGAACTGAATTTCCACTTGCCACATCCCGTTGCGATCACAAAGATTAAGTAGGGAACAAGCAGAACCATAAGATGGCACACCGATAAATTTAAAACAAATATGTAGGGCACTTTTCTGAGCATTTTTTCCCTGTAAGCGGCGAGAAGTACAAGAAAGTTTCCACTTACGCCGAGGAGAATCACAGATCCGCTAAAACAAAGTTGTATAACTTGAAAAACATCCATTTGGTTGTTTACTGTCCCTGAATCAAGTTTCACTTCAACAAATCTGCCATAGGTTTTCGATCCACAAGAATTATTCTAGGACGCCAGTCATCTTACTTAGTGAACAATGAAGAAAACATCATCGTAAACGCTTAATGGATTATCGTGCGATTGGTAAACATAGTAAACAACGATAACAACAGAAATCAAACTTGCCGTGCCTGACACAAAACACTAATGTATAGACTCTACTAATTAATTTATTTTTCTCCAGTGGTGCGAAACAAACTGATCCAAAAATATGTTAATTTCTAATAACTTTCTTTTTTTGATCTTTTTTTCTTTCTCCTGTGATTGTGATCAGCCTAAAACATTGTACGTGTTTCTGATTGGTCCATTCTCTGGAAACACTTCACCCGTAGGGCAGCCAGAGTAATCTACAACTTGCCCCGCGACATGCCTACTGATGAAATATACCGACATTCGAAATGGAATACTTTAACCTTCTATTATAAACTTCGATTAATTAAACTACTCCATAGGTGAAGCACTTGCGGCTCGATCTTTAATACCTGACAAACAAACCTTGCACGGCGTACAACTTCAGAAGGAGTAATAACATAATCGTTCCTCGTTTTAACCCGTACTTTGTTCAAAACAGAATTTTATGGAACGCTGTCTCGACTCGTTTTACGGTTCAATTCACTGATTTTTACCTTAAATTGAAGAAGGACTTTTAATTTAAGGAACTTAAATTTAGCACAGAGCCTGTCCAGTCGCTGCCTAGGCATTACCACGATTTTAAATGTTTTTTTAAAACTATTTTATGTTTTAAAATGCTGGAGTCAATTACTTACAGGTAACTAATGTAACTAATTCATTTTCATTTTTTACATATTGTATCTTTTTAGAATCTTATCGTATCTTTTAGGAGTTTATGTTGTAGTTGTATATTGTAAGTAATTTTATCCTTATTTTTATCATAGTTCTATGTTGTAATTATTTTTCAGACGACCCCACAAGCATTGAGCTTTAAATCTTATCGTGTTTAAATAAAGGATATGATGATGCTGAGATGATGAACGGAGCTAATTGTTTTCAGGTTATTTGGGACAAGTGCTTTTCAAAGTGGATTTACTCACGAAAATAATCGGAACAATATCAAAATAAACTCGATCAAGCTGAGCAGCTAAAATTTACATATCCGCTAATAAAAACGTCTGGTTAAGTCAGCTAACACTTAGCCTGTTCCAGGCTCCGAGATGATGGTGGAAAGTCGTTCAGTAATAAGAAATGCGAAAAACGCGCGGGGGCTGGGGAGAGACCGCCACCGCCCCCTTTCCCAAGTCGTGCCCATCTTATTTTCGCTTTGCTCGTTTTAATACGTTCCCACCATACTATCTGAGAGCCTGGCACAGGCTAGCTAACACTATAAACACAACACCACCTTATTCCCAGGTTCTCTCTCTTACCCGTAGGGACGGGTAGGAGAGAACCTGGGAACGAGGTTGTATTGCTCTGATGATTGTTTTTAAGACCCGCATTGCTGGTTTAACACCATTTAACACCATTTACCGGCAATAGAAGGCAATATGACATCCTCAACCATTTTCAACGTGAAGCACTGCGACGATTTTCAGTTTAAACTTGAACCTCCATTTGCGACCAACTCTTGTAACAGACCACAACTTCCAAGAGCGACCACCTATCCAAAACGCTACTAAGATTTTCCCAGTAAAAGCCTTCCATTATGAACATCTTGTAAACGACCACCTTCTGCATTAAGCGACCTCATCCACGTTTCTGGGCTGACGATTTAATAATTTTACATCGTTTTTAACCTCTTACTGTGAGCGACCACCTGACGCGTGGACTGGCGGGTCTCTGTAGTGACTGTGTGTACTATGCTACAGTACTTAGAGTATACAGAGAACTTCATTGTCAACATGCAACTGCACATATCGTACCTTAGAAATTGAATGCAATAAATTATCTTTTACAAAGTAGATGTGGGCAGACATCTTCTCGGAAGAAACTCCTTTGTGGTTCTTTTCTCAGTAAGCGACCACTTAGTCTTCGCATTTTGGGTGGTCGATCACGGACGTTCGACTGTATTACAAATCTAATAATTGTCTTTTTTGAAACTGGCTTAAGGTGCAGAGTAGGTATATCATGGGCATATTTCACAAAGGACTTTTCTGAAAGATCTAAAAGAGATATTTTGCGTTAGGAAGAAGGCAAGCGTTTCAGGATGTTTCAGCTCTTGAGTGGACTATCGACCGGAGAATACTTCATTAGCTCTTGGTGAACTTTTTGATCTCTGTCTTTGATCTAGGGGCAGCTCATTTCCAACATGCATGGTTACTTTCTTGTTCTTATGACTTACAATTCCAGCGGCAAACCTAATAGTTCGGCGTTGTCAATGTACAGGAACATCCCAAAATGCCTCACAATTTAAGTGAATTTGGCAACACAGGCGAGTGCTAAGATGGAACTTTTCTAACGTCTAATCACACTGAAACAATTATAAAATATTTCATAACTAATCTAAAGAATCGCAAAACACAGAATAGGAGTGGGCATCTCGTTTATTGATGCACAAATATGAAGCGAGCGTAGGGCGTTACAAAAAAACAGCGTTACAGTTTTATAAACTCAAAGAAAATTACAACAGTAATAAACAAAATAAGCATTGATAAAATTAGGGCTGACAGACCCTCGGAGATGCCTCGAATGGCTCTTGCATATCTTTACAAACCCTAAATAGTCCGTCTAGCCCCTTGAGAAACCTTACAATCACGCCTTGCAATTGTAATTTTGCAATTATGACGTAACATAGTAAACATACTCTTGTGAAACTAACAAAAAATGCGAAGGATTTTTAATTTCTTAAGTTCTGTTCTAAAGGCAAAACATTTGAACTCTATGGAATGAACAGACGAGGAGAAATTTAATCTATTGACACATATTTTTATAGTAACCTCTAGTGACTCTAGTCTTTATACAAATTTTCGTCTATTGTATTTCTCCACCAATCACATTATATGCATATATTTGTATTATTTTAAATACTGTAACCGTATATTCTATTCTCACTTAGCTTTTCTAGCCCCTGATGACGACTAGTTATGTCTAGACGAAATATTGGGCAAATAAATTTGTAAGTAGCCCCAACTTAAAAATTGTACTCATTTACTGAGTTGCCTTTGGCGAGCCCAGTTTATAAACAGAGGATATTACGATATTACATGCCCGCACGTGGACACGGATTTTATCTTCGAGTGTTCAACTCGATATCGCAGTGAGATATCGAGTTGAACACGAGAAGATAAAATCCGTATCCACGTGCGGGCATGTAATATTCTGTTTATTATATAGAGACCGATGGCGAGATACTGTGATGCTCTTTTCCTATTGGCTGACGCTGACGTGGCCACGACAATCGCGATATCTGCACAGGTGAAGGATAAAAATTGTATCTTCACTGGATACCAAATTTTCGTCACTGGAAAAATCCTGGCATTTCATCAGGGTCTATATAATAAAATGAGTTTCATTTTTTTTCGGGGGGGGGTGGAGGGTATTTCTGGGAAGTCGTAGTGGGGGTGCACCGTCCGCCTCATCTAATCTTTACACTGTAAGGTTAATGTAAGAGAGTACCTCCCCGGGAACGGACAACCTGTGACCTTATGATGGTTTTAACATAAAGTACTTACCCATGTTAAGCGATAGCAGCCATTAAATGGAGATGTGTTTGAAGTTAGCGTACTGTGCTTTTTCATCGTCTCCTTCAAAAGATTCTACGAGGAGTAGCTTGTGGGGTTTTTTACTTCACTATTTGTTCAAGTTTAAACCCTTGGATGATTTTTCCCTTCCAAAACGAGATTGCAAATCTCTGTGTGTTTGTGACTGGAGTGTGTGTGGGTACACCCGCACCCGTTGAACAAAGATTTCTCTCAAGCTGTCATTGGCACTTTTTATCAGTACCATTTTCAAAAGATGGTAGGATGGGTCGCTTTTAAGTTTTTTTTCTTTATGTTGAAGTTTAAATTGTTTAAAATGTGCCGGCCATTCTCTCTTTTTATCTTATTGCGATTCTTGCTCAGCGTGTGAAAAGTCATTCCTTACAGGAAAGGAATGTCCTGTGGAATGTGCTCATTGAAGATCACCACGTCCAAAGGAATATTATATTCACTAGGACAGTTAGAAAGGCTCTATGACGCAATATCAGACAAAAACAAAACTTCAGACGGAATCCGCCGGGAAGTTCAGTAATTTTAATTTTCAGTGGACAAAAACCTTGTGCCAGAATAATTTAAAAAATATTGCATTCTTTTTTACATTTTTCAAGGGCTAAAGATGTAATAAATCATCTGTAGTAACACCAAAGAAAATTTCTCATGGAAGTCTGAGAAAATGAATGCCAAATTTCTCACGTGAGATGCTACGTTACGCAATAGTCAGCAACAAGCCTGGTGGCCTTAGTGTGCAGCCACCCCCTCCCCCAGGAAAATTGGCAGCCCAGTTAAAATCGCCTTTTGGGCATTCTTGTTTTTCTTGTTACGAAAGTCTTCCAAAAGTGTACAATGTTCAAATGAGCTTATGTTTCACTCTCACATGAGATTCTATGTCATGCAAGGCTTTATGTTAGCCTGAGTGCGTACAGCCACCCCCTCCCCTCAGAAAAACATCGCCCCTAGGCAGCCCAGTTCAAATCTCCTTTCGACGATTCTTGTTTTCTAATCAAAACAGTGTCGCATAAGGACTTTGGTAACTTGAAATTGAACACTTGAATCTGCACATTTTTCATGTTCATTAAAACAGCCGTTTTCAGTTTTGAAAGGTAACAAATTAAAGGCGCCCATAGAAAATTTATCGTCGAGGCTCGTAGACCGTTCCAGGTTACTCATTTTCAAAAGCTAGCTTGCTGACAGACCCAGTTGAGTGGTATCTACAGATAAAAAATCTCTCTTATAAATTCCTGAAGGACTCCTACATGCGGGTGAATGTAAATCTGGCTCTGTCAGGCTATGGCTTCCTAAAATTTTTTTCAATAACTTATGTAATTCCGTTCGGTGCAGCGCGTGGATGTGCGCTTGGTTGACCCCGAAAAAGAGGAACTGGTGCAAGGGGAGGCGGGGGGGAGGCACCTGAGGAAAATTTGAATAGGGGTGTGTCGCCGAAGTCTTCACTTACTGACAAAATCCTTTCATTTCGCTTTCATGACCCAAAAACATTTCATTTTACCCACATAAATAACTATTTAAAAACTGAAGTTATAGAATTAGGAATAATTTTAACGATAAGATAAAATAAATGAAAACAACAAAAGAAAAGAAAAGAAACAAAATGACATAAAATAAAATAAACCACACATATCTCCTGGTTCAGAAAGACACCATGTTCATGAAGTTCATGCAGTCATCTTTATGGCCTAAGCAGTGATTAGCCTGTGTACAGACACCCACTTCCCCTCAGAAATTTAGGGGGAAACTATCATTTTTAGGGCAGTCGTATTTCCCCCCTTCCCACACCCAATAGAGCGGCACATTCCCGAGGAGCACCCCCCGGATTCACTTATGCGAGTTTGAAAAAAAGGACAAAAACGGCCAGAATACGTAGTGTTATTAATCTTGTTCATGTTACGATTGACTTAAGTTTGTTAAGTAAAAATAATTTTTGAGAATATCCTAAATTTTGCGCCATGCCACTAATTCAGTATTCACGCCTCACCTCACGTGTTCCAAAGAAATCAGGTAGACAGAGTCAAACAGATCACATTTTCACGATCTAGTCTTCATCCAATACAAAGCATTCTTTTTGTGGTTCAAGATCCATTGACCAATCATAGCACTCGTTCTATGTGAACCCTCGTCAGTGCTCTTTCACGTGTTGTGTGCACGTTTGCTTGAGCTGTTGTGTAAAAACATTGCTTGCACATTGAGATGTACGAAGATTCAAAGCATTTCCTCGCTGTGAACCTTACACCCAAGGATGAACGTCTGCAGAACTCATTTTTAGCGTTATTTTTTACCTGCAAGAACACTTGAAATGTAAAGGCAAGGATGAGTACAAAATAATACGTTAATCTCATATCTGACAGCAAACAAGGACTGCGTTTACGCGATGGCAGCAGAAGTGAACTCAATTCACTGGTTCCGTAAGGGCCTTCGTTTGCACGACAACCCTTCTCTTCGTCAAGCGATAGAGGGCAGTTCTACCTTTAGAGGAGTTTTTTTCCTCGATGTGGATACTTTGAACGAGATAAACATTTCAAGAAACAAATGGCGTTTCCTTCTAGATTGCCTGAACGATTTGGATTCGAGACTGCGAAAGTTGGGCTCTCGGCTTTTTATCGTGAGGGGACAACCCATTGACGTTTTTCCGAAACTAATTAAAAAGTGGAGTATATCGAGGGTTACGTTTGAATACGACGGGGAACCATTTCCTCGCAGGCGAGATGAATCCGTGAGGCGCTTGCTGGAATCTGAAGGGGTGGAAGTTTTGGTCTCCTCGTCGCACACTCTATACGACGTCGACGAGTAAGATATCTTATATTGCCACTTAAATTTTGTGTAGAACGGTTGACAACTAATTGTACTTTTTTATTGAATTTCTTCGCCATATTCTTTAGGTGGATCGTTATTAATATATATCGTCCTAAATTATAATTGTCCATAATTTTTCCCTCTAATATTGGTTGCCAGACATACTGCCACAAACTAAGTCATTTCATTACTTGTTACTAAATAGGTAAGAACTTTTTGTCTACCCTATTGCTTTTTATTAGGCAGAAACACCTAAGTATATATTCCCTTTTAAAGGAGTCAGAACGACTCGGTTGCAAAACAAGTGCCTGTTCTAGACGAAATTTCGCTACTTGTCAAATTCGCGACGTTCGAGTTCGCTACCTACATTACCTCACTGCCTATTGGCAAAGTCCAAAACTTGCACCCTTGGAGGGGCAACCTTAAAAGAACGAGAAATATGTCAAAAGTTTTTATTATCTAGAGCGATTAAGTGGTTTACAGAAAGTAATATGTGGCGAATTTGTTGCAAAATATGACGTAGCGAATTCGACAAGTAGCGAAACCGGTTGTTACCTGTGATTGTTTACACGTGAGTTTTGTAATGCATCTGCGAAAAAAGACATCGTGCTTTAGAGCTTTCGAGATTGACTGTCTAGAGGATATTTCTTCGAGGCTGGTATAAAACAATTGGTATGGAAAAGATGGCAAGTGTATACATGTTATAATGGAACATGCGGGTGCTGAACCGGGTTTTATCCCTTCCATTCTAAAAGAGGACTATACACACCAATGGACTTTCTTGGTTCAGAATGGGTAAATGGGTCAAGTACCTTTTACTCTTAAAGTTTTATCGGAGCCGTTGGTGCCTTAAGTTAGGCCATTCATTTTTTTGGCCTCTGTTAAATGGGAATGGGCCATGAAAAAAAAAAATGGCAGTGGAGGCAATACTACATTCCTTTAAATATAAGGTTAGATAGCCCTCTTTGCCTTGATTGCTCTTGGAGAATTCAAAATAAATGTTTCCTTTAAATGAGGCATCAAAAGCCAGTTATCATAAAGGCCAAAAATAAAAAGGAAAATTTGCAGCCATTTTGGAATAAGACGTATTCAGGTATATTTTTGGGACGGGCGAAAGCAGCTTGCTATGGTCGTATTGCTGTGGCGACCACTTTGGTAGGGCAGAGAAAGGTCAGAGGGAAGAAAATATGCCCACCTGAGTTCATTGTCCCTTTTGGAAACTTTGTACGTAGACAAACTGATCCTCCGATTGGTTTGGCATAAAATGTATAGATTGATGCCTGTCGACAGATCTCTTACTTCTGTTTGAGATGTGGTGATGGACAGCAGTAATGGCTTTCCATTTTGCTGTTGGTCAGTGTCATTTTGTGTGTAGGATTACTTCTTATTTCCTGCTAATGGAAGCACCCATGTAATAATGCTAATTAGAATGTACATGAGAAGAAAGAGTCGCTTAAACTTGAATCCTGAGTCCACAATCTTGAGAGAAAAGAGATTTTTATTGTACATACCATTGATTTTATTTTGGGTATTTAAGATAAGTAGGAAGCATTGCGTGTTTTATCATCACTTGATTATTTTTACATTTATTCTTTCTTTCTTTCTTCTTCTTTTTAGGGTCATTGAGGGAAATCATGGAAACATTCCAGTTACATTTAAACAGTTTCAGAGCGTCATAAGTCGTCTTGAGAGTCCAAGAAGCTGTGTCCCTGAAGTTGATCAAGAATTATTTGGAAGTTGCGTAACTCCCAGTAGTGATACTGATGATGATGTGTATGGAGTTCCTAGTTATGACACCATTGTTCTGGATGAAGAAGATCATGGAGTTAGTGAATGGATCGGTGGAGAAACAGAGGCACTGAGGAGACTGAAGGTTTTGGAAAAAGAAGTGAGTGTGGCAGAATTTCATAAGTGTTGATCAAGGCTGTGCTCTAAGGAAAATTGAAGGAAGCCCAGTGCTCTGAAACTGTAAAATGTAGGGTGCCCAGCATATGATTTGAATGAAAAATCTGAGATTTTCTAGTCGCCCGAGGGCAAAAGTTAGGCGCCAGGGGCCACCGGGCTCTGCTAGAGCACAGCCCTGGTTGATGTTGTGTTTGAAGTTCATCCCTAGTTTCAATTCGATTCATACATTAACATACCCAAGAACAAAAGAAAATAATGTTAATTCCAAGGATGCAACTAAACCTTAACATAAGCAAAATGATGACAATGTGGTTCAATTTTATCCTTGGTTTAAATTTTATTCTCCTTCGTTCCAAACCTGTACATGCACATTACCATGCCCCCAAAAAAGGCAATTAAAATTTAAACCAAGGATAGAATTGAATTGCATCACTTACTGAGGACAGAACAACACAGGCAGTCAGTCCTACATAGTAAAAACTGTCAAGTTGAGCCAACATGGTTGTTGGCAAAGAAGATTGTTTGGAGGATGAAGTACTCTATTTGTGCAGTACTTCGGTCATTGAGGGTGGCTTTAACCACATAAACTGTTATGTCTTAAAACTCCAGTGAAGACTGAGTTGACAAAGAGGGAGGCAAACAATGAATGAATACATGGAACTTTAATAGATATTTTTAGCAGCAACAGTTTGCTGTGTTTCCCCTTTGAATTTGATATCCTTTTTTAGTCAATCAACGTCTGTTATACGATCTAGGATTCTTATACAGTCAAAATTCTCCTTGCGACAGCTCTCGAAAGTGACCACCTCTAGTAATGACCACATTTGTGAAATGTTGTTTGAACCTTGACTTGAACTTTGTAATGAAAAGTTGTTGTTTGCGATCGCTTCTGTAAGTGTCCACGACCACTTTTGGGATTACCCAACTGGACTTTTCCTCTCTTTGTAAGCTCTCGTAAGCCACCACTCAGGATTCTTATTTTTATAAATCAACAGTTTATTATTTCTTAATGAAACTGCACAAGGCGCTAATGGTTCGAGTTTCGAGATGTTTGGACTGAGTCTCGAGTCTCAAGTTTTGATGATCGAGGATCCAGAAGCAAGGTCTTCGTGTGAAAATATTTTTGTTTTCTGAAAGAACAATGTTGTACAGTCACATACCCGTTCAGAAATGCGCACCTTTGATCAGTGCTTGCGCATGCGGTGCGGTGCGGTGTTCTGTAACTGTTTGAATTGATCCTCTAAACGCAAGACTCTATCCTCGAAAGTTGTGGGAATCGAGTCTTGATGCTTAATCCACTCGAGTGACTGTCAAGTTACTTTTGAGCGGTACTGTAAATTGGCCTCAGGAGTGAACAAATTCTTGTTCTTGGAACATGATGGTTTTAAAATCTATTCTCTCTAGACCATGCCTTTATTTAACAGCCTTGTACAGTAAGAATGAGTACTCTCAAGAGTACTGGTGTAGTACTCGGGTGGCTACCTTTGTTTCCCAAACTTGGTTATTTTGTTAGTGTGGGCTTCATTTTTAAAAATTCCTGATTTCCCATGTGAACTTCCATCATGTCACTTCCTGCAATTCCTAAGAGACAGGCGACATAATGAGATTAGCTTTTCTCAGGGCTAGTCATTCCGTGATGAGCCAAAACTCTAAACTTTGAACTTCAGATGTTAGCTCATAATCACAAAGGGTGATCTAAAACATAAAATGCCAAAAAGCCGACCCAAAGGTTATAATTAAAAATAAGAATTTTGCACCGGAAGATAGAAGTGACGATTTGAATGTTTTCGTTATTAAATGTACATCCAAAACAAATGCAAGACACACAAAAAAATTATGCATTAACCCATGTCATTTTGCTGTTTCTGAACCTCGACTGTAATCGAGGGATTTGTCTTTCTCTGCGTAAGTTGGTAGTATAGAGTGTGTAAGTTGTGGTAAGGAATGTAAGCTGGAAGTTATGTAACTGCTACATTTTAAGGTGTGGAAACTAGATACCTCGTGTTATGCAATCATAACAGCACGTGTAAGATTCTTATTCTATAAGGTTTTGATTTAGGGTTGAAAGAGTGTGTCTCCTTGATGTGTAGGGCAAGTTGGAGTAATTTACAGTGGGAGTAATTTGATACTAATATCCGAATAAGAAGATGAGTAGCAGTGGACTCACAAAACAACTTTGCTAAGTTTGTGTCATTTGTGTTTCTAAATTTAGGTTGCAGACCCTAAAGCAGAGAGCACACAATGGAGAAAAGACTCACCATTTCCAAAGTCCTCAAAGTTGAGTCCTTATCTCAGATTTGGTTGTCTGTCAGTGAGGCATCTCTTTCATACAATGAACAAGGTTTATGAGGAGGTCAGTATGAAGAAATTTCTGGAAGATGTTTGTATTTGACTTAAAAAAAAACAAGAGATCAAATAAATGTAATGTAAAGTGGTTAGGTAGTGGATGAAATGAAAATATAGTTCTGATACATTGCATTTATGGGATGTTGTTCTATAATCTGTTATTGATATATTTTGTGGTCATTGCTCTGTAAAGGTGTGGTTGCTATATGCCCTCAAGTTATTCATTGTGCAAGGGTTAGGTTTCTTCTATGAAAAAAAGTTGATTACTACTATTATTATTATTATTATAAATTCTCCCCATATAGTTCTTGTAGAAAAGCCCACATATATTGGTTGGTTTGATTCTGAACTCAATCTTCATAAAGTCTTGATAGCCAAAGATTTTTTTTTGAATCCTGAGGCATGGACAAAAACCGTTCTCTGCATAACTCCAGCAACATTAACAATAGACTTGCTCCTATTTGGTGTACCATAGCACCAGGAACATCGACATTGTGTCAACTGAAGATTTTTTACCTTCTAAAAAAGGAAAGTTTATTACAGCGCACAGTGGACTATAAAGTGACTGCATTAGTGAGGTTGACTTTATGTGAGAATTGGTTTATTTGGCAAGAAAATTGTTGTCTGCATTAATGAGTGTTCGTATTAAGTAGGTTGAATTTAGAGGAAATGTAAGGGCTTTCCCCAGAGACAAAGAAAACTGTCTGTGACAATGAGTTGTCTGTATTAAGCGGGTGTCCATAAAGCAGGGTTCGACTGTAATATAAATTTTCTTTTAAATTTTATTCAAATGGGTACTTGAGATGACAGTTACATTTTTTGGGACTCTCCTGTTATCAGGTTGACGTAACTGCAATTAATGGCATTTGATTTAAACCTGAAATTGAAATGCCATGGTACTCACGATTATGATCCTTTGACCTATTTTAGGCACATAGAAAGCCTGCTCCACTCACAGTTCACATTCCCCTTTTGTGGCGAGAGTTCTTCTTTGTGGTGGCCAGCAGACATCCTAATTTTGACAAGATGAAAGACAACTCCCTTTGCTTGCAATTCCCATGGGAAGAGCAATCAGACAAACTGGAGCGGTATAAACAGGTGAAAGTTGAAGCTTATTCCTAGGGTGTTGTACCTTTTAAAGGACTTGAGGTGTGCAGCCCTATTAGAGATTGAAGTCACATTGAAAAAAGAAAAGAAAAATCAATACTTGTCCTTTGAGTGATTGAGTGTTGTTAGTTCATATTGCATTTAGAATGGCAGCCTTAAGAGGGAAAAAGGAAAAAACCTTGTCAGAACTCATGCCATGAGGGAGTCAATACCATTCTTACCAGGGCTCAAAATAACGGTCAGCCAACAGACAATGTCTGGACTGATTGGGGAGTTGACTGGTCAACCTCTCGTCTTGCCAGTGATGTTGACCAGTCACATTTGATCGTATTGAAACTGAAATAAATTAAAATTGCCTTGCTGTTCAGTTGTTTCAGTTGTTATCAGTATGTAGAGAGTAGCTGTGTATTGCATAACTTTCTTCACAGCTTCTGTTAGGTCGCAGGAAAAAAGTCACATTTTTTTTGTCGAGAATGCACTTTTACTCCTACCCCAATCTCCTTGCAGCTTCTCTGTTCTCACATGCCTTTATTACTTTGCGCCCCCGTTCTGCCATGTTACACAGGCTACGGGATTTTCAGGGACAGATTCATAGAAAAATTGGTGGATTTTGTGGGAATTTTGCAGACATTTTTGGGGCTAACTTCGCCAAAAAACAATTATTAAAAAAGTGCCGATTGCGTGGGATTTTTCTAGCCAAATTTTGTTAGAAATTGATCAATTTCGCCCTGATTTAATGTTTTTTAACAGAGATAATCATTTGCTATTTTAACAACAAGGTGCTTGAGAAATGAGCGATTGGCAAAGCTTTTAACATCGGCAATTAAGCCGCCATAAGTTTCTATTATGTTTCATCATTTTGTAGTTGGTAAGATTTCTACCTGAATTTCGCGCCTTTGCAACCCTCTGAAATACCAGAGGAAAGGCTGTTTTTCGGAAATATGTAACGCCACTTTTAGTTCATTGGTCCTTAATGTTTTAAGAGTTATTTATCTTATATATATTAGTGGCCAGGAATGATACCTGACCGAGCTAAAATGAATTTGGCCGGTCATCGTGTCCGGAGACTCTCCGGAAATTATTTTGAGCCCTGTTGAGTGAGGTTTACCAGTCGTTGTCATTGTTGTGACAGTTCCCTTCTTCTCTTGACTTAAGTAGTATTCATGTAGTTGCGAGATTATAGTAGGCATAGGAATCAATTACTGTTCAGAACTAAGAAAATGAAAAGTAATTATTGTTATGTAGCATGCTTGTGGAATCCCATAAGATATAAAAAAGGTTAAAAGCTAGTCACTGTTTTTGGAATGGTAATGCTTTAAAAATAACAATGCCATAACAAGTCGTACAGTGGTGTTAGGCAGCAAAAGTCCAATTGGCACACTTTTTTGGAGTTTCTTTCAAAATACTTTCATGGTTTGATAGACCACTCACATTTCATCTGATGTTTTTCAGGGTAAGACTGGTTTTCCGTGGATTGATGCCATGATGCGCCAACTATTCAAGGAGGGGTGGATTCCTCATGTTGCGCGTCAGGCTGTGGGCTGTTTCTTGACCAGGGGAGCTCTCTGGATATGTTGGGAGGAAGGATTTAAAGTGAGTGTGATCATTATTTTATTTTTTAGGTCAATGACGTGGGCTTTTAACAGCTTCCAGGCTGCGCTGATGGAGTGAACCCATAACCAAATTATTATTGTGGCTTTATGTTTTCAGTAAGACTCATTGCTCTTTACACTTGCTCGTAAAATGGTCATTGTTGTCTCTCATGTCATGAAAAATGAAAATTGTGACATATCCCCCTCAAAATTGTCATCTCTTGGAAATGTCTGTAAGTATCCCTCTTTAATACAAGTGTGAAGAGCAGCATTGATTTAATTTGCTTTTGGAAAATCATAGTCCTGTTCAGTAGCATAACACACACGATGCATTAAAATTATATGCAGTGATGTGTGTAATAAAAGGAAAACACAGGGCTCGAAATTGCAACTGTTACAGTCGCCAATGCAACTAACATTTTCTCCTTGGTGACTGAAAATTCTGGTTTAGTCATGTATTTGGTAAGATTTCTAGCGAATTTTGTGGTATTTTGCATGTTTTTGTGGATTTCGTGGGATTTTGCGGGTTTACTTGAATTTCGTGGCTCCTCGACTGCGCCACCGAGCATTGCCCATTTTGCAGCAGAAAAACCTACTTGCCCCAGGTGCACTTGGTTCTAGCCCTGTAATTATAAAAAGAAGAGTGAAAAGAAAAAACCATTAAATTACAAGAAAAAAAAGTCAAAGTATATTTGATATAAAAATTTCAGATATTTGAGAAGTACCAGCTGGATGCTGAATGGAGTTTAAATGCTGGATGCTGGATGTGGCTGTCTTGCAGTGCTTTTTTTGCTAAGCACCCCCAATGGATGTGCCCTGTTGGTCTTGGAGAGCACATGGATCCGCAGGGAAAATATGTTAGGTAAAGACTTGATGTAAATCTAGGAAATTTTATGAAGATCTCTTTTTCTGGCAAATTTTCAGTTTGGCTGCTGTAACTAGGGTCATCCAGAAGAAAATTTGACCAATCACTTCGCGGGAAACTAACAATACATTCTGAGAAAGTAGTTTTTTCGAGCCAATCAGCAACTAGTAGGAAACAATAAGTACCCAAAGTGCAAAAGTTAAATATTGATATCCATTGTCAATTATCCACCTATGGTATGTACTAAGTAGTACTATGGCCTATACGTGAAAGGTGGAAGGCAGGAATGTAAAATGTGATTTTCTGTAATTTACATCAAGGTATTGCAATGAAAGGTGATAAAGGCAGGGCCTAAATGCTAATTGAAGGGATTCTGATGGTTTTGCTTTGCCTTGACTTTTAAATGATCTTGTCAGTGGCTTGCTTAACTGCTCTTTATCCCCATGCTAAGTGTTAACATGAGCGTTTTTGGTTCTTTGAAGGAAATATGTTCCTGAGTTGAAAGATTTTCCTGACAAATACATTTATCAGCCTTGGACAGCACCTCTGGAATTGCAAAAGGCAGCAAATTGTATCGTAGGTACTGACTATCCTCAACCAATGATCAACCATCAAGATGCCAGGCGAGACTGTATTGGTAGACTGAGAGGGGTTTATCAGACCCTAGTTTGTAAGGGTAAGTCTTTATGATGTTAGTTTAAAACATATCAGCTTCGTGAAGGTTATTTTAGAAGTTGTCATACCACCTCTACAGTGAGTTGTTTAATATGAAATTGTTCCAGAGAAGATGTGTTGATTAGAAGTAGCAGGTGTGGAAATATTCTTAATGGTATTTTTGGAGTGAACAAGAAATTGGGGGGAAGGAAACTTGTTGTTGCAGGGGTACTGTTGGCAAAAATTTTGAATTTTCTTTTGCATAACTTAGGAAAAATACTATAGATTAAAACATGGGTGATAAAGAAGAGTTCTTAATCTTTTTTCTGTTATTCCCCTCAAAGATGTTTCATCTGGTTACAACCCTTCTTGGTTTTAAAGGTTCATCTGCACTAAATCTATCTGTGCATTTGCCATGTTTAAGAATGGCAGTTTGTGAACTAGTATAAGGGTGAAAGGGACCTGGTAAATCTTGTCTGTCCACCTCTTATCTTAACTTCAGTCTCATTCTGTGTGCCCTTTATTGCAGTGTCCTCAAATGTGGGGCTAGGCCATAACTCCATGCATTGGTTCAGGAAGGATTTAAGGCTTCATGATAATCCTTCACTTCGTGAATCCCTTATGAACTGTAGAACTTTCCGTGCTGTTTACATACTTGACCCGGTCAGTGCCAAAGCAGCCAGTGTTTCTGCTAACCGCTGGAAATTTCTCTTGGACTGTTTAATTGACCTTGACAAGAGTCTGCGCAAGTGTGGGTCAAGACTGCATGTTATTCGAGGCCAGCCAACTTATGTTTTACCAAAGCTCTTTCAAGAATGGAATATTTCAAAGCTGACTTATGAATGTGAGACTGAGCCATTTGGGCAGCGACGAGATGTTGCTGTAGCTGTTCTTGGTGAAGAGCATGGAGTGGAAGTCATTTCTAAACCATCCCATACTTTATATGACCCTGAAAAAACCATTGCCTTCAACAATGGAGAGGCACCTCTCTTGATCAAGACTTTTGAGAATGTACTAAGGCAGATGGGTCCTCCAGAAAAGCCTGTTGAAGCAGTTAACAGGGAGATGTTTAAGGGTTGTATCTGTCCTGTAACAGCAGATCACACTGGGAGATTTGGTGTTCCAGAACTAGGTGAGCTCGGATTCAATGATGATGACATCACAGTAGGTGACCTCTGGGTGGGTGGAGAACAGGAGGCCCTCAGGAGACTAGCAGAACTTGAAGAAAAGGTGAGTCCCAAAAAGATTTTATTTGAAGAACTTAAAGTGCAACTAAACCCAGAAAATGTTTTTGTTTATCAATATCTCCCTATTGTTCTGATAACTTGTGCGAAACAGTCTTTGTCGTAGGGCCTTTCCTTTTATTTGAAATAAATTTTTAAAGTTTCAAATTTTGGCAGTTCTTGTGGCTGCGAAGAATGGGTCCGAGCTTACTGTGACATCAGTGAAGGAGATTAAGATGGAATCCATCAGGAAACTGATAAATTGAAATTTTCAGTGGACAAAAACCTTGAACCAGAATATTTTAATCCATATCGCATTCTTTTTTAGCACTTTTCAAGGGCTATAGATATAATTAATTACCTGCAATAACAACAAAAACAGTTTCTTATGGGAGCCCGAGACAATAAATTTCAAAGTTCACAGGAATTGAGAAAGCAAAGGTAAAATTGGGTGCAGCATGCTTGAAATTATTCTGGTACAAGGTTCTCGTCCACTGAAAATTGCAGTTTCTCAATTTCCTGATGGATTCTGTCTTTATTTCTGGTGAGCAAAACAAACTTCACTTGAATTGTATGCATGCCTGTATTGTGTTTCGTTGTAATAATACGGCCCATCCCTAAAGAGGTTTCAGGCTCCATAAAATCCGATTCCAGGGTGATGAACTTGCTGAGTGTATCAAGAGAAGAAAGATGTGGCTCAGATAGAACACTTCTTCCCTTTTTTGCCTGCCAGCCTCACACTTCTGAGTATGAAATGCTCCACAAAAGGTTGGCAATGGGACTTAAGAGACGAAACTTAAAACAGCGGTGGAAACACGGGGACTTCATCAATCACCGTAATTTTTGGTACAAGTCATCAGGATGATACAAGGTTTTTTTACTCAAAACATTTTGGGGGTTACTTGCACTTAAACAACATCTCAGGCACCTTCAAAGACTCTTAACAGGTGTTTCCCCACATAGTGAATTGATAGTATGAAATTAATAGTTGAGCTTGCATTTGCTGTTTTTAATTTTTAAGGTTCTCTTTGGAAGTAAACCAAAAGAAGGGATAGATGCTCTGCTGCCCTCTAACACACAGCTTAGTCCTTACCTTCGCTTTGGATGTCTGTCTCCACGGCTTTTTCACATGCGGCTGACCAAAGCGTACATTCAGGTAGGTTTCATAGCTGTCATATACGTGAATTATTACTTTAGGCATTACATACAGTTAAAGCTCAGTTCCTGGGTGGACACCTTTTGTCTTGAGCATGCGGCTTATTGGAATGATCCTTGCAAGTAGCAGCTATTAGCAGCATAAGTGTTAGTGATAGGTGAATTTTTATGGGGCATGTGCTGCTCACAGTTAACACTGTTCTTGCCAGTAAAAGAATACCACTGTTTCATGCTAAATCATTGTTTTATTGTTGGGTTTTTTCCAAGGCAGCTGCAAGTAGGGCTGTCATAATGCAAGAGTGTCTGTTAGGAGACTGCTTTGTTTGTTTACATAAAATCAGGATTTAACTCATCCTAACAGGATCATTTCTTTCTGGTAGAGATCTGTACAGTTATTGCTAGCTTAAACCTAAACAAAGAAAATGGTACACACCCCTTGCCTGCCTTGAGGACTATGAGTGTGTCATGTGCTTGAATGTGTGGAGTTATAATGGTGTGAAACAGACCACTGGGTTATGGGAATGTAAAACCAATTGATGGTGTGATTGCATTGTGTTTTACAGGTGAAATGCCAGCCACCACCACTGTCCCTCTACAGACAGTTGGTGTGGAGAGAATTTTTCTTCACTCTTGCTACTCAGAATCCGCATATGGATCGAACAGTTAATAACCCTCTTGCACTCAATATTAATTGGGAAGAAAACGAGGAAGCACTTGATGCTTGGAAAAAGGTACTAAGAGCCTTTTAAATGGCTGAATTTTAACTGTGCAATTCAAAGAAACCTGTGAACACCAACCAACCACAATAGAGACCTTTTTTTCTAAGATGAGTTAATAAAATGTGGTTGCCGTCGTCATTTTACTACAAGTCTTAGCGCGAATGTCGTGGTGGCGAAAACAAGATATCAAATGTTAGAAGTTTTATCATTTTAAGGTCGGGAGAGGGTTTGACCTTCGTCACTTAAGATAACAGTGCTAACTTTTGTAGAGGAAAATGGTAAAATGAAGCTTTCCAGGATTATTTTGAGAATACGGGAAAAAACGTTAAGTCAAATCTCGTACTCGTAGTTCTCCTCGTCCTCGAATCTAAGGGTCTCTAATAAGGTTCAGGACACACAAGCTGTTTGTGGTTTAGTCTTCTCATGCGTGTTTGACCTTGTATAACAATAAAATTCTGGTTGCCAGGTATACACAGATAGTAAGTGGGGAATTGAAAACTGCTACATGTAGAAGGATTTTTATTTTGGTTCTATTTTCCTTTTGTCTCCCATGAAAGTAGCTGCGGGTCCTGCTCATAGCAACCGAGGGAAAAATCCCTGGTCCCTCAATGGGGTGTAATATCAGGTATTATTTTATTATGTTTTAGGGGCAAACTGGCTTTCCATGGATTGATGCTGTGATGCGGCAACTTCGAACTGAAGGGTGGATTCACCATGTGGCTCAGCAGGTAGTGGGCTGTTTCTTGACCAGAGGATGTCTGTGGTTGAGCTGGGAAGAAGGTTTCAAAGTAAGTGCATGTAATAAACTCTTTCTAAAGTGAACACCCTTACTAAACAGTTTGATTATCCATTCATACCGATTTCCACAAGTCAGAGCAATCTTCTCGGTATCCTAGGAAAGATGTGACTAATCACTTGACTTTTGTTTGTTTGTTGATAATTGAAGTGTCATCAAAATTTTCGGTGTTTCAGTGTTAACATTGAGCTCACAGACTAAGTACACCGTGATAGTATGTAGGGGGTACATATTTTTTGTAAGGCTCCTGGGACTGAACATAAGAGTTTCAACTGTTACTTTATGGTGTTGCAAATTCTCTAACACAGATTTTCTGGGAAGAGCAGTTAGCACTTAATTCAGTTTCATTTAAGAAAACCTGATACTTAGGTCAAAATTTATGGAATTGAGCATTTTAAGCTTATTGTTGTTAAAACGCATGAAGTGGCTTAAAAGGTTTTAACTTTTAACTACATTGTTCTTGGTTAAGACATAGGAGAATTATCTACTTGCCATCATAACAATACCTTAGACAGGCAATGTGCATGTGGGATCAATTTAAGGTTTTTGAGAGTGATAATAGCTCAGGGCTGTTAGAGATATTCACGTGATTGAACTTGAATGCATAGAAATTTATCCAGACTTATTTATTGTTGTGATACTGTAATATTGAAGTTTATGAAACATGTTGACTGTGTGACTCACCCTTACGTTGTCTTGCTTTAGTTGTTTGAGGAGCTACAGTTGGACTCGGAGTGGAGCTTAAATGCTGGCAATTGGTTGTGGGTGTCTTGCTGTGCATTTTGTCATGGGCAAATTCCATGGTACTGTCCAGTTAATGTTGGCAGAAAGGTGGACCCATCAGGAAATTTCATCAGGTACTTAAACAAGCAGCATTTTCAATATTGTATGTAAGGTCTTCTTGAACAAGGCAATTTTTCATGCAGCTCGTGGCACAATTTTGGTATGACACAAGGTGCTTAAATAATTGCACAGTCCTAAAAAATGAACATGGACTTCTCCCAATGTTTCTGGTACCGCAGCAGGCGTTGCACAAACTAGACTAAAATTTGTGTTTAATAAGAGTTCTTTTTCAACTATTATTTCAGGCGATATGTTCCCGAGCTAAATGCCATGCCCACGAAGTACATCCACGAGCCGTGGCTTGCGCCCATAGCAATACAGAAGGCTAGTAACTGTGTTATTGGTCAAGATTACCCTGAACGCCTTTGTGATCACATTGAGAGACGCAAAATCTGTCTTGAAAGGCTTAAAGAAGTGTGCCAGCAGATGAAGGGTGCAAAGCAATCTCCCAACAGAATTGCTTTAGATTAATGATATTTCTATTGTGAAGATAGAGTTACCACACAAGACCTAATATTCCATGTGGTGATAAATACCACACTAATCCTAGGACTATCCAACCCACCGGGGGATGGGATAGAATTTTCATGCAAAAATCCATAGTATTGTCGAATGCAAGACAACAGATGGTACTGTAACTGATTTGTGCAACATACAGTCAACTCCTAGAATGAAACGCGACTGAAGAAAGCAGCAGGTTGTGTTTCTGGGTCCCAGAAATGTGTGTGTATCTCCTCTGTGTATAAATACTAACCAATAATCTTTAGACAGCCACAAAACTAAGCTAGCCAGGGACTCACATCAACAGCGCAGTTGTGGAGTTTCTAAGGTTATTGCAGATGTTTTTCTTTTCTTTTTTCATTTTTTCGCTTTATCTGTTTACTTATAATTAATTTTTACCTACTGTTATCGCAGCTTAGGAGGTCTTCTTTTGGAGACGGTCTCTGTTCCCGTCTTTGAGTGCAGAGCTAGTTTCATATCGTAAATCTATGTTAAGTGCCAGGCCAAGTGCCAGTAATCAGCAACGTTGTTATCTTAACATTGTTAAGGTAGCCTAATCTGTTTCTGTCCTTAAGAAAAGGTATTATTCATCAAGGGCAAAAAATACATATATATTATGTCGGAGTATTAGGAGCGGGTATACTACAGTACAGTACTAACTACAGTAAACACCCGCTAACTACAGTAACCCGTACTAACTACAGTAAACACCCGCTAATAAGAACCTACCATTTTTAAGTCTGCCAAAATAAGTTCCTATATTTTGGGGCACTTACTGGCAATTTATGTTAAGCAGGTTTGTAATTTCTATGAAGGCGATAATAGATTGTTGATTACCAGAAAAATAAGAAAACTTTTTATTTATTCACAATTTTATTATTATAACGCTAACAAAACTGATTACCACGTTTATATACTGTTTAGTACAGGATGTTCTTGTTATACTTAAATTTACAACTCAAAGTTACACTCCTTGGTTAAATTGTTCATCACAATAACCCACATATAAGAGCCTGCTTGATCTTGGCTAAACAGGTTTCTGTATTTTTGGGTATTAAAGTGGCAAGTTTCTACCAGGATAGCTATAAGACAATATATATTTCCTTTCAAGGAAGTAGAGAGCGTGACATGTGACGCTTCGTTTCTTGAGGAAAACTAACCTTATTTATCCTAGCTTCGGTAAAGTTACCGTTTGTGATAGGCTTTTGCTGGCGACTTGGTTTCTGGAACAGTGGGAGGACAGTTGGTTGTAAATAAAAAAATGACGGTTACCCAAGTCAGCTTACCAGACTCGACAGATGGATGACCGCTGTGGAAATGTCTTTCTTAAGACTGCAAGCAGGCTCTTTTTTTCTTAAAAGTCAAAGGTTGAGCAAGAAAAAAGTGTATTGCGGGCGAGCGCTATCACAGTGAGTACCAATTCCGATCCGGGAAAAATGCTTTCTTAGGCTGGCTCTCTGACTGCTGTTTTCTTTTCGCGCTCCACTGTCGCCTGTGCTATCCATTTACCTTCAAAGAAAAATAGTAGACTGGTGGCGGTGTAAATTCATTGAGGGTATTATAGGCATTTTGTCGCTGTTAGACCTGAGATGTGTCTAATTCGCAAAACACGAGAATCGAGGATACCTCTCTTGGATATGAAAGTTGTAGTATAGCTGTAAATAGTCAACGTGTGGCAAGTTCGAAATTTTTTTCTGGAGTTGTCAGTATCGTTTCCTAACCAAAAGGAATGTAGTACAAGGGCGGGTTTTAGACGGAGTTGTAGATAGTAATTTAAAAGTACATTAATAAGAGAGACAGTGACACATAAGCTTTGGTGTCGATCGGTTTAGCAAAACTTATTTATCCATCAATACCCAAGAGCAATGAATGTTAGGGAAACAGTATCTTGTACTTTGTGCCGTTTTCATGGAAATAAAAGAAGGAAAGTAATGTGTTAGTCTGCGTAATTGATACAAACTTCGTAGGCTTTCATTTCGTTGGGAACAGGGTTGTGGATGGAGAAATCTCTTGACGTTAATATCGAAAAAGAAACCAAAAAATTAATTGATTTAACAATTAGGTGATCTCGAAGACATGAAGTTGAAAAGTTAATGGTACAAGCGCTACCGTTGTCAATCTTTCTCGGCGATTGAGGGACAGTTAATAACAACGGAATACGTACGTCACTTATGGGACCAAGCTGCCCGCGGATTCTCTCTTGTTGCCCTTGTAAGCTTTGCAACGATTATGTTAAGCGATTGCGACGATCATATGGAAAAGCCCGATCGTAGCGATTGTAGCACCATTGTTGCGGCGAAGTTCGCTCCAATGCCTTGATCGTTAACCAGCGATCAAGCGGCCCTTCTTCCCTTATCTTTTCTTTGGGGGCACCGTCCGCCGACCAGAAGGAAAAGAAACGCTAGATCTAAAGTCAACGATAGTGCATCAGTCAATTCCAGCTGCGCTTCCTCCCCCGGTGCAACTGCGGTTATGTGTTTCTGCCAGAAACTCATAAGGGTTCAATCTGCCACAACATAATTAAACTATGCGCCGATTACAACAGACACTACAGTGTCTACTATAACACTTAAACTTGTGAACAGGCTCTCCGTTTGGGAGAAGGGGGCAAAAAGGCGGGGTAAAACTGATGGACAAGGGGAAGTGCGGAAAAGAGGGGGATCCATGCCCTCCTAAGGAGCCTGGTTTCATCCTATGTACGTTAAGCTCAACTAGCTACCGCGACCTTGTACATGAAAAACAGACTTCTTGTCTGAATTGAAGGGTTAAGTTTAAAAATCTCTAACCGATTCTTCCTTAGTTTTCCTCATGTCTAGCCTCCCACGCAGGCGTTTTGAGGGGAGCTCGTATTTCGTTCCTTCCCACAGAATAGGAGCTCCCCTTAAAAAAAAGCCTGTCTTGGTGTCGTCACGCAACGGGGCAGGAGCGTTATTCTAGTTCACAGAACGCTCTTTCTTGCGCTAATTGGCCATTGCTGCCCCTAAAAGGAATTGCTACCCTCAAGTTAAGGCTGGTTCCCACCGATTCCCATCTGAGCGATTGCGACGATCATATGGAAAAACCCGCACGTAGCGATTGCAGCACGAGCGAAGTTCGCTTCAATGTCACGATCGTTAACCAGCGATCAGGCGGCCCTTTTCCCTTATCTTATCTTTTCTTTGGGGGCACCGTCCGCCGACCAGAAGAAAAGGAAACGCTAGATCTCAGGTCAACGATAAGCGATCCTTTCTGTTATATAAGAAATGTTATATAATAATACATGCCCTGCCTAAACACAGCTCCGCACTCGCAGAGACGAAAAAATATTGTGTAGGATCTGAACAGGAGTTTTTTTCGGCGGTGCGAGTCTTAGTGTTTCGGATTGGTGCGATAACCAAATGACGTAATGCAAATGACTGACACTTAAACTGACTTAATCGACCGTACAACCAGGTACAACTGCTGCGAAGGTTTTGGCGACACCAGGAGACAGTCGTGTTCATCAGTTAGGTGGGTGATTTACCTAGACTGTAAACCAGGTGGCAGGCTGGGTGGATGAGGAACTGTACTTTTCAGTCATTCTTTGGAAAATCCGAGAGGGTCCGAGAGGCCCCATCACACACAACAAGTCTCTTGTGGTAGAACAGCATCAAAAAGGCCTCTGAAACCAATAGACCTTTCCACGGTTTTTTTCAACTTTTGACATGTAGATGTTAGGGAAAATCCGTCGACACCATTGCAAAGAGCGTCTTAAAATTAGTACAATTGCCAAGTTTGAGAGTAATTTGTTGAAATTTAACGGAGATAGAGCTCCTGAGTTGCGAAATTTTTCAGACGTTTTGTCGGGATGGTCACTGATTGGTTGGGGGGCAAGTTTGGGGGCACAATTTTCGCAACCTTTGCGGAGCTATATCTTTCGTTTAGGTTTAGCAACACTTATTTATCCATCAATACCAGAAGCCGTCAATACCCAAGCGCAATGAATATTAGGGAAACAGTATCTTGTACTTGGTGCCGTTTTTATGGAAATAAAAGAAGGAAAGTAATGTGTTAGTCTGCTTAAGTGATACAAACTTCGTAGGCTTGCACTTCGTTGGGAACAGGGTTGTGGATGGAGAAATCTCTCGCCGTTAATATCGAAAAAGAAACAAAAAACTTAATTGATTTAACAATTAGGTGATCTCGAAAAGATGAAATTGAAAAGTTAATGGTTCAAGCGCTACCCTTGTCAATCTTTCTTGGCGATCGAGGGACAGTATAAATACTTATGTCACTTAACAGGGGCACCCAACGAGAATATAGTTCAAAACCACTTAAACATAGCATTGTTGAACGTATTTTAGTATTTAAACGGTAGATATAGGCATATTTTTGTGCCCTAAAAATTTTTCATCTATTCGGGTTTCCTAGCCTGAAAGTCTAGTGATCCGAAAATTATAGGGATCAAAACTTACCTTTTCGAAAATTTCAGCCAGAAAAAAGGCTCCCATAAATTCTATGTGACCTTTTTAAGGTAAAAATCCGTAAAAAATGGGCAATTATATCATTTGGGGGGGTTCGAAAATCCTAGGAGAGGCGGGCAAGCAAGAAATTTAACAACAAATGTTCCGAAAATTCTATATCTCAAATCGTCTTCCGAACAGATATTTTCCAAAAGTTGTCGTTGGGTGCCCCTGACTTATGGAACCAAGTTGCCCACAGTTTGTGTCTCGTTCTTCTTGCAAGCTTTGTAACGATTTTCTTCGATATCTCCTGGCGCAATAAAAACCTGCCACTAGGACTCCGAAGATGGCCACTTCATCGTTTCGATGTTACTACTTAAACGGCACTTGCTAGTACAGTAACTGCAGCAGCTGTAACTTGAACACTAACTACAACCAGAAACCCATAAGGGTTCAATCTGCCACAACATAATTAAACTACACTACAACCAGCTATACGCCGGTTACTACAGACACTACAATGTCTACTATGAAACTTAAACGTAGCCTGTGAACAGGCTCTCCATTGGGGGGAAGGGGGCAAGAAGGTGGGGTAAAACTGAATGGAAAAGGGGAAGTGCGGAAAAGAGGGGGATCTACCGATCTTTTTCCTGTCACTCGACTTTCCTTGCCCGCCGAAGGAGCCTGGTCTAATCCTATGTACGGTAAGCTCAACTGACTACCGCGACCTTGTACATAAAAAACAGACTTCTTGTCTGTCTAAAAATCTCTAACCGATTCTCCCTGAGTTTTTCCCATGTTTAGCCTACCACGCAGGCGTTTTTTAAGGGAGCTCGTATTTCGTTCCTTCCCACAGAATAGTAGCTCCCCTTAAAAAAAAGCCGCTCTTGGTGTCGTCACGCAACGGGGGAGGAGCGTTATTCTAGTTCACAGAACGCTCTTTCTTGCGCTAATTGGCCATTGCTGCCCCTAAAAGGAATTGCTACTCTCTAGTTAAGGCTGGTTCCCATCTGATCGCTAAAAAAAGAAGTTAAGCGATTGCGACGATCATATGAAAAAACCCGAACGTAGCGATTGTAGCACCGTTGTTGCGGCGAAGTCTCGCATGTTTTCAGGCTCGTGATGTTATATAAGAAATGTTATATAATAATACAACAAGTGTTGTTTAACTAAGGTGCAATCCATGCCCTGCCTAAACACAGCTCAGCACTCGCACAGACGAAAACCTATTGTGTAGGATCTGAACAGGGGTTTTTTTCGGCAGTGTCTTTAGTATTTCGGATTCGTGCGATGACCAAATGACGTAATGCAAAAGACTGAGAAGAACAAGACAACAACTGCTACAAAGGTTTTGGCAACAGCAAGAGACAGTCGTGTTCATCAGTAAGGTGGGTGATTTACTTAGACTCACTGTTAGACTGTAAACAAGGTTTTTTCAAGTCATTCTTTGGAAAATCCGAGAGGGTCCGAGAGGCCCCATCACACACAACGAGTCTCTTGGGGTAGAACAGCATCAAAAAGGCCTCTGAAATCAATAGACTTTTCCACGGTTTTTTTCAACTTTTGACATGTGCAAGATGGGGAAAATCCGTCGACGCCATTGCAAAGAGCGTCTTAAAATTATTACAATTGCTAAGTTTGAAAGTAATTTGTTGAAAGCTTACGGAGATAGAGCTCCTCGAAGTTGCGAAATTTTTCAGACGTTTTGTCGGGATGGTCACTGATGTTGGGGGGCAAGTTTGGGGGCACAATTTTCCCAAATATATCTTGGCTCGCGTAAGACGTATACAAACTACGTGTCACTTACAGCACTTATATTTGGCAATGTTACCAATTTGAAGGCGCTTTTTCCATTATGGTGTCGACCGATTTTCCCTAACTGGTCCGTGTCAAAAATTGAAAAAACCGTGTTCCGACAACGAACACCGCGCTCTACTATCTGAACGCCTGGGACAGGCTATGGAAGGGTCGATTGAAACAGGTCATGATATCCTTCCCTGCTAGCAGGGAAAATATATTCAGATACAGTTTTCAATATAGGTTCAGATTTGCCAGTCGACCAATGCGACGCAACTTTTAATTCATTTTTAGCTCATGGATGACGTAGAGGCAGTCGAATGGCACTCGATCACTCACTGTCATTAATTTATTCATTAAACTCGGGATTAAAGATTCGACTCCTACCTCCCCTACTATGTATTGCTTTTGTTCCAAGTGCTTCATGCGCATATGTTTTTGGCAGACTCTAGCGAGTACTAGAAAGGCTTACATTTTTGCCCAATAACATAGAGTAGATGATGGGTTTTCGTGACAATAGTCTGAAATGTCATATGTCTCCACCTCCTACCCAGTAGGGGGTGCGGGGGAGAGAGACTATCGCGTAATCGCGGCTTGAAGATGGGATTTCTTTCTGTAGTCTTTCAGTGAAAAGCTAATAAGCCAAAGAATCCTAGCTGTGGAAAATGGATCGCGAATTGTTGAAGCGACGTTAAGTAATATCTATGTTATTGCCAACGACCGAGCAAGCCGAGCGAAGAGGGTCGGCTTGCGAGGCGGCCAGTTTAATGCCACGCGGAAGTATTGCAGCAGACAAAAAAAATTTTCGACCGTGCTAGCGTTAGATTTCACGTGTAGTTTTCACGTGACTTTTGATGACCTCACGCGAAGGCAGAAAAATTCTCGATCTTATTGTGAAAAGTGTATGGAGATTTTAGTAGCGTTAAATTTCACGTGTAGTTTCACGTGACTTTTGATGACCTTTGTTATAATTATAAACAAACCTTCAAAGTTCGGACATTGTTCTCTGTCTAGCCTAGACTGGGAGCAGTCTCTCTTTTTCTTCAGATTTACTGAGGGGAGTGAGCGCGAGCGCGAGTGTCGAGCGACGAAGCCGCGAGAGGCGAGAAACGAGGGCGGCTGCCTCTCCAATCTCGCGTCTTTAGTCAGGCGCGTGGTCATTTGCGTATCTCGCACGTTTTGCTCGACGGACCAAGAAAAAAGACAGACTGCTCGTAGTCTATGCCCAGCCTGTTCACAGACCCTCTATCTTTGCGTTGCGCAAAGTTCTGTTTAGGCAGGAGCCCATAACGGGCTCCTGGTTTAGGACGTTAAGGAAAAAGTAGACGCTCTCCAAATATTAGTAAGTGGTGGCAAATAAAAAGCCTATCTTTCCTTCCTTCGAACAGACTTCAGCTGAGACCTCAGTTCACATTTGGCGGAATGCAGATAGTGTACCTCCAGTGACACTGAGAAATTTACAAACAGCTTTGTTTTTCGGTACCAGGGCTATATGTAGTTTACCCGGGGGGAGGGGTACTTCCTTATAAGAGGCTAATGGGGATGTGCCGCTGGATGGGGTCGCATTTTCACGACTGGATTGCCTATAATGGGGTCGCACATTTTCTGATTTTTGGGGTAAGACAGTTCTTCATATTTACGGTTAGCAAACGTACCAGAATGTTTGTACTGTAGGTGAAAAGTAAAGTGTTAGGTAGATACATTTTTGAAAGTGACTAAGTTGGGATCGCGAAAATTACGTTTTTGCCCAAAAGTGACTAAGATGGGATCTATAATTGGCCACAGAATAGACTATAATGGTGTAGGGGCTCCGAGAGGCCAGGGGCACGTACCCAGCAAAAATTAACCCAAGTACCCCCCGGGGTAGTTCATATACACTCTTTTTTTTATAAGAATATATTTTATAAGAGTTTCGAGGCTGAAGTTTGCGAAATTTTAAGAATATTTTAAGAATAAAGCCGAGGCTGAGATTTTGAAAAGGATCGATATAATTTTGTGTGTTGAAACATCTGTAAATACAATACAATTTTATGTTTTTAACTTAACCGTATAAAATTATTCCAACTAGCTAACAAAACGAAAAAACCTGCACTAGCTATAGCAAAATGTTCAACGCTAATGACAGTTCGACGAACGGTGCATGTAATACATATGTACAGTATTCAGCACAAAAGACATAAACTAAACCGCAAAAAAGTGTTATGACAAATTCTTTCCTTTTTAAATAACAAAACCTAGCGAAAACAAAAACAGCACTAGGCTTTATTTAAGAATAATTCAAGAATATTTTCAGCCTAAAATCGGCAGAAAAATAAGAATATTCAGCCTGGGCCGGAAAAACAACATTCTTATAAAAAAAAAGGGTGTATAGAGGATAATATATGGCTGCGAGGAGATACGAAATTTTTCTTCTCGTGTTGAAAAATATTTCACTCTTTCGCTGGTTTTTCAACACGAGAAGAGAATTTCGTATCTTCAAGCGGCCATGTAATGTTCTATTTATTATATTTACACCAATGAAATGCCAAACCATTTCACTTGAATATTTTTTTGCTGCCGAAAGGCGCTATATATTATGTACCCATAGGAGGGGGACATTGGGGGTACCCAGTGCCGCAATACCGTGAAAAATTGGCAAATACCGAAATACCGTGCCAAAAATGGATGAAATACTGAATACTAATACATTTATACAGCTGTATCCATCTCGCGTGTTTGTTTACCTCAAGCATGTAGGCACCAGAAATCAAACTCAGACATTGGGAGAAAACGTGAGAAGACCTTGATCGGTAGAACGATTGAAATGCCCGGTTATTGGATGCCCTTCCAATTTCGTCATAGATTGTGTAATCATTTACCATTAAGTCTAAAGTCTTAAAATATTAACTTTTATTAACCTGTTAACATTAATACTGTTGTTCGTGTTGAACATTGTATTGAACTGTATTAGACAGGAGAGCGCATATAAATGGTACCGCAATACCGTGAAGGACCCCTCTAGTATTTTCTCTTCAAAGTCCGTCGAGCGAGGGTGATGAAATATAAACCGCAGGGGTTTTATTGACCGCCAGCGCAAGGGGGTAGGGGTGGGGGAGGAAGAAAATATTTTCTTTCTCGCGCTCCACGCTCGTTCTCGCACACTCGCTTCGTTCGAAGATGTTTTCGAAAAGAACGAAAAGAAAAAAAAAATAACGTCTGTGTACAGGCTAGATTGCTATTTTAATCAACACTACCAGCACCGCACCAATCAGAAGCTGCATTCGTGTGCAAACGCAGTTCTTCAAAATCGTGGGGTTTGCGGGCAAGCGTTTCCTTGTCTCCCCCACTCCCCCGTCATTCCTCTTTTTTTTGCTCTCGTCCCATTTTTGTCGACGAACTCGCGCGGAAACGCTTTCTACACACGCTCGGCTCTGAGGAACAAAGGACGACCGCGTGCGGTCTATTTTTTCACATGTGAAAATAACATGACATTTTCTGAAATTTTCACGTGTAAAGATATCATGTTTTCGCGTGAAAGCTCACCTGGTATTTCTTTGGTATTTATGTAATAAATGTTATTCAATTTGTATTAAAACCAATGGCCGATTTGAAATAAGAGAGGATCCCCGGTCCCCTACTCTCTGCTTTTAACACTAGGCGAGGATTTGAGCTACTCACAGGAGCAAAGCAACAGGGTCAAGTTGCATTAAAACCCATGTCATGTAAATTCTTTATTCCAATACAAAAATAGAGAGCATCAGAAGTAATCGGCTCCTGAGAGCATATATAACGCAGGTTGATTTCCCCCTGGTATCACGCATTACACGAGAGAAGTTCGCGTTTTACTCGTGTCCCTGTCTTTCCTTTTCCACACGATAAACATATTTGAAAACCGAAAAATACTGTGTGAATGTGAGAAAGTTCAAGATAAAGGTAAAACAGGATTTTCGAACGAGCATCCCCGTCTGATATTCATATAGGAGTAACGCCCTCAACCCCCCCCTCCCCTAACCCCACTACTTGGGAGGAACGCTTTGTTTTTTTACTTGCGCTGCGTGATTTTGAACTCACGTTTTTTTAGCTCGGTGCGCATTCTGGCTACAAAAACGAGACAAGCGGATTTTCATATGACGAAGTTTTTCGGCCCGTTCTAAGCGTAGATTCGTGGGGATTACGGTGAGTTCGATTCTAGATATTTTTTATAAAATACCTGCTACATAAGAATGATGAATACGCCAGATGAAGAGAAAGATAGAGAGAGAGCGAGCGAATAGAGGGAACTTCTCTGTGAGCGACGATAGCAGACATGGCGACAATATTAAAATTTAAGTTTTGTGTAAACCACGCGGCAAGAGTTCTATTTTTTCTCTAAATTTCTATACATGTTTACCATACGAGACACCATATCTTAAAATTGCAGAAGTTGGTAAAAAATATCAGTGTTGGTTCGTGTATATTCGCACGACGTAGCTTATACATGCCTGATCATGACATGATCTCTAATTGATTCAGTTCGCTGTTAAGCTTAAAGTGAGCCCATCGTTGTGTTGCGTGTTTGAAATTTTCATATTCAAATAGCCAGCTTGAGAACATTGTAAGGTGAAAAAAATTTAACTTCGACTTGATTGATGGCAGATCGTTCACTTTTATACACAGACTTTGCCTTCGTTTTGTCAGCAACGAAGGGTAACAAAGAAATTTTATTTAGTGTCACTGCAGTTTTCGTTTGACGAAGGTTGGCTGGTACGTGCTCATATAGGAAAACAGAACAGAAATCTACAAACAGGACTATTAATTTTGATTGCTGTACATAATTTCTGTATGATATTTTTGCTTGTATATTTAAACATCAGGTAATGAGAAAGTAAGGTAGTAAGGGAATTTGAATTCTGCCCTCAGTGCACCCTGTGGCTCCTCACCGACTGAGCTGTCAAGTTTTGGTCAATCGGCTTGGAGTGGAAATGAGTGTCAACTGTAAACAAACACTGGGTAGCTAGAAAAAGTACATTGGAGATAAATTTCCCTCGAGCAAATGAGCCTTGAAAGTACAGTTGCTGAGAAATAATTTCTTAGTGACTGTACTTTAGTATTAACTGACCCTAAATTGAAGGCAGTTCAGCAGTGTCTCAAGGCATGTTTATTCAATAGTATTCTAACTGACAAATTGGCAAGAAAATTTTTTTTGTTGACATCACGGCTACATTATGACAAACATTCCCACACATCAATTTTTAGTTAAATTAACATCAGCAAGACTCTAATGTCTTCTGTTTTAGGATGTGCTCATCAGCAGCTCCTCTTTGCTACCTTGTGTACAGCTTTTGAGTGCTAGTTTTAACTAATCAAGTTAATAAGTTAATAACTTTGACGTTGAAGTTATCTTGCTTTGTGAGTTTAGCCCATTCGACCCTGGAGAGTTTGCCGAAAACGTGTTTTGAAGCTAGTAAAGAGGTTTTCGGGTCACTGTCGTCCTATTATAAAGAGCTAAAACTTACCACAAAGCTGTCTGCAGGTCGTACACTTTGCGGCCTTCTGATCCAGATGCAAAATATCAGCTTGCGAAGTTCGGGCATGCACAGAAAGCAAAATTTCGAGTTTTTGGGTTTAAAAGTGACACAGCAATCTTGACTTTTACTTTTTGCTTCCTATCTCCTCCCCTCTTTTTTCGCTTTTGTTGCCTCATTTTTTTTTCTATTGCTGGGCGTTATTTTAGTAGGCTTCATTTTGGTGCGAAGGGTTTTTAGGAAAGCTTTTAGGATCTTAGGATTAGGTGAAAGGAAAGGTAGGTGGGTAGTGGAACGAGATTTTCATGGCAATTTTCGGGTCAATGTTACATGGTTTTTTGCCTTTTACTCCGGTGTCCTTGACTGAATTGTGCTCATTCTGGTATGGTTTGAAAGATCTCTTCACTCTGCACACATCAGCAGACAAAGTTGTCTTTGAACATTAAAACTGATGACGTCACAAGCGGTAGCAGGGACGTGGATCTACACGGGCGGTTATGGGCAGCTCAGGGGTGAATGGGTTAAGAAGGTGGTTATAGATGTTGCCAAAACTATGTAGGTGTCCAGGGGTGCTTACCATTTAATAGAAAAATCCGGTTGGGGTGTCGAAAGCATAATGGTAAGCGATTTACCAGGTTACCGCAGAATTGCCACATCTGTTACGGTTTGAATCCAAAAAAGGGGGAAATTTGTGTAGCGTGAGTCTGAAACCGAGAAGGAAACGGGAAATTGGTTTATGGTAAGCATCATTCCGTTTGGTTCGTACCAACCGGAATGAAAGGACTACCTCAAAACGTATTCCTCAACTTTCGGTTGGAATTTCCGAAAAGTGACCTTACCATTTACCTTCCGTCCGGAATTTCCGAAATTTTCTGTCAAATGGTAAGCACCCCAGGTGTAATTATATTGCAAGTACAGCTGTATATGTTACAGGTCAAAATTATATCCAGGTTAAAATTATTTAACCTAGGTTGATTCTCAGTTTCCTTTGTCTTCTAGCCCTATAATAATTTATTCATGAATAAGGGCAGGAGACAAGGAAATTGAGAGTCAACCTAGGTTACAAAATTTTAACCTGAATTTAATTTTGACCTGTAATACACACAAAGGGCATTCATTAAAAACTAGACTTTGCAGATTGCATCTTAAATAAAGTCATTATTAATTTTATATTCACAAAAATCTGATGGATCTGATGTCTACTTTTTATTTATTTTATCCATTATATTGTTTCTTGCAATTTTTTTTACTATGTTGGCCTTTTTGTTTTCATTTTTGCAGTTTTGTGATATGGCTATGGAGAAGAAACCTACAGCACTTCATTGGTTCCGTAAAAATCTTCGCTTACATGATAACCCTGCGCTATGTGAAGCATTAAAAGGCTGTGACACTCTTTATGCTTTGTACATCCTTCCACCTTTCATCCCAGATGCAAATATTTCTGCAAACCGATGGAATTTTCTGATTGAATGCTTAGAAGACTTGGACAGTAGTCTAAAAAGCCTTGGTTCACAACTTCTTGTAGTACAAGGCTACCCAGCCCAAGTTATTCCAAGCCTGTTGAAGAATTTACATGTCACCAAGTTAACATTTGAAAGGGAAAGTGAGCCATTTGGTAAACAGCGAGATGCTGTCATAACACATCTTGCTGAAAGTGTGGGTGTGGAAGTAGTTTCATGTACCTCTCACACACTGTACGATGTTGATCAAGTGACAGAGCTAAATGGCAATGAGACACCAGTGCAGTTTCATGAATTCCTTGATGTTATCTCTAAAATTGGACCCCCAGAACACCCGGTAACGACAGTGAACCACGGCATGCTTGCATCTCTTTCAACTAAAGGAGTCCCATTCCAGGACCAAAACATACCTTCTGTAGAAGATCTTGGGATTGAGAAATCCAAGGTTACGTGTAAGGAAGTATGGCATGGTGGAGAGGCAGAGGCATTGAGAAAACTTGATTCTTTGCTGAAAGAGGTTTGTAACCGTAAGGTGTAATATAATTATATTAATTTTATAGTAATAATTTTAGTCAACTCATACACTGCACTTTGGCTCTTTTCATAGAAATTGCTATATTTTATTTCATGTGTTTAATTATAGACAACTGCATGGCTTAGAAAGGGGGTGGTACAGTGGAACCTTGATTTATGAAGTGCCCCAGGACTGGGGAAATTTGTTTGTTACATCAAGGGTTTGTTATATCAAAAACCTCAATTAAACAAATTTTAGGGAAAACAAACAAAATGTTATGGTATCTTGGAGCTGTGCCATCTCTAATAATTCTTTCGTTTACTCTTTAATTTGCAGATAGTTTACAGCGACTTTCACAGTGATGGTGGAGCAAGCAAGCTGAGCCCTTATCTTAGGTTTGGTTGCCTCTCTCCACGAACTTTGTACCATTCTTTGGCAGAAACTTACCTAAAGGTATGTCACTTTATTTTTTTCTGACAATGCTATTTGATCTTATTTGTAATGCTTTTTGTTGTATGTTCTGTGGGTGCCACATGGGTATGATTTATATGTGTTGATGGATAAGCACTGTAAGGTGGCCGATAACAAGTTGACTTAGATCAAAATGTAATTTCACTGTTCCATTGAGAATACCCAGATGCATGAGCAATAAGGAACACATAGAGTAACTAAAGAAATGACCATTATACTCACTGGGCATTAATTTTGGGGGACACCAGTTGTTGATTGACATGGGTGTTGGCTTTCATTATGTGACCATTTAAAGGCCTTTGTTCTCCTGACACTAGGAGGTGAAGCTCAGGCCAACATCAAGGACTCAACACAGCAATGCACTAGTACAGTGGCAGAACACTTTGGCCAGCTATGTGCCACCCTGAGAAGAGTATTGGCAGGTCACAAGAAAACTAGAAAGGGGCACCCAATGACGGTTTCCCCCTAAGTACATTGAAAACACTTTCCAGAGTAGTTCTACATCTCTAGAAATGCATTCTAGGCAACGCTATAAATTTGTATCTGTTTGGTCATCCTAAGGGAACTTTTCGAGGCACATGTTTTTGAGTTAAGAACAGTATGGTCCTTATGGTAGATTATTGTATTTCAGTGCCTTTCTGTATGGTTGTGATCTCCAAAGTGGCACTTTGAGAAAGCATTTACATGTAAAAGGTAGTTATTCTCCATAGCCATATCCTTTTTCTAAATCATGTTGTTATTTTTCCTTTTACTGTTGATCTTTAGGTCAAGCACCAGGCTCCTCCCTTATCACTTTTCAACTCACTGCTGCAGAGAGATTTCTATTTTACTCTCGGCAGCAACAATCCCACCTTACACCAGATGCAGAACAATCCAGTCTGCTTACAAATTAAGTGGAAAGATGATTCCATGGCTGTGGAAAAATGGAAAATGGTATGTAAATGTTTACTGTGATTATGAATGGATTATAGGCAATGCCATTTGCATTTGTCAGGCATTTCTCAAGTCATGGTGTTCCCATGTTTGCGAACTTGTCATCAACTGCTGGGATGTGGAATTTGTCATTGTTAAATTTTGTCTTTTCTACGATAACATGGTGTCTTATAAAAGGTACATAAGCTTGGAATTGGCTGAACTATAACTGGCAATTTTTCCGTTAGCTAAAAATTAACTTATAATTTAAATAATGCTTGTATCTTGACTTGATTTTTCATCATGTTGTCCTGATAGGGTAAAACAGGGTTTCCATTCATTGATGCTATAATGCGTCAGTTGCGGCTGGAGGGATGGATTTCAGACATTGCTCGTCATGTTGTTGGTTCTTTTCTTACAAGAGGGTGTATGTGGCTGAGCTGGGAGGAAGGCTTCAAGGTAACACTGGCATAGAGCTAAAAACAAGACTTGTGTTCGGTTAATAACAAGAGGCAGTCTTGTATTTTATTAAAGCACTGGGGGCACAATGTTGCATCAGGAGTTCTATAGAATTTGAACAAAGAGTCGTGGTATGATTCTGGTTTTGATTAGAAGTAATTTGATTGTGTACAGCTGGTCAAGTTGATTAAGATCTTCTATAAACCTTAACCAACAGAAATAATAAAATTTTATTTGAATACTACGTGCTAGGAAATGGGAAGCCAGTGAAGTTTCACTACATGTAGAACTATGGCCTTATGATAATAATTATGATCAAATTTATAAGTACCAGGTACCAAACGAGCTGCTGTATTTTACGTGTAAAGTATACTTGACCATTCTAATTTCACTTATTCCATTGCAAAAATGTCATTAGGGAGATATGGTCCTCTTTTTTAGTGTAACTCAATTTATTGAGTTCATATCTCCCGTGAGGAGTGAAAATGATGTGAAGTATATGAAAATAATTCATTTTTGAACTGCGGTTGTAGATGAAAGTGAAGAATGATCATTGCAGTAAATTTTCCAATTGAAGCAATTGGAAAGAAGAAGCCTGAAAAAAATGAAAAAAAAAGGCTTCAGACATGTAGCTCTTTCAGGCTTCTTCTTTCCAATTGCTTAAATTGGTACTGATCATTTAATATGTATTAAAGTATGGTCCTTTATCCTGGTGTCAAGAAAACTATATATAATTTTCAGTCAGTTGTCACCACACTCACCACGTTCTGTTAGCAGTCAGGTGTGCATATGCACCGGGTAGATCAGACATGTGGCTCTTAATCAATCAGATTGCTAATATATTATCGATAACATGAACAGATCTTTGCCAACATGTAATAATTGTGTTTCTAGGTGTTTGGAGAAATGCATCTAGATGCAGAGTGGAGTCTCGATGCTGGAAGTTGGCTGTCATTTTCTGGAAGCATTTTTGACCAACAAAATTTGACTATTCTCTGTCCTGTAGAGAGTGGGAAAATGATAGATCCAACAGGAAATTATACAAGGTAAATGGCTTATGAATTACGATAAGTGATCTAATTGACGCCTCCTTTCAATGAAATGCCTCGTGTGTAATAAACTCTCCCCACGACAATTGCTTAAAAATACTAAGAAATAGTCAAACAGAGGAAAATCATTCAATTTATTCATTTTCTTCGTTGATCACGCATACAAAGGGTTTGCTCATTGTGTCTTGTTCAGTGTCAAGTTTGGAGTAAGGATACGATAACGATGACAACACAGTGACCATGAAGGAGGATTCTGTCATCGGAGATGAGACTTGACTGAGAGCGATAAGGAATCCTCCAGACAGCAGCCTAGATGTTTCAATGAGTCGACTGGTTATTCTCCTATTTGTCAACTCTCTTGGTATTTTCCCTGAAGGAGTATTATTAATTTTGTTTTAGCTTGTTAAAGTTATGAGAATAAACGCCTCCTGTCTATTAAATGTCCCCTCTTGGACCCCTTAATTTAAATAAACGCCTTGGCATCTATTAGATCATTCACGGTATGTAAACTTTCATTGTCATCTTTAGGGGGAATGTCAGTTTCTTTTAGACATATTATCATTTATCCCACAGAGAAGAAGGTGCATGTAAAAATTTTAATTTTCAGCTCGGTAAAAGACTTTGTAAATTGAAAATAGAAAAAACCGGAACGAATAACCTGTATCTCAAAGCCTACTATAGTGACCTCAAACAACTGTCTTTTAGGAAATATGTGCCCGAAGTGAGGGGCCTACCAAATGAGTACGTATTTGAGCCCTGGAAAGCCCCGCAGTCAGTGCAAAAAGCTGCAGCATGTTTGGTGGGCAAGGATTATCCATTACCACTGGCAGATCACAGAGAGCAAAGGAGAGTATGTTTGCAGAGGCTAAAAAAGCTTGCAAAGACAATTGGCACCAGCAGAGCAGGTAAATTAAAATAGTCAAGTTTTTGCACTCCTAGTAAAAAGGTTGTACTACAATGCCAAGACGCAAGCCCTTCCTATCGGTCCCTGCAAGTATGATTTTGACTTAACTTTGAATGGTTCTGGCGTTACTAAACTTCCCTCTATCAGAATATTGGGCGTGGAACTTTATAGCGTGTTAAATTTTATAGAGCATATTTCTAGTCGGCTAAAAAAGACGTATGCGAAGACCGGCGCACATAAGAGAATTAGGCATTTTGTACCTATGGACGTTATGCTAGCATTATACAAGTCTTTCATTCTACCTCATCTAGAACACTGTAGTCCCTTCCTGTTATGGGTGGGGAAAGTCTAGGCCAATAAAATTGAAGACGCCAATCATTATATATTAAGGACTCTGACAGGGCACGGGAAATCATTTTCCTACCAAGAACTCTTGAATATGTGTAAGTTGGACACTTGAGAGTGTAGGGAAAAGCAGCAATCTCTAATCCTATTATTTAAATGCATTAGGAATATATGGCCGAAATACATTAAAGACTTTTTTAGCATAAGAGAGACGTCTTAAACTTTAAGAGGAAGTGGTGTTAATCTTTGCGTTCCCAAATTTAATCTTAATTTTTATGAGGAACTTTTTTACATACAAGTGCGCTCAACTATGGAACAAACTTCCAAAAGATGTCAAGCTGGCTGATAATGTTAATATATTTTTAAGTCTAAGCTAAGGTCAACTCAGCTGTAATTTTTTACATTTTTAATTAATTAATTTTTTGGAATTTTTATGATTTTTTTATATTCATGTGTACATAGAGTATAGATTTTATGTGTATATATTTTTATTATTATTATTACTTTTTTAACTCTAGATTTTTATTATAACTGTAGTTTTAATGTACGTGCGTATTTTGAACAAGCACTTGTGCTTTTAGGCGTTTACGTGGGTTAGTAAATTATTGATTGATATTGATTGATTGATTGGTCTTGTGTTGTAGGGGTAACATTTCTGGCAGGTAAATTTTGGTGAGGAAAATAACACAGATTTGTGACGTAAGTGTTCTTACCAAATAGTTTAACGACAACACGTGTCTTGTTTTCTGCAGTAGACGCAAGAGGACACACAAGTGTGCATTTGTTTCGGAAAGACCTGCGGCTTCATGACAACCCAACCTTACGTTCATGTCTAGAGGGAAGCGGCACGTTTTACCCAGTGTATATATTGGATACTGAGGCAGCTAGGCAGAGCAAGATTTCCGCCAACCGTTGGAACTTCTTGCTGGAATGTCTGCATAATCTGGACAGTCAGCTAACACGGCTTGGATCCCGTCTGTTTGTAGTGCGTGGCAGGGATGTGGAGGTGCTTCCAAGGTTGCTTTCTGAGTGGGGAGTATCGCGCCTCAGTTTTGAAACTGACAGCGAGCCTTTTGGTGCTCAGCGAGATGCTGTTGTACGAAAAATAGCAGAGGATGCTGGAATTGAAGTTTTGAGCAAAACATCACACACACTGTATGAGCCAGGCCAGACTTTACATGCCAACGAGGGAGTTGTGCCCATGCTGTTTGAGGATTTTGTGAGAGTTGTAGAAGACAGTGAAATCAATGTACCCGGGCCAGTGGAAACAGTGGATAAACAATTGATGGGTTCTTGTGAGACACCAATAGGTAGTGATCACCATGTGAAATTCGGAGTACCTGGATTGAGTGAACTGGGAGTGAAGGACAGCCGTTTAGTAACAAGTTCAGTTCTGTGGAAAGGAGGAGAGCAGGAGGCACTGAGAAGACTTTCCCTGTTGGAAGGAGAGGTATGATAAATAATAAATGTTATTTTCTTCACGCTGATAGGCAAAGCTAACTTGTTGTTGGTTGGTAAGGCTTAAGGTAACAATTTAGTGTGGTTTCTTTTATCCAGCTGGTGAAGAATGACTTTGAAGAAGTGCCGTTAAATGCAGCATCTATGGCATCGTCTGGCACCCATCTAAGCCCTTTTCTGCGATTTGGATGTTTGTCACCCAGAGTGATGTGGCAACGACTAACAGAAACGTTTGGAAAGGTAGGTTGCAGCCTAGGTTGCTATTTGCACGTAACTTGTAGTAACAGCTACTACGTAATATTTTGTTTATTTATTTATTTAATCGCTTTCACCATGATTGCAATGCTAAAATAACACTAGGAAAAAATATACATTTGAACAAGTCACAAGAACGAGAGGCGAAGGTGCGGGACACACAACGGAGCGAGGCTCCAAATTAAGTGTGCCCTTTAGTAAAATACACAAATACTAACTATGTCAGTGTGCAAAGAAAGTCATGTCCAATAGCCTGTGGCTAGTGGATTTTGGTATTGGGCTAGTGATTTTTGTTCTTAACTTGCCCGACGGGCAAGGGCTGTTTTTTGGGGAAAATCAAATTACAGAAGGATTGTAATCAGCCCTGCTAATCATAAAGGGTTTGGGGGCTAGTTGAAATGACTTGTGGGCTAGTACATGCTAGCTACAGCTTGCCCGAATGGCAGGCTATAAAACTGAATTTCTTTGCACCCTGAACTATGTAAACATTAAAACATTGTAAGAAATATAAAAATCGTATTTCCAAAAACGATAAGAACGAATCCCTCCCGCAGCCGATAAAAAGTCTCAGTAGCAGCAGTTACCTGCTAATAGAAGATTACGTGACCTACTGCATTTGCAGCAGATCGTCTTCCGGGTGTTAAAGTTAGTGACGTCATTGGTTGTACGAAAAGCAGCAGAATAGGCGCTTTGCGGGTTTCCATTCACGTGGTACAAAACCGGCATACTGGGACGCAAACGTCATGCTAGGACAAGACAAACAATGGAAATTACCATTTAAAAATTAATTATGCATGCCTTTTGTTGGTCTTGCCCCAATGCGACTTTTCCTTCCCAATATTCCAGTTTTGTACCACGTGGATGGAAACCTGCAAAGGGCTAATGATAGCGTTGGAGTACATGAGATTTAAACTGATTAAGAGAAGTAAGCGTACAAGTGGATTCAGTTAACATATTCCATAGTTAAGCAATACGGATAAAGTAACTAAATTGAAAGAGCTTAATGTGGCACTTGGGAATTAGTACGTCTTGATCAAAGCTGCGGCGAGTGAGACGAGTGCCTTTAGGCTTGACGAAATCATCCATGGGTAAGGTGAAGTGGTCAGCGCGACAGTTGCAGTAAAAAATTAAGTCTTTCACTTCATGCCAGCTGGACAATAATCAGAGAATTTGTTCCTAGGAATGATCCTTGTCACTTGCCTGCATTGTTGTGAACTTGAGATTGTGTGTGGAATGTTGTGGCGATACCTAAAGAGTTCCTATCAAGCACAAACACTTTTCTTGTTTTTTTTTTTTCTTTTTTTAACAGGTAAAGGGAAAAATGCCTCCAACGTCATTTTGTCGATCCCTGCTTCTCCGAGAGTTCTTCTTTTTGATGGCTGCTAGTAATCCTGGCTTGCATAAGATGGAGAACAACCCTCTCAGTGTTCAGTTTCCGTGGGAAGAAAATGCTGAAGGGCTTGAGAGATGGAAGCAGGTAGGATTCATTTGGTTTACATTCCCACCGCTGTATTTTTAGGTGAAGAAGATTATGCAAGTGAAGGATAATTATCAATGATATGTGTTGTTGTTATATTGTTCATCAGGGTTGTACTGGATTTCCTTGGATTGATGCAGTAATGCGGCAGCTTCGTATAGAAGGATGGATTCCTCATGTGGCCCGTCTAGCCGTTGGATGTTTTTTGACAAGGGGATGTCTGTGGATCAACTGGGAGGAGGGATATAAGGTATGGAAAGATGAGGAACAAGTCAAGCTTTTAGAGTGTTAAAAGGTCTTGGTGTGGTTGAGGGAGTTGAAGGACTACTGAACCAGTTCTGGCTGTCGTGTATCTTTGACGCCTTTGGGAGTAGTTATGGCTTGGTGTTGGCCACCTACGTCCGGGAAACATTTTATTTAAGGGACTCTAAAAAGTGCAACTACGTGCGTTTTAGCGAGTAGTAACAGTTTTGATACTGGCACCTTTTTTAACTTGCCTTTAGGTTAATATTTTTTTTGTCATGTGATTATTTTAGAAAACAAATATCATCGATTTATTGACCTCTTAAAACTCTATTTTGTTTGAGTAGAGTAATCTATGAGAACCGCTAAAATTGGGCACAATCTCAGGTTAGAGTAGAGTGACTCTACGACGATTTTTGTCTCTTCTGGGGCTTCGGGAGAACCTTGACTAACGTTTTGAATGTCATCTGCAGGTGTTTGACGAACTTCAACTGGATGCAGAATGGAGTCTTAACGTAGGCAATTGGCTGTGGCTTTCAGGAAGTACATTTGTTAAGGAGCATATTCCATGGTTCTGCCCAGTGGAAGTTGGAAAGAAGATTGATCCTTCTGGAGAATACGTCAGGTAAAGTAGAGCAACATGTTTCCAGTGGTTTTGTTTCTTTTTCGAGAGAAGAAAGAGAGATTAATTTTATGAAAACCTTGATTGTCTTTTCAGGAAATACGTGCCTGAAGTGAGTGGTCTTCCCACTGAGTACGTTTTTGAACCTTGGAAAGCCCCAAAGTCGGTGCAAAAAGCGGCGGCATGTTTGGTGGGCAAGGATTATCCGTTACCAATAGTGGACCATCGAGAACAGAGGAGAGTATGCGTGCAGAGGTTGAAAGAGCTGGCTGAGATGGTTGGCACTAGCAGATCAGGTAAAAAGACAGATAGTTTGTTCTCGTAGTGGGACAGTTGTCAGGTGGTGGTGTGTTGTAGGGGTAACATTTGCTGGAGATTCATTCTGAGGTAGATACAGTGTAATAGAGAAGTTGGTTCTCGTAAGAATTGATGTGTGCTTCCCACCTCAACAAAAATACTAACTCATCGCACTTGTCTTGTTTTCTACAGTGGAGGTAAGAGGACACACAAGTGTGCATTTGTTCCGAAAAGACCTCCGGCTCCATGACAATCCAAGTTTACGTTCATGTCTGGAGGGAAGCGGCACGTTTTACCCAGTGTATATATTGGATACTGAGGCAGCTAGGCAGAGCAAGATTTCCGCCAACCGTTGGAACTTCTTGCTGGAATGCTTGCATGATCTGGATAGTCAGCTGAGACGGCTTGGATCTCGTCTGTTTGTAGTGCGCGGCAGGGATGTGGAGGTGCTTCCAAAGTTGCTTTCCGAATGGGGAGTATCGCGCCTCAGTTTTGAAACTGACAGTGAGCCTTTTGGTGCTCAGCGAGATGCTGTTGTACGAAAAATAGCAGAGGATGCTGGAATTGAAGTTTTGAGCAAAACATCACACACACTGTATGAGCCAGGCCAGATTTTACATGCCAACCAGGGAGTTGTGCCCATGCTGTTTGAGGATTTTGTGAGAGTTGTGGAAGACAGTGAAATCAATGTACCTGGACCAGCTGAACCAGTGGATAAACAATTGATGGGTTCTTGTGTGACTCCGATAGGTATTGATCACCATGTGAAATTTGGAGTACCTGGATTGAGCGAACTGGGAGTGAAGGACAGCCGTTTTGTAACAAGTTCAGGTCTGTGGAAAGGAGGAGAGCAGGAGGCACTGAGAAGACTTGCCCTGTTGGAAGGGGAGGTATAGATATTGTTTTCTTTAGAGTAAAGGGCAAAGCTAACTTGTTGTTGGTTGATAAGGCGTAAGCTGACAATTTGGTGGTTTTTTTTTATCCAGCTGGTGAAGAATGACTTTGAAGAAGTGCCGTTAAATGCAGCATCTATGGCATCGTCTGCGACCCATCTAAGCCCTTTTCTGCGATTTGGATGTTTGTCACCCAGAGTGATGTGTCAACGACTTACAGAAAAGTATGGAAAGGTAGGTTGCTGCCTAGGTTGCTATTTGCAGATAATCGGTCCCAACAAGTACAGTAAAATCCCGCGACTAAGAACCTGGATTTTAAGAACCTGTTAAGCTAAAATTTGCGAGTGAGCCCCCCTCTACAAAAGGATCTGTTTAGCCTAAAATTTGAAACAGGTTCTTCTTTTGCAAAATCTGTAAAAAAAAATTCGGTACATTTAGGCAGCTAAGGTAAGCTAAAATTCAGGACCCTCTTTGGAGACCTTAGTGCTTTATTACTCCCTCTGCAATTGCAATGGTATGCTGGGTTTACCTAAGGAACGCGCTAAATACCTCTAAATACTCTCAGCTACAATGTATTTTTTCTTCACAAAATAAGAACCTATTTAAGAACCTAAATAGCCAAAATTTGTGCTAATTCCCATTTATTTAAGAACCTGGTAAGGCTAACTTGGGAGAATACAGGTTCTTTGTCGCGGGTGTTGACTGTATTACATAATATCTGGTAAGTGGTCAGAGAATTCATTGCTAGTAACGATTCTTGTGACTCATGCCTAAAATAAACGGTTCTAGACGTTTACCTTGCGTTCATGGTGGTGAACTTTAGATTGTGAATGGAATGTTGCGACGAGACCTGAAGAGATGCTGTGAAACACTCACCCTCTGTTTGTTTGTTGTATTTTTGACAGGTAAAGGGAAAAATGCCTCCAACGTCATTTTATCGATCCCTGCTTCTCCGAGAGTTCTTCTTTTTGATGGCTGCTAGCAATCCTGGCTTGCATAAGATGGAGAACAACCCTCTCAGTGTTCAGTTTCCTTGGGAAGAAAATGCTGAAGGGCTTGAGAGATGGAAGCAGGTAGGATTCATTTGGTTTACATTCCCACCGCTGTATTTTTAGGTGAAGAAGATTATGCAAGTGAAGGATAATTATCAATGATATGTGTTGTTGTTATATTGTTCATCAGGGTTGTACTGGATTTCCTTGGATTGATGCAGTAATGCGGCAGCTTCGTATAGAAGGATGGATTCCTCATGTGGCCCGTCTAGCCGTTGGATGTTTTTTGACAAGGGGATGTCTGTGGATCAACTGGGAGGAGGGATATAAGGTATGGAAAGATGAGGAACAAGTCAAGCTTTTAGAGTGTTAAAAGGTCTTGGTGTGGTTGAGGGAGTTGAAGGACTACTGAACCAGTTCTGGCTGTCGTGTATCTTTGACGCCTTTGGGAGTAGTTATGGCTTGGTGTTGGCCACCTACGTCCGGGAAACATTTTATTTAAGGGACTCTAAAAAGTGCAACTACGTGCGTTTTAGCGAGTAGTAACAGTTTTGATACTGGCACCTTTTTTAACTTGCCTTTAGGTTAATATTTTTTTTGTCATGTGATTATTTTAGAAAACAAATATCATCGATTTATTGACCTCTTAAAACTCTATTTTGTTTGAGTAGAGTAATCTATGAGAACCGCTAAAATTGGGCACAATCTCAGGTTAGAGTAGAGTGACTCTACGACGATTTTTGTCTCTTCTGGGGCTTCGGGAGAACCTTGACTAACGTTTTGAATGTCATCTGCAGGTGTTTGACGAACTTCAACTGGATGCAGAATGGAGTCTTAACGTAGGCAATTGGCTGTGGCTTTCAGGAAGTACATTATTTGTTAAGGAGCATATTCCATGGTTCTGCCCAGTGGAAGTTGGAAAGAAGATTGATCCTTCTGGAGAATACGTCAGGTAAAGTAGAGCAACATGTTTCCAGTGGTTTTGTTTCTTTTTCGAGAGAAGAAAGAGAGGTTAATTTTATGAAAACCTTGATTGTCTTTTCAGGAAATACGTGCCTGAAGTGAGTGGTCTTCCCACTGAGTACGTTTTTGAACCTTGGAAAGCCCCAAAGTCGGTGCAAAAAGCGGCGGCATGTTTGGTGGGCAAGGATTATCCGTTACCAATAGTGGACCATCGAGAACAGAGGAGAGTATGCGTGCAGAGGTTGAAAGAGCTGGCTGAGATGGTTGGCACTAACAGATCAGGTAAAAAGACAGATAGTTTGTTCTCGTAGTGGGACAGTTGTCAGGTGGTGGTGTGTTGTAGGGGTAACATTTGCTGGAGATTCATTCTGAGGTAGATACAGTGTAATAGAGAAGTTGGTTCTCGTAAGAATTGATGTGTGCTTCCCACCTCAACAAAAATACTAACTCATCGCACTTGTCTTGTTTTCTACAGTGGAGGTAAGAGGACACACAAGTGTGCATTTGTTCCGAAAAGACCTCCGGCTCCATGACAATCCAAGTTTACGTTCATGTCTGGAGGGAAGCGGCACGTTTTACCCAGTGTATATATTGGATACTGAGGCAGCTAGGCAGAGCAAGATTTCCGCCAACCGTTGGAACTTCTTGCTGGAATGCTTGCATGATCTGGATAGTCAGCTGAGACGGCTTGGATCTCGTCTGTTTGTAGTGCGCGGCAGGGATGTGGAGGTGCTTCCAAAGTTGCTTTCCGAATGGGGAGTATCGCGCCTCAGTTTTGAAACTGACAGTGAGCCTTTTGGTGCTCAGCGAGATGCTGTTGTACGGAAAATAGCAGAGGATGCTGGAATTGAAGTTTTGAGCAAAACATCACACACACTGTATGAGCCAGGCCAGATTTTACATGCCAACCAGGGAGTTGTGCCCATGCTGTTTGAGGATTTTGTGAGAGTTGTGGAAGACAGTGAAATCAAAGTACCTGGACCAGCTGAACCAGTGGATAAACAATTGATGGGTTCTTGTGTGACTCCGGTAGGTATTGATCACCATGTGAAATTTGGAGTACCTGGATTGAGCGAACTGAGAGTGAAGGACAGCCGTTTTGTAACAAGTTCAGGCCTGTGGAAAGGAGGAGAGCAGGAGGCACTGAGAAGACTTGCCCTGTTGGAAGGGGAGGTATAGATATTGTTTTCTTTAGAGTAAAGGGCAAAGCTAACTTGTTGTTGGTTGATAAGGCGTAAGCTGACAATTTGGTGGTTTTTTTTATCCAGCTGGTGAAGAATGACTTTGAAGAAGTGCCGTTAAATGCAGCATCTATGGCATCGTCTGCGACCCATCTAAGCCCTTTTCTGCGATTTGGATGTTTGTCACCCAGAGTGATGTGTCAACGACTTACAGAAAAGTATGGAAAGGTAGGTTGCTGCCTAGGTTGCTATTTGCAGATAATCGGTCCCAACAAGTACAGTAAAATCCCGCGACTAAGAACCTGGATTTTAAGAACCTGTTAAGCTAAAATTTGCGAGTGAGCCCCCCTCTACAAAAGGACCTGTTTAGCCTAAAATTTGAAACAGGTTCTTCTTTTGCAAAATCTGTAAAAAAAAATTCGGTACATTTAGGCAACTAAGGTAAGCTAAAATTCAGGACCCTCTTTGGAGACCTTAGTGCTTTATTACTCCCTCTGCAATTGCAATGGTATGCTGGGTTTACCTAAGGAACGCGCTAAATACCTCTAAATACTCTCAGCTACAATGTATTTTTTCTTCACAAAATAAGAACCTATTTAAGAACCTAAATAGCCAAAATTTGTGCTAATTCCCATTTATTTAAGAACCTGGTAAGGCTAACTTGGGAGAATACAGGTTCTTTGTCGCGGGTGTTGACTGTATTACATAATATCTGGTAAGTGGTCAGAGAATTCATTGCTAGTAACGATTCTTGTGACTCAGATGCCTAAAATAAACGGTTCTAGACGTTTACCTTGCGTTCATGGTGGTGAACTTTAGATTGTGAATGGAATGTTGCGACGAGACCTGAAGAGATGCTGTGAAACACTCACCCTCTGTTTGTTTGTTGTATTTTTGACAGGTAAAGGGAAAAATGCCTCCAACGTCATTTTATCGATCCCTGCTTCTCCGAGAGTTCTTCTTTTTGATGGCTGCTAGCAATCCTGGCTTGCATAAGATGGAGAACAACCCTCTCAGTGTTCAGTTTCCTTGGGAAGAAAATGCTGAAGGGCTTGAGAGATGGAAGCAGGTAGGATTCATTTGGTTTACATTCCCACCGCTGTATTTTTAGGTGAAGAAGATTATGCAAGTGAAGGATAATTATCAATGATATGTGTTGTTGTTATATTGTTCATCAGGGTTGTACTGGATTTCCTTGGATTGATGCAGTAATGCGGCAGCTTCGTATAGAAGGATGGATTCCTCATGTGGCCCGTCTAGCCGTTGGATGTTTTTTGACAAGGGGATGTCTGTGGATCAACTGGGAGGAGGGATATAAGGTATGGAAAGATGAGGAACAAGTCAAGCTTTTAGAGTGTTAAAAGGTCTTGGTGTGGTTGAGGGAGCTTGAAGAACTACTGAACCAGTTCTTTCTTTCACGTAGCTTAGACGCCTTTAAGAGTAGTTATGACTTGGTATTGCCCACCAACGTCCGGGAAAAAATTATATTTATGGGACTCTAAAAAGTGCAATTAAGTGCGTTTTAGCGAGTAGTAACAGTTTTGATAGTGGCACCTTCGTTTACTTGCATTTGGTTAATATTTTTATCATATGATTATTTGTATTGACTAAAATTGATGAGAAAACAAATATCATCGATTTGTTACCCTCTTAGAACATTATTTTGTTTGACTAGCTGGCGCGTCCTGAGTCAGTGACCATACGGCGATTTTTGCCACTTCTGGGGCTTCGGGAGAACCCTGACTAACGTTTTGAATGTCATCTGCAGGTGTTTGACGAACTTCAACTGGATGCAGAATGGAGTCTTAACGTAGGCAATTGGCTGTGGCTTTCAGGAAGTACATTTGTTAAGGAGCATATTCCATGGTTCTGTCCAGTGGAAGTTGGAAAGAAGATTGATCCTTCTGGAGAATACGTCAGGTAAAGTCGAGCAACATGTTTCCAATGGTGTTGTTTCATTTGCGAAAGAAGAAGGAGAGGTTGATTTTATGATAACCTTGATTACCTTTTCAGAAAATACGTGCCTGAAGTGAGTGGTCTTCCCACTGAGTACGTTTTTGAGCCTTGGAAAGCCCCAAAGTCGGTGCAAAAAGCGGCGGCATGTTTGGTGGGCAAGGATTATCCATTACCAATAGTGGACCATCGAGAACAGAGGAGAGTATGCGTACAGAGGTTGAAAGAGCTGGCTGAGATGGTTGGCACTAGCAGATCAGGTAAAAAGACAGATAGTTTGTTCTCGTAGTGGAAGCCTTGTGAGGTGGTGTTGTGTTGTAGGGGTAACATTTGCTGAAGATCAATTCTGTGAGGTAGATACATTTTAATTCAGAACTTGGATCTCCTAAGAGTTGATGCCTGATTCCCACCTCATCAAAAATACTAACTCATCGCACTTGTCTTGTTTTCTACAGTGGACGTAAGAGGACACACAAGTGTGCATTTGTTTCGAAAAGACCTCCGGCTCCATGACAATCCAACCTTACGTTCATGTCTGGAAGGAAGCGGCACGTTTTACCCAGTGTATATATTGGATACTGAGGCAGCTAGGCAGAGCAAGATTTCCGCCAACCGTTGGAACTTCTTGCTGGAATGCCTGCATGATCTGGATAGTCAGCTGACACGGCTTGGATCTCGTCTTTTTGTAGTGCGCGGCAAGGATGTGGAGTTGCTTCCAAAGTTGCTTTTCGAGTGGGGAGTATCGCGCCTTAGTTTTGAAACTGACAGCGAGCCTTTTGGTGCTCAGCGAGATGCTGTTGTACGGAAAATAGCAGAGGATGCTGGAATTGAAGTTTTGAGCAAAACATCACACACCCTGTATGAGCCAGGCCAGATTTTACATGCCAACCAGGGAGTTGTGCCCATGCTGTTTGAGGATTTTGTGAGAGTTGTGGAAGACAGTGAAATCAATGTACCTGGACCAGCTGAACCAGTGGATAAACAATTGATGGGTTCTTGTGTGACACCAGTAGGTATTGATCACCATGTGAAATTCGGAGTACCTGGATTGGGCGAACTGGGAGTGAAGGACAGCCGTTTAGTAACAAGTTCAGGTCTGTGGACAGGAGGAGAGCAGGAGGCACTCAGAAGAGTTTCCCTGTTGGAAGGAGAGGTATAATAAACAATAAATATTATTTTCTTCACACTGATAGGCAAAGCTAACATCTTGTTCGTTGGTAATGCGTAAGGTAACAATTTGGTGGTTTTTTTTTATCCAGCTGGTGAAGAGTGACTTTGAAGAAGTGCCGTTAAATGCAGCATCTATGGCATCGTCTGGCACCCATCTAAGCCCTTTTCTGCGATTTGGATGTTTGTCACCCAGAGTGATGTGGCAACGACTGACAGAAACGTATGGAAAGGTAGGTTGCAGCCTAGGTTGCTATTTGTGCATAACCGATCGCAATAGGTACAGTAAAATCCCGCGACTAAGAATTAAGCTAAAATTTGCGGGTGAGCCTCTACAAAAGGACCTGTTTAGCCTGAAATTTGAAACAGGTTCTTGTTTTGTAAAATCTATCAAAAAAATTATGTAGACTTGAGCAAATAAGATAAGCCATAATTTAGGATCCTCTTTGGAGACACTAGTGCCGTATTACTCGAACTGCAATTGAAATGATATGCAGGTTTCACCCGAGGAATGCGCTGAATACCACTAAATACTATTTGGTACGATGTATTTTTTCTTCAAATAATAAGAACCTATTTAAGAACCTATATAGCTAAAATTTGTGCTAATTCCCATTTATTTAAGAACCTGGTAAGGCTAACTTAGGAGAAAACAGGTTCTTTGTCGCGGGTGTTGACTGTATTACATAATATCTGGTAGGTGGTCAGAGAATTAATTGCTAGTAACGATTCTTGTGACTCAGATGCCTAAAATATAAGGTTCTAGACGTTTGCCTTGCCTTCATTGTTGTGAACTTTAGATTGTGTATGGAATGTTGCGACTTGACCTGAAGAGATGCTGTCAAACACTAACCGTTTCTTTGTTTGTTCGTTTGTTTGTTTGTTTTTTTTTAACAGATAAAGGGGAAAATGCCTCCTACGTCATTTTATCAACCCCTGCTTCTCCGAGAGTTCTTCTTTTTGATGGCTGCTAACAATCCTAACTTGCATAAGATGGAGAACAACCCTCTCAGTGTTCAGTTTCCGTGGGAAGAAAATGCTGAAGGGCTTGAGAGATGGAAGCAGGTAGGATTCATTTGTTTTACATTCCCATCGCTGGATTTTAAGGTGAGGAAAATTCTGCAAGTGAAGCGTAGTTATTTATAATATGTGTTGTTGTTATGTTGCTCATCAGGGTTGTACTGGATTTCCTTGGATTGATGCAGTAATGCGGCAGCTTCGTATAGAAGGATGGATTCCTCATGTGGCACGTCTAGCCGTTGGATGTTTTTTGACAAGGGGATGTCTGTGGATCAACTGGGAGGAGGGATATAAGGTATGGAAAAATGAGGAACAAGTCAAGGTTTTAGAGTCAAGACAGAATCCGTCAGGAAATTGAGTAATTTTAATTTTCAGTGGGCAAAAACCCTTTACCAGGATAATTGAAGGAATTATCGCATTCTTTTTTTACATTTTTCAAGGGCTAAAGATGTAATTAGTCATCTGTAGTAACACCAAAGAAAATTCTTATCAGGGCCGGCCAGGGTTTTTGGGTATACAGTATATTGGGGAATTTAATTTTAGGAATACTTTATTTTTATGCTTAAAATTGGGTATAAAGTATTCACTCACGACTAATTTTGGGTATAAAGTATATCGTGGTTTTCTTAATTTTGGTATTTTACACGATTTTTTGTATAATTTTTGGTATATTGGAAGGTTTATTTCGGGTATTTTGGTATTCCACTACCCACCTTGGCCGACCCTGTCTTATGGAAGTCCGAGAAAATAATGTCAAATTTCACAAGAACTGTGAAAACACAGTTAAAATTCTGAAAATTTTATCGGTGTAAGGTGTCATTTTGTGAAAATTTGACATTTATTTTCTCGGGCTCCCATACGAAATTTTCTTTGGTGTTATTACAGATGACTAATTACATCTTTAGCCCTTGAAAAATGTAAAAAAGAATGCGATATGCTTTAAGAAACGGTCCAGATAAGAACGATAGCAACAACGGCAACGAACATGTTGGAATGTAAAAAAGGTGCTAACTTTTCTATTGTCTGTACTTACTTCTGATTGGCTTAAACAGCAAAAGTTAACAAAACTTCATAAAGCGGTACATATATTCATCCTTACTTTGCAACCATCTTCCATATAACAAAATCTGGTGTAAAATTGTAAACTTTTCTAGGCTATTGCTTTCAACTCTTGTGATTGGTCAAAATCTTTTAACACAAAAAAACACTCTTTCAAAGTGGATTGGAAATGCATTTTATTGCGTAAACGGCCTTCATGTAGGTTTATGCATTCTCTGTGTAAAAATGAGAACATTCCTATGTGGGGAAAGCACCGTTGCCGCATAACAAAAGAAATTGCTATCTACCTTACCCGGATCATTACTTAAAATAATATGGTACAAGGTTTTTGTCCACTGAAAATTAAAATTACTCAATTTCCTGACGGATTCTGGCTTAAGGTCTTGGTGTGTTTGAGGGAGCTTGAAGGACTACTGAACCAGTTCTGCCTTTCACGTAGCTTAGACGCCTTTGGGAGTAGTGATGGCTTGGTATTGCCCACCTATGTCCGGGAAAAATTATATTTAAGGGACTCTAAAAAGTGTAATTAAGTGTGTTTTAGCGAGTAGTAACAGTTTTGATAGTGGCACCTTCATTTACTTGCATTTGGTTTATTTTTTTTTATCATATTATTATTTGTATTGACCAAAAGTGATGAGAAAACAAATATCGATTTATTGCCCTTTTTGAACATTATTTTTTTTGAGTGGCTGGCGCGTCTTGAGTGACTATACGGCGAGTTTTGTCTCTTCTGGGGCTTCGGGATAACCTTGACTAACGTTTTGAATGTCATCTGCAGGTGTTTGACGAACTTCAACTGGATGCAGAATGGAGTCTTAACGTAGGCAATTGGCTGTGGCTTTCAGGAAGTACATTTGTTAAGGAGCATATTCCATGGTTCTGTCCAGTGGAAGTTGGAAAGAAGATTGATCCTTCTGGAGAATACGTCAGGTAAAGTCGAGCAACATGTTTCCAATATTTTTGTTTCTTTTGGCAGAGAAGGAAGAGAGGTTGATTTTATGAAAACCTTGATTGCCTTTTCAGGAAATACGTGCCTGAAGTAAGTGGTCTTCCCACTGAGTACGTTTTTGAGCCTTGGAAAGCCCCAAAGTCGGTGCAAAAAGCGGCGGCATGTTTGGTGGGCAAGGATTATCCATTACCAATAGTGGACCATCGAGAACAGAGGAGAGTATGCGTACAGAGGTTGAAAGAGCTGGCTGAGATGGTTGGCACTAGCAGATCAGGTAAAAAGACAGATAGTTTGTTCTCGTAGTGGAAGCCTTGTGAGGTGGTGTTGTGTTGTAGGGGTAACATTTGCTGAAGATTAACTCTGTGAGGTAGATACATTTTAATTCAGAACTTGGATCTCCTAAGAATTGATGCCTGATTCCCACCTCATCAAAAATACTAACTCATCGCACTTGTCTTGTTTTCTACAGTGGAGGTAAGAGGACACACAAGTGTGCATTTGTTTCGAAAAGACCTCCGGCTCCATGACAACCCAACCTTACGTTCATGTCTGGAGGGAAGCGGCACGTTTTACCCAGTGTATATATTGGATACTGAGGCAGCTAGGCAGAGCAAGATTTCCGCCAACCGTTGGAACTTCTTGCTGGAATGCCTGCATGATCTGGATAGTCAGCTGAGACGGCTTGGATCTCGTCTGTTTGTAGTGCGCGGCAGGGATGTGGAGGTGCTTCCAAAGTTGCTTTCCCAGTGGGGAGTATCGCGCCTTAGTTTTGAAACTGACAGCGAGCCTTTTGGTGCTCAGAGAGATGCCGTTGTACAGAAAATAGCAGAGGATGCTGGAATTGAAGTTTTGAGCAAAACATCACACACCCTGTATGAGCCAGGCCAGATTCTACATGCCAACCAGGGAGTTGTTCCCATGCTGTATGAGGATTTTGTGAGAGTTGTGGAGGACAGTGAATTGACCGTTCCTATTCCAGTCGGTGATGTTGGGAAACAAGCGATGGGTGGTTTTGTTACACCGGTAGCTATTGATCACCAGGCAGAATTTGGAGTCCCTGAATTGAATGAACTGGGAATGAAAGACAGCCGACTGATAACTTGTACAGGCGTGTGGAAAGGAGGAGAACAAGAAGCTTTGAAAAGAGTTTTCATTTTAGAAGGAGCGGTAAGGAATGTTTGTGTTTTTGCCAAGTAATAAAAGCGTGTAGACCGCGTTCAGTGATTTTTTTGACTCTTATTTTGATAAGAGAATGTATGGAGTGACGTCCTAGTTCTTTTTTTGAACAGAATTCGTTATAAGACAAGTTGCCTTGTCCGTGTTTTTGTTGTTTTTTACTCTCTTTTGACCTGTGGCGCCCCTACGAACGGTCGTTTTGTCGAGTTTTCGATGTCGATGTTTATTTCAAAAAAGATTTTAAAGCTCCGTACCTTCCAGGAAAATGGCGTTCGAACTCGTCAAATTTGCCGTGATAGAATTTGTCTGATTTGTCTTTCGGTGCAATGCTTTTTGAGGTTCAGGTTTGATTATTAACAACAGCAACAAGAAATGAATTCATCAAGGTCGTATTTCTTTCTCTGTTGGTGAAAGCAACATAGGGGTCCTTGAAATATTTTGCTTTTACGTAGACTCTGAAGCGACTGCTGATTTTTTCCTGGTCCAAGGTATATAGTTCTGGAGAAACGAGAAATTGCGGAGTCTTCTTAAAGGTAGCGCTTTGCGAGCGGTTATGAAAAAACCCGAAACTCAAGAAGCGCCGAAGGACTACTCATAATGGCAACTTGGCGATTTCGGATGATCAGCTCAATAGTCGTCAGCTATTTCGTTTTGGAATTACAACTCGAAAACTTAGACTCGCCCAAACAGCCTTAGAAGGGCGCCGGAAAAAAAATACGGCCTGTTAAAAATACAACACAAACACAAGGTAAATTAAGTTAGGACATATTTTATTTATTCCCATACATTCTCTTATGAAATTCAAAGGTTGCGTGTGGGCTTTTTATTTATCCATTTATTTACTCATGTATTTATCGACCCTCTCTGCTTATATTTAGCTGAAAAAGAACGATTTCGAGAAAATACCGTTAAATTCAGGATCCATTCTATCGTCTGGCACCCACTTAAGCCCTTACCTGCGATTTGGATGTTTGTCGCCCAGAGTGTTGTGGCACTTTTTTACAGAAGCCTACGAAAAGGTAAGTGACGATCTTGATCGCTACTTACACCTTGTCCGGTGCAAAAATGTTGGAAAATAGTTGGAAAGTAAAGAAAGAGTCGTTTGCTCGGAAGCGCTCAGTATGTTTTTATGGGTAGTGCGTGCTCACGGTAATTGCAAACAGGTTGCTTGTGTATCAGAAATCGAACGAGTGAATATATTTGTTACATTCATGCTGAGACGTTCATCGTTGTTCTATGCTTAACCGTTTTTTTCAAAAACTCTAAAATGACTTTGCCTTTGCAAGACGTAAACTTTTAAAAATTATAACTATTTTAAGGATGTAAGATAATCTTGGAATTAAAAGCAATCTTAACTGTTCCGCCAGTTGTTCTGAATATTGTTGAAAAGCGGTGCAAAAGCAGTTTTAATTTAATTGAAATGGCCGTTTTGAACAAGATAAGACAAAGTAACTCCTATTAAAGAACGCATAAACTTACGTCTCATTCGTTGTTGTTGCTGTGATTGTTGTTGTTGTTGTTTTATGCCCTTCTACTGTTGTTCTGCAGGCCCTCTACAATTTTTGCCTGACACAGTGCCATACACGAAGCTAATATTCATCTATTTCAATTTTCGAACTGTTCATTTTTTACGCGAAAAACTTATTTCATTTCTCGTCGTTTTTATTGGTCAATCCAAATTTACATTTTTATTTTCTCACTGCCCACAAATAGCAAAGGCTAGTTTAGGTGGGCAGTGTCTATAAAACACAAAATACGCACTCCTAATGGTATTCAATTCGCAAGTAAACGAAACTAATTTAGAAGAAAACTTTCTGTGAAAACAATACTGAGGGTAACTAGAATACAGAATGTAAATCAGAAACTTACCGGATCAATTTAGGTTTCTGGGGAAGTGACCACCCACCCCTCCCCTAAGCCAACATTGAGCCCTAAGTGAGAAGAAAGTGATGATAATGGCTTAGGGGAGGGGTAGGTGGTCAGTTTCCCAGAAACCGAAGTTGATCCAACTTACCAGTACAATTATTAAGACAACTGCAAAGATAATAAGTAGGTGAGTTATGGACGACTCTCAACAATTTCCTGCTTGAATGACCGCGCGTCACTCCGCGAAGCGAGGGCGCTGCAAGCACCTATAAAAGGCGCGAAATTCAAGCACCGCTGAGGTTTTTCAGTTTCGACCAAATATCGCTTGAGATTCTGGTTGGACGAGCTATTTTTGTTAAATGTGAAAAACATTGTCCGCTTATCTGATTGGCGAGAACTCTTTTGCGAATGAAATGTTACGACACAGCTTTTCAGTGAGTATATTTGAGTATGTGCATACTAGTATTTTTTCCTTCAACCTGTGTTATTAATATTGTAGAAATTATATTTGGAGGATTGCTATGTGTCCTTAACTAAAAGTTTCATATCATGAACCATGTATTTATACCATACTCTTTTAATGCACTGCTTACAGGCAAAAGGGAAAAGCCCACCTACGTCATTTTACCAACCCCTGCTTCTCCGAGAGTTCTTCTTTTTGATGGCTGCTAGCAATCCTAACTTGCACAAGATGGAGAACAACCCTCTCAGTGTTCAGTTTCCGTGGGAAGAAAATCCTGAAGGCCTACGGAGGTGGAAACTGGTTAGTTTCGTAAAAAAATTATATTACTGAATTGTTGCTTGACAGAACTCTGTAAGTAAGGTTAAAATGGTTTGCTTTGTTGTTCGTGTTGCATGTACTAGGGTACCACTGGATTTCCTTGGATTGATGCAGTAATGCGGCAGCTTCGTATAGAAGGATGGATTCCTCATGTGGCCCGTCTAGCCGTTGGATGTTTTTTGACAAGGGGATGTCTGTGGATCAACTGGGAGGAGGGATATAAGGTATGGAAAGATGAGGAGCAAGTCAAGGTTTTAGAATTAAGGTCTTGCTGAGTTTAAGGGAGCTTAGCAGACTAACATTTTGAATGTCATCTGTAGGTGTTTGACGAACTTCAACTGGATGCAGAATGGAGTCTTAACGTAGTCAATTGGATGTGGCTTTCAGGAAGCACATTTGTTAAGGAGCATATTCCATGGCTCTGTCCAGTGGAAGTTGGAAAGAAGATTGATCCTTCCGGAGAATACGTCAGGTAGGAGAGGGCAACACTTTCGATGCCCTACTATTCAGTATCCACAGTAGTTGAGTTATAAGGATGAAAAGCAGGTTATCTAAACTCTTGAACCGTCAAGGCGCCTTTGTCAAGCCACAGTGATAATGTGACTTGTTAGCTTGCGTTAATTGAGGCGATTTCTTGCGAATCTTAAGCTACTATGTAGAACCCTGTTCTTTTTTATTTTTGGCTCTTGGAAAGGCTCACGTCAGTACGTTGATTTACATCTGAGATTGTTTCCCCTTTTCATGAATGTTTGTAGGAAGTATGTACCCGAGGTGAGGCGATTACCTTTGAAGTACTTGTTCGAACCATGGAAAGCACCAATGGGAGTTCAAAAGAGAGCGCGGTGTATTGTGGGTGAGGATTATCCTGAACCAGTGGTTGATCACATCGAACAGCGGAGAATCTGTGTTGAGCGCTTGAACGATATGTGCATTTCGTTGGATATTTCAGGTATGTCTGTAGATTTAGCTACGAAACGTTTTGAGTAGGGTTCTGTTTAACATCCTCGGTGAAGATTGCATCGACCATGGTGAGCCTTCAGCAAGACGTTATAGTTCTAGATTGTTAGACGATATTGAGCGTTGCAGTTTATTTTGTGTAGTTCCTGCTGCGTCACAAATTACCAACTACTGAACGGTTTCTTTTGTTGATAGATAAGCGAAGTACAGGTTCAGTTGTCTAGCCTAGAATAAAAATTTTGTATTTCATCATTGGCCATGCCTATCAGTAAATGCCTTGACTTGAGTTCTCATGTAGGAGTACAAACATAATCGTTGAGGCTATTTTCTTATACTTATTCGGTAAGCTATAGATACATGTAAAGTAGACTGCTTATAGTCCGCCTTTTCTGTTAAAATCCGTCCAGTTTTCATCCCAGCCAGCGTGTCTGCAAACAACGACGTTGCAATGTGCATGGGTTACGCGTGGAGCTACTTTGAAAAGAAAATAGGAGACCGCTTACCGTCTATTTGTAATCCAACTGGGAATTTGTGGCTTTTATCTCGCAGGTCACAGGAGCCTTCACTGGTTCAGAAAGGACCTCAGACTTCACGACAATCCCAGCCTTAGAGGGTGTCTTGCCAACAGTAAAGTGTTCTACGGGGTGTACGTCCTAGAGTGTAGTTCTGAAGGAAGGATGAATGTCAGCCCAAACCGATGGGAATTTCTTCTGCAGTCCCTTCGAGACCTTGACAACAGTCTAGTTCAATTGGGCTCACGCCTTTTCGTTATCAAGGGAAGACCTGTTGACATCTTGCCTTCTCTTTTCAAGGAGTGGGATATCACCCGCTTGTCGTTTGAGCCTGACTGTGAGCCTGACTGTAAGGCCCGGGATATGGTGATCACGAACCTTGCCCAACAAGCTGGAATTGAAGTTATCAATCGTGTCTCACACACTCTTTATGATCCTGAAACGTTGTTGATGTCAGCGGGTGGCAGGGTACCACTTCAAATCGATGCGTTTAAGGAGCTTGTGTTGTTACAAGGGCGACCAGAGATGCCCGTTGCAACAGTTGACAGAAAACAGTTTGGCTCTTGCACGACTCCTGTTGGCGAAGACCATAACAAGAGGTTTGGAGTCCCAACACTGGAGGAGATCGTTTTGCACAAGCCACTCACCGTGTCCTCACGGTTTTATGGAGGTGGGGAGAGAGAAGCCTTATTAAGACTGGAAAAAGCGCTGCAGCAGGTAAATGGCTTAGCTTACTGCCTCGAGCTTAATACCTAACAATCGGTTTAAGTTTAATTCCAGTTTAATTCTTTCACAACGGTGAATTTTGGGATCTCAAAAGAAGGCAAAACCTTCTTCTCAATCTTTTTAAGACCTTGGGCCTTGGCTGATGGTCCGGCCGAGCCTGCCTCCTCTCGTGCACAACCAAATGAGCAAACAGAGCGGCGTTCAACTTTATTAGTTCAGTAGTAAGACAAACGCATTCGATCAAGTTGATGCAGAATACTTTAAAGATCATTAAAATAATCCAGCCCCATCATCCTGGCTGCTATCAATTTTAGTTCAGCTTAGTTTGGAAAAAGTAGTTCCGTACTTGACACTTCCTGTCTTGTAAGTTATTTTACTGAAATACGCCGGTGTTTTGAAATCAAATATTTAGAAATGGAACCGGGCTTGAACCGTGGGACGGCGTCCGTAGGGGTTAACTTGAGATTCCTACCCCCCCCCTCCTCCCTACGCCCCAACAAACAAATATCATACTGAATTATTTCTGACAGTAAACGCCTCGCAGCAATGTTTTGTGTTGTTTTCTACTTGCAGATGATAATAAATGACTTCTGTGAGCCGCACTTGACTGCCAGCTCTTTAATGCCATCGGAGATCCATTTGAGTCCTTACTTGAGGTTAGGCTGCCTGTCTCCTAGGCTGTTTTACCAGCGAATAACCCAAGAGTATATCAAGGTATGCCATTCCCTGCGTTATATTAAGAATATATCTGTAATTATCCTTAGTGATTTTTCGAAACCTTCAGTGTTCCAGTCTGTTTCCATTGTAGCTTTAGTGACCCAAGTTGATCAATTACTGCGTGGAGGTGATTTGCCATGTTTCCCAGTGTTTCTAAACTACTACTCAGAGCGCAGTTACTAATCGTCATAATTACGCGCTTAAATTCCTCTTTGAGTTTTCAAATAGTAATTTTGTTATCGGCGGGTATGTAATGTTGCAAACAAAAATACTGATATATTGTTGTTGCAGAAGTTGGTAGAAACAGCTGACACTTTGTGACTGGTTTAACCTGAGAAAACAGCCGACATTTGGCGACGCCACCACTTGTTTCCCCGTGAAATGACGTCTGAGCAACGAGCGCAGAAATTCTATAGTGATGACTTGTCACTATCCAAATCTGGTTTGTGCTTTTTATTGGTTGAAGTAAGTTTCTTTCGCGGCATTACCAATCAGAAGCACTAAACAGATGCGGTATTCACACGTCATCAGTCTGGAATTTCTGTGCTCGTTCCTCAGACGTCATTCGCCGGGAAACCAGTGGTGGCTCCACGAAATGCCGGCTGTTTTGCTCAGGATATGATTGGTCCAGCGGTGGACAAAAGTTGATATTTTTTAAGATTTGAGAGAAAAAAATTGTCACGGTTACCTTTGGACGTCAGATATTTTGCATATGAAACTTCGAAGGAGCCAAAACGACCGTGCGCTGCTGTGGATGCAAAATTCCAGTCATACAGAAGGTTGTTCTTTTTTTTAATCCACAGGCCAAGACGTCAAACCCGCCGCAGAAGATATTCAACAAGCTGTTATGGCGCGAGTTCTTCTTTACTGTTGGAAGCCAGCTACCGGAATCGCCTGAAATGGTCAACAACCCACTGAGTCTCCAGATACCTTGGGAGGAGTCTGCCGAGTATCTTGAGCGCTGGAAACAGGTCAGTAATGTGAGGCGACAGTGTTACTGTGTTGACCTGTGTTCATCATGATAGTGTGAGAGTGCCGCTCCAGTCACTTATGAGACCTCTCAAGGTGTTACTTCCCTCTTGGGAGAGGAGCTTTGAAAACATGAAAAGCAATGGTTGTCGAGATAAAATGGGACTTTTTTGAACAAACAGTACTGAAATGGGGCTTTAAAAGCATTCTCAAACTTTGTGTAAGTAACTCAATGTGGAAGTCGTTCGGAAACCATAACATCTTTTGTGAAAAGGGTATATCAGCAGGATGTGATATGAAACAATTCTTGTGTTGTATCTACTAGCCATATCACTTTTATTATACACGTCCTTTGGAGTTCATGTTTCGTTGTAGTATTTTCTCTATGAACCTAAACTAATGCATTGAAGCGTTATCTTTTAGGGTATGACTGGGTTCCCATGGATCGACGCCATTATGAGACAACTCCGCTCCGAAGGCTGGATCCATGACGTTGCTCGTAGGGCTGTTGGTTCTTTCTTGACACGTGGTTGTCTGTGGATTAACTGGGAAGAAGGATTCAAGGTAGAACGACTGAAAGTAATCTTATTAACTGTTGGTAATTGCTTTTTGACACCACTTCGCCTTAGCCGGGCGCGTTTTCAACGTAGGCTAACTTCTAAGATCTGTACAATTTAAATAACGGTCTTCATTGTCTGTAGCAGACTTCATACAGTGAACTCTCTGGGAGTGAGAGGCATCCGCCTACAGAGGCAAAGAAAGAGACTGAACGACAGCAGGGTCCAACTCAAGGCGTCCAGGAAGAGAGAGTTAACTTTACCAAAAGTTTGCTCCCTCTTAACGAACACCTTAAATGGACATCTCCAGTTGGCCCTAGCCCGTAAGGCGAGCCCCTCTTTAAGAAGAACAGTTAGTATCGGTCCCAATGATGTCCGTAGTGTCTTTATGTATGTCACTGGTCCTTGTGCTGTTAGAACGACGTTACCATATATACGATCTGCACAACCAACCGCCCAATCCGTGAGGACCTTTTGGAGTGTTTTTGGTCCGTATACGGTCCGAAAACACTTCATAAGGTAATTGGAACGCTTTCTTTGACGTTGCTGATAATCGTGGATGGCCTTTTCGTTTGTTAATGTATTCCTTGTCACTTCAGAGCTTCTGAGATCAGGAGTTGGTTTATCAACCGTGGAGCAATCGAAATTTTTCATTGGTGCAATTTTTACTAGGTTTTTGACGAGTTTCAATTGGACGCCGAAAGGAGCCTGAACTCTGGCAATTGGCTGTGGCTGTCAGGAAGTACATATGTTAGAGAGCATATTCCATGGCTGTGTCCAGTAGAAGTTGGAAAGAAGATTGACCCAACTGGAGAGTATGTTAGGTGTGTTGGTACAATGTTTCTTTTGTCTACACTCAAGACTCGAAGGGCTAAGTTTATGTTGAGGCTCTTATGGCTTCGGTTTGTTGATTAAGCGTAGTTACAGGGGTCATCTCACGTCATTAGACGTCACGCTAGTCCTTTAGTGATTGTCACCATTGATTCCATTGGTCATCCGCTTTCGATGTAAGCTGTCGAGGTATCGATACCTTGTCACTGCCTCGCTTTTAATCCTGGGCGGTGTGTTGTGCGGGAGGCGGAAAGCCAATTCTATTCAATGTGCATCTCGGTTCTCCGTACGACTGCTTTCTCAACAGTAGGGCTAAAACGCGCCAAGAAACATCTTGTCAATATGTTCTTAAACTGTTAATAAACCCAGAGATATCCAAAACTACCCTTCCCATGTGGAACTTAAATGTCAATCTTTTTTGTCTTTGCTTCTCTTTTAGGCGTTATGTGCCGGAGGTTAGGAACCTTCCTACAGAGTACGTCTTTGAGCCGTGGCTGGCACCACGTGATCTGCAGATCTCTTGCTGTTGTGTGATTGGTCAAGATTACCCTTCCCCTATTGTGGATCACGTGCAGCAACGAGCTATTTGTGTCCAGCGCCTTCGTGACCTGGCTTTCAGTTTAACTGCTGCTGATAAATTTATTTAAGTCAAACTTCAGGGACGGTAGATTGGTCCTATTTTAGAGGAAAACTGCTTCTTCACGAATAATTTGCAACATTTTTTAAGCCGGCGGAGATGATGTGTTAACAATTGGCTTCATAGAACACAATGTATATATAAAATGTAAATGCTTTGTTTGTATTGGCAGTGCACGCAAGTAACTGCTTGTTCTAGTTTTAAAGCACTCGACTTAATTAATTAAAAAAAGCAATCCAAATAGTACGTAACAGTATTGATAGGGGTTGAGTTAGCGAGTCACTGCGCATCTAACGCGCTTACCACTCGACCTCGTGTATTGTTTCTCTATTTTGTTCTATCAACGGCATGTTTGTTTCTTAAAGGGGTAGAACTAATAGAGTAATATTAGCTAAGAATTTCTCAGTTTTTAAGTTATTACAAGTCGTTTGGATAGATAGAAAAAAAAATGACCGCAACTTCCAAACATAATCAAATGTTTCTCATTTGTTCTCATTGCTATTCGAAACTAAAAACGTGCTTCGTGCTGCTGTCAAGTAAAACTATTAGATGAAAACTCATAGGAGAGACGTACAAAACTTGCATTGTAAGGAAAATGACAAGGTGGTCTTGGAATAGGTTTGCGTTTATTAAGAGTCATTGTATGTTTGCTAAAAGATAAGTTATATCGATGAAAACACGCTACAATTTGCTTATGTTAAACGGTATGGTGATTAAAAATTTTTTTTCAAATGCTAATAAAAGTTGTACGTGGAAGTATTGTTAAAGAAGGAGGCAACGTATTTTTTTAGGAGCCGACCATATGACTTTTTTGGCGGGGCGAGGGCGTGCTGTATCTGTGATTTCAGAAAAAAAAGTTCTGCAGACTGATTTCGAGCCAAATAAAAAATCTTGCAAGGAGATACCAGTCATACAATGGCTTTCTATGTCATATCATATGGAGACATTGAACCTGACCTCCTCGTAGCCAAAACAAGGTTTACCCGTGTAACTTAAATTGGAATGTTAACGGAAACAAGTAATAGAGAACATGCGCATAATGCTCTCTGATTAACCTGAACAGTAACTATACGTATAAAGATACGTCATATCTTGGTAGTAAGTTGCCACAGGTAACCTTTTCAAAGAGAAATAAACATTGTAGTTTTAGGTTAATGAAACAAAACAAAACAAAAAATCCGCTTGCTTTATCCAGGGTCGAACCCAGGGTTACAAAGTTCCAAAAAGTTCCAATGTTTTAATCCAAGATGAAAGTTCAAAATTCCAAGATGCTCTTGATATGGTTAAAAATTAATTGCAATGTGTTTCCAAGGTCTCAAAGTTAGCATAGTTCCAATGATTATCCCTGATTCCAAGGTATAATAAGTTTACTAAGGTCCTGACCGTGTCCCATCCAGAAGTCCAATCCATGACGAAAGGGAGTCAAGGGTACGAGTTGAAATTTACGCGATTTAATTAACCTCCCATCGTCAAGGTGTTTTCGATAAGAAAAGAAAAAACTGAACTCTAGCTGTGCTCGGCAAAAAATGGCGAACTCCGAATAGAAAAATCTATCGGACATCACGGCCCGCAACCAGACGCTACTAAAACCTTATGAAAAAGCTAGACCTAAACAAAAAAGAATCATGAAGGGAAGAAATAATTTGGCTTAGGTCGCCTTTCGTGACTTGCCAGTATCCCGAAGGATTTCGCTGGTTAACAAGCCATCCTAAACCAAGAGTGGGAAAACTTAAGGGCGACAAATTTGGCAACGAACGTTCCGATTTCAACGTTCTTCAGAGGAAGCAAATCGATTGAAAGTCGATACAGATTTTGTACAATCTGATTGGTCGACTTGGAAGAAGAGATAATCGATAAAGATTTTAGGCAATCCTATTGGCTGGCTTTGCAATTTGTTCGTACAATGAAACGTTCTGAAACGTTCTTCAGAGGAAGCAAGTGGATCAAAAATCGATAAAGGTTTTGTACAATCCCATTGGTCGACTTGGAAGAAGAAATAATCGATAAAGATTTTACCCAATCCTATTGGCTGGCTTTGCAATTTTGGGTACAACCGAACCGGATTTTTACCGTGGGAGTGCCACAGGCATCCCACGGAATGAATAATAATTCTAATTAATCAGGAATCAACAAGGAAATCAAGAATGATTGTATAACGTTTTCTTTATTAACATGTCACTTATCAAGAGACGAAATAATACAGCCACTTACAATTATTTTATTATAGCAAATGAATGAGACTTCTAAGATTGTAGTCTTAGGTATTTTACAGTGTGGGATAAATGATTTTCAATTTTTTATATTCATAAAATGCTCGAAAAGATGCGCGCTAGTGAGGATCGGTCAGAGTGTTATATCTTCCTGATGAGTATGTGTGTTATCGAATGATCAGTTGTTGTATCAGAATAACAACTCTAAGCCTACAAGATGCAATTGTCTTTTGCTCCAGTGTTTCTCTAGGTACTCCAGTTCCAATGTGATTCTCTAACAGAATCAGAAAACAGTCAAACAGATTTTAGCAAGGTTTTAAACTGAGATCAGATTCTACTTTCGTTTCGCGCGGGCTGGCAAATGATATTCCGGCGAGCAACCACGTTAGCGAGAATGTATGACAACTGCTAAAAATGATCTCAAGTTTCAAAGTTTAGTGTCTATAGAACCGCGCCTTTTTTCTCCGAAGTTCAGGATAAGAATTATTTTTCTCTTGATGCAAAGGCATCTGGGCAAGTCATTATTTTGCACATCTATAGCTACTTCTACCTTCCAGATATGTTAAATTTCGTTTTGAAATTACCACTTCCATGCCAACAACATGGTGGCAATCGTGTCTCAATGACAGGCCAATAAAATATTCATAAAAGAAGGTATTTCAGTCAATCCTCTTGAGTTGCAACAATTTAACAGTTTTCTAAGAGACTAACCTTTAAGCTATAAAGTGAGTCATTGAGACGAATCTCTCAGCATGGAAGCGTAGCTTGCGAACAAGCTCGCGGGGCTGCCGGGGATACTACTCCCAGGTTACTAGAAGAAACCTTGAAAGTTGATAAATCCTCGAACGGAATGTCATTTTGTCATGTATGTACATTTAATATCATAGGTTCACTCGTGTTAGCTACGTTAATCTAAATCATTTTCACTGGAAATGAAACGGAACTAAACAGGGAATCGCAGTAAACAATCGGCTACAGTTTGGCCAGCTTGCTCAAGTGCCTACCACACTCTGCAGCGCTTTGTAGGATTCAACTTGCTTTCTTTTGGACAGTTGAAGGCCTTTGAAAACTCCTCCATGTTCGATAAAACACCGTTTACCCTGAAAAATTAGGCGGCAAATGAATGGTGGTGTAGAGAAATTTCAAGTGTAGCACACATTCACGGTTTCCAAGTGGATATCTGGGGATTTGCAGAAAGGGATGAACGATCCCGCAAAAAAAACACCCGGGTCAGATGAAGTGAAGTATACTTACCTGTAAATTGGTAATGCGTGTGTGTCGGTCTTAGCTCTTCTAAAGATCTGCGTAGGAGTAAACGTACTACACCACATCTGAGAGAAGAGATGATAACGAAGTTAATAGAGCTCGACCAGTAATTTTTAGACGGGGCATCGATTTTTATGCGTTTGCTCTTTAATTAAACATTTGGGAACCACGATAATGTACCAGGTGAGCTGTGACTAGTTGCATGAACAAAGCGAAGTGCGAAAATTAAAGTTAAGACAAATAAAAGCAAAAAGGGTTTTCACACTCAAGTGCCATGAGACGAGAGTACGAGCGGGGATATTATCAGATAATATCTGCTGTTAAAACATACTAAACTATTAGTTAGTAAACTATAATTCCAAAGTAATAGCTGTGTATTACTCCGTAATGTAGATAATCTCAAGAAAATGTGTCAATTAGTTTTTTAGTACCTGTGCATAACTCAAGAAGAACAACTGTTCGCTTGACCTTTTCAATCCGGGCATCAGCTCTTCAGTGCCATATTTACTAACCCAGTTTTGGTAAGCCTGTATAGACCAATTTAAAGAGTTAGCTCCTGTCACACCACTGAAGAAAAATGTAAAGTGCTTCTAAATAATATTAATAATAAAAAAAGCCAAACGTCTGCCTTAACCTCGGTATGTACGTATCACACACACTTGCAACGAATTAAATTTCCATGTTAAAATGTTGTTTCCTCGCCATCAAAGTGGATAAAAACGCAAAGAACATTATTATTACTCTTCATAACGGCGTCGTAGAAAACGCAGTTATTGGCCCAGCTCCTTTGTAACAGCTTTGGCCAAACTGAGGGAAATTGATAGTTTCAATGTTATACTACTAATGCTGGTTACAAAACATATCAGGAGCTGAAAACATACAGTCGAACCTCTCTCAAGTAACCAACCAAAATGCAAAGACTAAGTCGTCGTTTACAAGAATCGAACCACAGGAGGCCTTTTCCGAGGCACATCTACTTTATGGAAGATAATTTGTTGCATGCAATGTCTAAGTTACGACATGTGTAGTTCCATGTTGTCAGTAAAGTTATTCGTATATTCTAAGCAGCATAGTGCACACAGCATACATAGATATCAGAGAATGCGTCAAGTGGTCGCTTACAGGGGGTTAAAAATCATTAAACGTCAGGCCCAAAAAGTGGTCTCGGTCGCTTACAGGGGGTGTTCGTTTGCTGGAGGTTCCAACTGTAAGGCTTTGGCTAAGAAAAGTTTGGTTTTTTGGATTGGCGGTCGTTTATTGGAGGTGGTCGCTTACAAGAGATGGTCGCACATGCAGCCTGGACTGTATTTGGATGCCCACCAAGATTTCATTTCCGCCCCGTATCATCTCTGCGTAAAATCTCTGATACAGGACCTAATAATACACCTTTTTCAACACTTTCAACGGAATAAAAGCATTTGTAGACTCACCCTAAAAGCAATATTAAGGGCTCCGTTGTCTGCAATATTCTCAGATAAGGTAAGTTTACCGTCAACCTGTAGAATGACAAAAGAAAGGTGACTCGGAAGGAATGGACAACTAACTTCCTTTCTTTTGTCCGTACTAAACACAAATCACTCTTGCAAACGTGCTCTTAGACACCATTTAAAAATTTCATCGTCAGTTGAGGAATGAATGAATAAAGGAGATGAGGTAATAGATTTAAGAGTCTCGCTCACACGAGCAAAGAAGGGATAAACAAGACCGGCATACCCGGCCCTATTGGCTTTACCACGACTTAATGTCTTAAAGAACAAACAGGCTAAGTTATGTTTCTGATAAATTTAGGAAGGTTTGTAAGCGTCATTTACTTGGAACGAGGGGGTGTGTGATATATTCACCTGGTACCGCCCCGAGGGCGCGGTTCCAGGTGAATATATTATGTACATACTCCTTAGGGACAGGTAAATAACATGCTTATTTTTCACTTTTGAGGTTTCCTAAAGCAAAAAGCTTTTGAAAAAGCTTTAATTCTCTAGAGATGCTTATTCCCAAGAGCCTCGAATTGTTTGAGGTTGAATTCTAAAATATGGAAATTAGACGATTCATGTGGAGTAGTCAAACATGGTCTAGCCTGTGTACAGACGTCCCGAAATACACAGGCTAACATGGTCAAACAGTAGTTTTACTAGAAATAAATGAGTTACTCAGAGGAGTTTTGGAAACTCTTTCGGACCTTCAACCGGTACACGTTGGAGATGTTCAGCTGGAGATGTTATGTCAAATTTGTTTAAAAGTGACGCGGCCGTTAATTCGAATTTCTAGTTCGAAGAATATTGCTGTATGACAACTGCCGACGAAGAAAATGAAGTCCAAGAAAATGTGGTATGGTAAGTTCATTAAATCGAAATCCAAAATTCTGACTTGTGTTGTTTTACTTGGACGGTTAAACATGTTGAGGGGAATATAAGCAAGGGAAGTATATATTGAATAGTTTAGTTCTTGTTATCAGCTATTGTTTCAGCCCCGCACTCCCCTGTTACAATAGGGAACTTAAGCACCAGACGTTCTTGGTACCACTGATGCCAACCGGATGACAGCCACTGCGCACCTCAAGACGTTTGTGGGCAGCAGTCAAGGACTTCATTCTCGACCCCAGTGCTTACGGGTTTGGCAATGTGCTCTTGATCTCTCTCCTCTACATGCGCAGAAGAGCTCTGGGTCGAGATTGTCACGGACTTCAAAACATGAGTTCTCATGTTGAAACCGGAGGTTCAGAAACGTGAGTAATGAACACGGTTAAAATTGTTAATATTTGATGTCCAATATAACAGTTTCCAATCCTTGTATGTTCTTTTGTTATGTTAGAACTTTAAGGTGACTCGACCCAGTTTTTTTTGAGGGGTACCGTCCTACTTTGAAGCTCTCTGGTATCCCCACCTTCACTTTTATCGTAAGTCTAACACATAGAATGGATAACATATAGATCAATCTACAATATAACATAAAATTTTTGGCGATCGGAGTAAATGTCACGTGGTTATAATGCCACGCCCCTTTGAGGTCTGAGTCGAAAATCGGCTGTTGCCGGCATTTTTTCGTGAAAATCTCTCGGCAACACGTAGTGCGCATTAGTGCCTTGCGCTGAGCAGAGTTTCACCCAAATCGCAAAGACCCAATTCGAGAAATTCAGCGGTTTCCAAATTTAGGTCATAATTTATGTGAAAATGATAAGCAAACTTTACACGGATTATATATAATAAACCAAGAGATTCATCCCTTTATTTTGGGCATCGTTATAACAGATGGGTCCTTGCAAGTCAGCAAAACGCTTAGGGCCTTGTAAATGCGCGCGATTTCGAGCAAAGCAAACATATAGAAATTATAGTTTTCGCTATTTGTTGACGTTTGTCAGCGTTTAAGAGTCCTTCTCACGAAAAAAGCATTTTCTTAAAAATTCGTAGTTTTTTTTCCTTCAAATTTTTTCAGGGCCACAATTGATTAACGAACTACCCGGACTCTGAATTTCATGGTCATTGAAAAACTGTGACACTATCTTCTATAAGCCCAAACTTGAATAAACATTGAAGATTTTTAGCGTTTTGGCTGAGTTTGTGCTTTGGGAGTTGTCTATTGTTTCTAGTCTGTCATGATACAGCATTCTTGTTCAGCACGCGTGCAATGACCGCGCTTGGCTGACTTCTGAATGCTCACCGAGATATTATAATTTTGGTACAGTGAGACAGGCCATCGCGTGATAGATAGAGGTTTAACTAACAATTTTTAATCAATTCTCGTGCTTCTTGTGTCTTTGCAAAAAAATCAAGAAGTTCTACACACTAAGTCTACTTACTATAACAAAAATATCATTTTTTCCTAGGTTTAATGCAAGCCAATAATTAAACCAACTCGTGACGGGAATATCTCGGTGAGCATTCGGAAGTCAGCCAAGTGTAGTCATTGCACGCGTGCTGAACAAGAATGCTGTATAATGACAGACCAGAAACAATAGACAACTCCCAAAGCACAAACTCAGCCAAAACGCTAAAAATTTTCAATGTTTACCCAAGTTTGGGCTTATAGAAGATAATGTCACAGTTTTTCAATGGCCATGAAATTCAGAGTCCGGGTAGTTCGTTAATCAATTGTGGCCCTGAAAAAATTTGAAGGGAAAAAAACTACGAATTTTTAAGAAAATGCTTTTTTCGTGAGAAGGACTCTTAAACGCTGACAAACGTCAACAAATAGCGAAAACTATAATTTCTATATGTTTGCTTTGCTCGAAATCGCGCGCATTTACAAGGCCCTAAAGCGTTTTGCTGACTTGCAAGGACCCATCTGTTATAACGATGCCCAAAATAAAGGGATGAATCTCTTGGTTTATTAGATATAATCCGTGTAAAGTTTGCTTATCATTTTCGCATAAATTATGACCTAAATTTGGAAACCGCTGAATTTCTCGAATTGGGTCTTTGCGATTTGGGTGAAACTCTGCTCAGCGCAAGGCACTAATGCGCACTATGTGTAGCCGAGAGATTTTCACAAAAAAATGCCGGCAACAGCCGATTTTCGACTCAGACCTCAAAGGGGCGTGGCATTATAACCACGTGACATTTACTCCGATCGCCAAAAATTTTATGTTATATTGTAGATTGATCTATACGTTATCCATTCTATGTGTTAGACTTACGATAAAAGTGAAGGTGGGGATACCAGAGAGCTTCAAAGTAGGATGGTACCCCCCCCAAAAAACTGGGTCGAGTCACCTTAAAAGCGTAGTAGAATCTTTGAAAAACATTTTCAACTGATTTCTGTCTGGGTTCGTGATGGTTTCACGTTGGTTTGCTTAATGATTTGCATTTGGCGCGTAAACGGCGTCCCCGATCCATTTCTGCGCGGCCAGCCATGCCGTTCGTGAATCAATTGAGAACGTCTGGTGCTTAAGTTCCCTAATCAAAGCCGCCACCAACTTTCCAGACAGTGAATAATAATGAGGGGTTATGTAATATATTCCCCTAAAAAGAACAAAGGAAACCGAGCAAAGTGAAAAATAATTTCATCTAGACGAAAAATTTGATACATACAAACATTTGTAAACCATCGATATCCAATGGGTATTGACTGTATTGGTCCACCAGACACTGAGATTTGTCATTGAAACCAGTAAGAGTAAAATTGCTCCACCATGGGTCACTAATCTCACCGTATTTGTTGAATTGGCGTCCTGTGTAGGTAAAAAGAGGGGAAAAAAATCAGTGAAGTGAATTTTGAGGAAAGAGTCAAATGGAGAGCAAAGAATGTGAATTCTCTATTTTCCAATTGCCCATAATACACTCTGTTTGCCCCCCAAATTCTGCATAAACCATTGTTTTTAAATACTCCTGGGAGTATTGCATTTTCCCAAGAGCATTTTAAGACAATAAGTTATGCAAAATTTGGGGGGCAAACAGAGTGTATTATGGGCAATTGGAAAATAGTCAATGCGTAAAAGGAAAAAGTCTCCTCACTTGCGCTTCTTTGGTTTGGTTTTTCAAGTTATCAGAGAAAAATGTACTTTGCTGTTTTCATAGGCTATTCTATACAAGTGCCTTATCAATTCAGGAGACGAAAATGGATACTTCACCAAATTTTTGGACAAATATTTACTAGCTTAACGATCTCTTTCTTAAAAACATTTTCTTAGATTCTGTAAACTTGGTGAAAACAACGTTACCGCGACATGATTAAAATTTTAAATTATGGGCTAACAAATGTAATATCTTTGGCTAAAATCGGAGGCCTGAAATCTGTTAAAATCATCCGATAGTGGAGAAAATGGGCCGAGATTTCATCTGAGAGAAAGAGAATCATGGAAAATGAAACAGTGTGCTTGATATAGTGCATAGCATCCTCATTGGACTGTCACTATGTTGTGTTTGATTAATAATGGTAATCGATCTGAGTGGAGTGCGAATTGGTTTGAAATCATACGCGTGTTTTTTAAATCGGACGAGCGCGCAGCGCGAGTTCGATTTGAAATCACAAGTATGATTTCAGACCAAAATAGCATGACACGAAGTTTAAGTACCACTTTATTACAGCCATAATGAAATTGCAGAATTCAGTTTATTTCAGTACCAAACTTATATTGATCTAGACATAGTTTGTTAAAAACTATGATCCGAAATAAAAAGGCTTTTAAATCTCATTTTTGTATTTTGAAACTGAACTGATTACAATATAAAAACTAGAACAAAAATACAGACAAAACGTTTGAACTGAATTAGCGATTTAAATATGAAATGACGAGCATTTTAAGGATATACATGCGATTTTTCTAAAATTACAAAAAATGGATGCAGACGTTATCTTGAAGCTGAATTCACAAAATTAGCTTGAGATTTAAATTTAGCCTGAGATCACGATAAGGAATGGATTTTTGTTAGGGATTTCAAAGTTGGATGTATTCCATAATGACTGATCCTCTAAACGCGACAGAGTTGGTTTCAAATCAACGCGTGTTTTTAAATGGAACAATTAAAGAAGCGCAAGTCCGGGTTGAATAGTTTGTGACCCGTTTCTTAGAAATCAGGTCGATTAATGTGACAGGTAACCTATCGTGGAAAGCTTTACGAAGACAGATAAAAATGGCTAATTTATAATAAATAGACAGAGGGCCTAGTCGTCGGTTTGCTGAATAGTGGAAACAAGAAGTCTTTTTACATCTCATTTTGTGTCCAAAATAGCAATGATACGATGTGGAGCAAAAATGGTGCAATTTAAAACAGAAATGATGCGATTTAGAACAGAGGTGATAAAGAACAAAAAATAATGCGTTTCGTGAATAAATCACACTGCTCAGAGCCAATAAGATTGCAGGGATCGCCAGTGATTTCAAAATAGATGTAATAAAGGACCCAAAAAGACAGCTGTGAAATAGAACAAAAATCAAGTGATATCGGGTCTTCTGAATACATTAGGCATAGCTGTTGTCGACAACAAGGGACAAGAGCTGACAAGATTCTGAACACCTTACCGACGCTATCGAATCCGTGTGTAAGCTCGTGAGCGAGGACTATTCCTATACCACCAAAATTAGCGGCCCTGTGAACACAGACAGACAGTGTATTAATACAGGTTGTGTATTGTATCCTTGGTTTAAATTTTACTTTTCTTTGTTTTTACGTATGGTAAGATAAGAAGACAAAAACAAGAGGAAAATAAAATTTAAACCAAGTACTACATCACAAAAATGAACCCTATTCTTGTTTAGTTCATCGCTCTGGTGAACTGTTCAGTGTGGGGGGCGAAGAAGGGATGGGGGGGGGGGGGGGGGGGGGCAGTTTGGGAGAATGGGATGCAAGCTGGTCCTACTGCCAGTATTGCCCAAGCAAAATTGCTCTCCTGAGGCTGAAGCAAGTGCTCTATTTTACCTCGTGTTTACAAGGCAGCTGCCTCGCGAGTTAAGACTGGGACACCTTTGTTTCCTTTGAGTTACCACAAACTAGTAACACAGGAATAGATACAGGTGCATACAAATACAAATGAGCAACTTGCCTGTAACATCTGGGTACGTAGATACGATTAGTGCTTCTTGCTTCTTCATTTTTTGTGTAGTTGCACAATCGTTGCGTATAAAACAACTTTGGACCTTCCCAACTTCGTTCCTTGAGTCGTTTTTTTTTAACTCCAAAAACGTAGTCAAAAAAAAGGAAATGGCTATCATCCTCAAGTTCAGCGTTGCGAAATTTAAGAGCAAGATAAGGCGATGTTCGAATCTTACCTTTAGATCACTAAAAGTTTCTTTTACCTTTTCAATTTTCAGGCCATTTCCGAGTTCCAAACGAAACTAAGTGTAAAAGCTTTCTTGTGAAAATGAGTTTTATTTGCATGAGAATAAAGAATCATTTCCGTATAATAGCTTCGCTGTTAACCTCGCTTTGAAACTGAGGCTTGAGGCAACTTAGAAATAATTTACTGGCATGGAGGTGTTATTTACACCAATTTTTTTAGACTGAATTCGCTTTTTATTGTAGAGCCGGGCTTCTTTAATTTAGAGAAACAATAATGCGTCCTTACCGTGGTGCCAAGCGGCCGTGGTAGAATGGCGGCTGAAGTATTCCTGCGAGGATGTCTGAAATGCAAAAAATGAAATGTATTTTTTTAAGAGTGTGTGTCGATGTTGGCCGCCGGGCTGTTCCAATCCCACTCAGTTCCTAAGCTGTTTGGCTGTAAACAGGACATAAACTAGTGACACTAGAAACTTAAGATTTGCCCTAGTCGGCCTTTGAACACCTCGGCCGACCTAGCCCATTAAAGAGGATACAAGTAAATAATAATGTTCAAATAAAAAAGGTCATCATAACGGATTTGTAACTTACTTATCTCGTTTTTCTCCCATTGGTAGTACGCGTTAACAGATTGTGGTCCATTAAACCATCTGAAATTGTATGCAGTGGTTAAAAATGTACTATTTGCAAAGGAAAAGTGGCTTCCGCCCCTGTAAAATCCCACAGCTAAGTTGCCAACATATGTCTGGCCAGTTTATGAGCTAAAAGATCACCTTTGTTCCCTAGCTAGAAGTGATAAAAAAAATATCGACAGGGAATGGCTGAGAAGTTATCAGAGTTTTTTATACACGGTCTCCAGGTAGACTGCTTACAGTCCGCCTTTTCTCTTAACATCGGCCCAGTGCTTATCCCAGCCAGTGATTGCAAACAACGATGTTACAATAAGGGATACGCTCTCTTGTAACGCGACCCGTGACTTCGTCGCTGGCGCGTTGCATGGGTTATGCGTGGAAAAATTTTGCAAAGAAAAATAATAAACTTCTTGCAGTCAAGCCAACGGGTCCTCTTTGATATCGATAATTCTTAAAAGTCAACCAAAGTGCCGTACTTACTGTCCTCGTGTTGACGGTTTTCTGAGTTTGACGAGAGATTGGGATGAGTACCATCTGCTCACGTTTACTTCGTTAAGCAGAAATCGCTTATCATCCACTTCAAGCTAAAAAAAGTTGCAAATGAAAGCAGTTACACAAACAATCGTTTTTACGATATTAACTTGCTAAGGCAGACAACTAAGACAATGTTGTATTCGGCTCGTTTGATACTCACCCCTTTGTAGTACTCCTCAAGTAACGTCTTGTTTACGCACATTTCAGGATAACCGATCTTCTCAACAATTGCCTCTTCCTGCGTGGAAAATCGCAAGTGTAGATTAGCTCAAAGCAAAACTTTATTTCACTGGGCTTCTTTTTTTTATTTATCTAACAGACTTGGGAATCGAGTATAACTGCTCTTTCTTTGATGACTTGAGTACATCACATTCATGCAGTTATTCGTTAACTTTGACACGTAAAAACCTGCTTCCCCTGCGGTTTTATACTGTGTTTTTATACTGTCTTTATTTTGTCGTACTGTATAACCAAGAACTCGATGTCTGTTCCCTTCTGGAGGGTTCATTTAAGATTGCCCAACAATCACCTTTTCGTAGACTTTAGGTCTTGTTGTATCATCAATCCAAGTCAAATTGGACACTTCCTCTCGAAATGCTTCTCTTATGTTATCCATCATTTCCTTCACCTGCAGTAAGAGCTTTAACATTAGTTTTGTTGTTTTTTAGTGGGATGTTTGTAGTGCTCCTCACAGAAGAAAATTTGAATAGTTCTTAGTTATAATTTGAATGGTTAAAGTTTTTTTTTTCTTTTCTGCGTGTCAAATGTTAAAACCACCTTAAGTAGCACTCAGTATAATTTTCTTTGCTGTAGTCAGGATTTCTTTGCAAATGCAACAAAATTCAAAGTTCAAATATTGAAAAACAAGAGTTACAGTTAAATGGACTCAAACAAAATTGTGTTTGGCACAAACCAATGGAATCATCTTCTTGTCAAATGCTTTTTCAATGTACAGGCTTCCGGTTGCAAATGTGAGCCCGCGGTGGTAGTTGGTTGTCGTGATGCATGTCAGCCATCTTGCCGACTCTGCTTTGATGTGAGAAGTAAGTCTTTTATATTTGGTCTCTGCTTCGCGGAAGGGCCTGGACAAGAATGGCACTAATCTCCTTAGAACAGTCCAGATGAAGTAATCTGATAGGGTTCTGCAACAACCAATCAGAATTGAAGAAAAGCCAGTTCTTTCTGCCACAATTCAGTTTACTGGGTATGGAGAATTCAACGAAGCCTGCGTAACTGACGGAACTGTTTTTGCACGTTTGAAAGTTTTGATGGCGAAGCCACCCTGGCTTGACAAGCGAGCGCCGAAGACTCTACATTGTCCGCGTGGTTTCGATTTGCAGCTCCTCTGACAAAACGTTGCTAGCGCTAACGATCTCGCCCGTTACGCAGGCTAAATTCAGTGAAATTCATAGTTTAATGCATCTAAGGTACTGGCCTTTACTATAGACGTTTATGACACATTTAAAGTAGTTCGTAAAGTTTAAAACCCTACAGGAAGAGGCCAGTGCAGATTTAAGTACTTACGTCTTATTGGCTGCAAGTACAACTTCAGACATGTTTCGGAGGTAATCGGGTGCAGGAACCAAGATATTTTCCAAAGTGTTCAGTGTTACATTATGTTCTGTGAACAAGGTGTTCAAGTGAGCCAACCACTGAAACTAGTGAGACAAAAGGGACAGCGTAAAGATGGTGGAACTGATAAGAGAGAGAGAAGCATGAGGTAGGGTGGCCTTACAGCTCTCGGATTAAAACCTCACGGGATTGGTTGGGAAAACAATGAACAAACAAAGTTAACAATGGAACCCATCACGAAACCAAAAGAGTAACAACCCATAGGGGTCCAGTTAAATTAGAGGTTCTGAAGAGCTGCAAGACTCTTGATGTTTCCACTGATTTAGGACCAGCGGTTTCGTCGGCTTAATTTAAGTTCCAGGTCACTCCGCCGTCTAGTGTATCGTTTGTGACCGTTTTTGAAGGATCGCTTGTGTACCGTTATCGTCATTCAAAGTTCGGATATATCTTCACCGTCAGTGTGTGACTGTGTGTTGTTTGGTTTCCTTTAGTTTTTCTCGGTGTACCTTTCTTTGTTTTGTATTTATTATTCGGTTCGATTATGTATAGCTTACTTTCAGTTTAATTATTGTCATTAGAAACCTCTCTACGAGTAAACAGTAAATTGAAGTTCATTGGAATGGAGTAAAGAAGTTCATTTCTTCAGAGCGTGATTTGCAGGAGCCTTTGAATTACAAGCTTACTTCTCTAAACAAGCTGTAAGTATTACGTTTCAGACTAGGAGCCATTCCCATTTGTCAGAAGTGGCCTGCCAGACCATTCCCATCGTAATGAGAAATTCACTTTTAACCAAAATGGTCCAGCAAGATCAGTCAATTCGTAAATTTTAAATAATATGTATAGGGTTGTTGGGTTTTTTGGGAGAACTAGATCTTAGGAAAGCCTATTTCATTTTCTCTAAATGACCGGTTTGGTGGACAGCTCTGAGTTCGAGAAAGTGCCTTAATTAAGTTAGGATAAGATCAGATGAATTGAATTTTATCAATATACAGCGCAGTTTTAATGGCCGTGCCTCACGAAGCCATCCAAAGCTACGTATTTCATAGTAGCAACAGGCCACTGTTGAGAAATACTAGTTAAAAAATGGTCCTGAATCCGGCCCTAGGGGACTTGCAGTTTATAGCTGAGATCCATTTATTAGGACACATATAAACTAGAACTGTTGAAGCTGTGGATTTTGTCAACCTATTAATAGAATTAGAACTTACAAATGAAGGTACTTCAGACTGAACACTCTTTGATGAAGTTGGCTTCCTGCTAAAATTCAGGGCATAATTTTTTTGTTTTGTACATCTAGAATTGGTGGTTAACATGTGATAACCTCGAGCTCATTCTTTCCGTAGTAAATATGTGAGTTTTATAAGCAACTTTAACTTAAACTCTTCTTTGCAATCTCGTCCTTGGGGACATTTTTTTGTGACTGATAAGCATGCACTCAATGAAGTAAATCCACTTACAAATATTTATGTAGTTGGTAACTCGATGTTAGTCAGAATCACCTAATATGCTAAACATTTGTACAAGTAACAAGATAAATTAAGAATAAGCATGAATCATGTTACTAACGCGAGGAGCGTGTTTCTGGAGTTCCTCCATTGTCATACTTTTATGGGTGTTCTTGTAAAGGTCAGCTTTAGAAGGCATGTTCTGTGTAAAAAAGAAAAAAATGGCACGTTAAGAACAGAATACATTAGAAACGTTGGAAATGTGTGATAAATCAACAGTCTTACTTTATATTATATTATTGGCTGGTATGGACTTGAGATAGAGTAGTAAACGTTGGCAAATTTAGATGACATTGATAATAAAGTTCCTTGTAGCTTTAAGGCTTACATGTCGAAAAGTAGTAAAAATCACAGCACACAAATACACAAGCTTACTACAAATACAATGTCAGCTAATAATGTAAAGAGGGTTGTATTGTCCTTTCGTTCGCGACATTTCCTTTTATTCAGTTTCATTCCAAAGGGGTACCGTTCGGCGGCGTTTTACGGAGACAAAAATAAAATTCGAATCTCCCAAGTCGATATCATATCATTTCTGGCTCTTTGAGGAGTACTTAAGTAATGATCCGGGTAAGGTGGATAGCAATTTCTTTTGTTATGCGGCAACGGTGCTTTCCTCGTGTAGAAATGTTCTCATTTTTACACAGAGAATGCATAAACCTACATGAAGGCCGTTTACGCAATAAAATGCATTTACACTCCACTTTGAAAGGGCGTTTTTTTGTTTTAAAAGATTTTGACCAATCACAAGAGTTGAAAACAATAGCCAAGAAAAGTTTACAATTTTACATGTTCCCCACATAGGATTTCTTTGTTATTCAAACTGAGACCAGGTTTTGTTATAAGGAAGATGGTTGCAAAGTAAGGATGAATATATGTACCGCTTTATGAAGTGTTGTTAACTTTTGCTGTTTAAGCCAATCAGAAGTAAGTACAGACAACAGAAAAGTTAGCACCTTTTTTGCATTCCAACATGTTCGTTGCCGTTGTTGCTATCGTTCTTATCTGGACCGTTTCTTAAAAACAAAAAAGCAAATCAAGAAAAACAAAATGGGTGCCCTAAAACGCTACTTTATTATCCCTGGAATGGTGGTTGTCATTTGAAATTGATGTAAAACGCTCAGTTTTAACTCGAATCCTTAATCAAGAAAGTGAATTTTATATTAATATAGTTACCCTCGCAAGTTTCTCTTCAAACTCCAGGATTCTTCTCATGTGTTGTTCTGTGGTAGCCTTTTGTCCTCCAAGAAGTATGCCCACTGTTGTCATGTACTCCAAGTATGCGCGCTTCTTCTATAATTGAATTAGTAAAAATAATAAATATCATACACAACTGAAAAGAAACAGAAGTTTCCATTTTTTTATATGCGATGAATTATTAAAGAGGTTAGGTTCTTTCGAAATTGTTGCCATGTGAAGATGAAGTAAGCAATGAGAAATACTAATTTTGTCATCATGATGGACGTAGTTTTCTCCAATCCATGGTTTTCCTCGGTGTAATATCCTGTGAAGATTTCTTTGTCTTTAACTCATATTTTTTAGGCTCTTTTATTTTAAATTAATTCTTTATCTGTTTTAATGAAGGGTACTCGTCTTTGAATTTGAAGGTTTTAACATCAAGGGTGAGCCCCAAATTCAAATTTTTTTTTTAATCTTATTATTTATCGAAAAAAAATTAGAAGATTGATCCGTTGTTTTGCAGCAATTTGGAAAATAATACTTTAAATTTGCCTTTTAATTAGCCTCGTTACCACAAAAGTTGTCAAATTGCGTTGAAACACTACTCGAAAACCGAGCATTTTGCTTGTCATACCTACTCAACCGACTTTTCTAACTTTTCCCTGTGTGTAATTCTTCTCTTCTTCCTCAGTGTTGAAACAGAAGGGTAATACTTGAATCAACATTGGAGGTGAGGGCTTAACGAGACAAGTGTTTCGACAAATGTGACAAGTATTGTAGCCTAGAAGAAAAAATCTCTTGACTTTGGAGGGGTAAGTGTATTTCGTCGACCGGAAAGTGTAGAGTACGGGTAGTATCGAGAGGCTTATGCAGCGATGAAAGAATGATTTTATGCACAACAGTGGCCGTCAAGATAGTCAGTGCTCGTGTAAACCGGTTGATAGCTTTTCAAACATGATCCAACAATGCCAAACACCGTCCAACAAGGTGATTAAACTGACAACACATACTGCAGCCAAAGACATAATTGCATAAAGTTGGACTAACAAGATTGATATGTTTAAACTGGCCCTTAGTATAGAAGACTTATCTTGGCTATGTAGCTGGCGGTTTTGGTGGGGCGCGGTGAGACCTATGTTCACAGTGTACCGGACAGCTTTTGCGCCGGTACGAAAACCATCCCGGATAGGGCTTCTGTTCACACATAAGAATGATGATTTCAGTGCGATTTCTGTAACGAAACGAAGCTGCGCAGCGCCGACCTTTAAAGTGGTGCGTCACATATCGGATAAGTTCTGTGTCATCATTAGTGTGAAAAGCTATTCGGACCGTAGCGGAAGTGAATAGATAGGAGCGAGGACTGGTATCCACTGAAACGGAAGTTAAATATTCTGGAGTGAGGACTGGGATTTACTTCACCAGACCCTCTCGGCCAACTGCGGTTCCAGCACGATGTTCGATGTGCGTGAACGGCTTGTTCTAGTTCTCCGCCGTTGCTGTTACGAAAACTATCCGATATAGCTTAAGAAAACACGATGACGACGGCAACGGGGATATCAGAAAATCTACCAGTTTGATAAACAAAATTATCAAACTTTTTTGTACATTTCTTTACCGTCACTGCACAAATGCAACGGGAGACTTTTTTTCTCTCTTTTCAACTTTGATGAGCTCTCTAAAAATTCAACTCTTCTGATATCTCGGTTTCGTTTAACCAATTTAGCCAGTTGAGATAACCGCCATATATTTTAAAAGAACGATAATGCACTGACGTTTTCGTTACCGTCGCCGTTCTAGTTGCTTACACCCCCTACTACTTTAGATTTCAGGCCTCACCCTGAACGAATTTCATTTCAGTGTCAGCAGGATAAGCCACGAAGTCAAAATTTTTTCGGTAATGTTTATCAGTAGATATATATCGCAAAAAAAAAAAACCACAGCAGCGTAGAACATGAGAAGCAAAGTGCTATCAGTACAATTTAAATCCTTGTTTTGTTTAGTGCCGATTGAGATTTACAAAAATGCAAGTTTGAAGTTATCTACTTTGATGTCATATGCAAGAATTTACCTTTGTCACTTTGCTGCTGTTTGCAAGATACTCTTCCCGGATAAGACTCAACTCTGGGACATTGAGCTGCAAGAAAAATAGGGAAAAATTATTGACAAGGTCAAAACACAGTTGAAAGGAAATCCAGCCTTCCTTTTGGGAAACCAAAGAAGATATAGTAAAACTGCGAAAGTAGATGCTGGGTCAAAGGTCTTTTTGAGTGGCTTATGTACCCCCTGGCCGAAAAAACTCGGTTTGTAACTTCAGTAAGGCCGTCGAATTGGGTTCACGGTGAGACGTATTTGTGACAGGGCTTACCTTAACAATATGCTTTGTGGATTGTCTAGGATCTGTTAACACATCGATAGTAAAGAGAGGCGAAGAATGCAAAAATGTTTTTTGAATCGTGACAAGGGCAGCCTTCCAATTCCACTTTGTTCCATTCCATGTGTCATTGTCCAAAGCCCACGATCCAAGGCTTGTTATAAGCTCTTGCATTTGCTTTTTGGTTGATCTCTCAACTTCTTCTTCATTCATACAGGAACGATAGAATCGCTTGGCTTTCATTATTGGATCACTGTAATTACCAGTGGCGTCCTCGAGTAAATTTCGAAGCTTTACGTTGTTAGCTTGAATCTTTTTGATGAAGGTGATGAACTCGTTTTCTGATGGTGGAATCGGATTGTCCCTTATCCAGCCGTCGCATGCAAAATGAAAAAAGTCCTCGCACGGATCTACTGACTCATTCATGTTTCGCGCAAACCTCGCAGCTATTTCCAAGCATGCTGCGGTGTTACAGACTGTTGGCTCCAATGCTCGAGAGGTAGGTTCTGGCACTGAAGTTGGTCGGCCATTTGTAGAATGCGTTGGCGACTTTGTCTTACCTTCACTATGCTTAGCGAGTTCCATGGCAAACAAAATAGCTAACACGACACAAATCAAGAGAAGTATTCCACACAAGACAAGCAAACAAATTTCTAATCTTTTCCGACCTTTGCGAAAAGTGATCTTCCCTTGAGTTGAGTAAACTCCAAGACTTTGTGTACTTTGTGCGTTGCATAGCTCTATTCCAGCACAATTCCGGTTTTTGTGTGTCCCCATCTGTACCTCTTTCGGTAACTCCCTCAGATAATTGCTGTTAAGAGCCAAACAAATAGTTTTCACATTAGATTCCATCTTGATTGAGAAGAACTAAAACATTTTTCAAGAAGAAACTTTCCACAAGACTCAAGGAGATCTTTGCTGACTTTGTTATATTGATTTAGTAAAGGAAACCGTAAAACAAATAAAATTAAAAATTAAAAAAATAACTGTTGAGGTTAAGTTGACATCATCGATAAAAGATTGCATTTAAAGAAGATTAACGTACATTGTTAGACAGAGAGGCTAGTGTCTTAGTCAACCAGCTTTGTGTCTGCGTTATCAGCGCGTCACGGACGATAAAAGGAAATTAACTTTAAGCCAAATGGTAGAAATTATTTTGCCGGTGACTTAGGGATTAGCAGGTCTAATATGCATTTAGCTGCAAAATTCTGTAACGGCTATATGATGTTTAGCAACGCGTGTCATCTTCGAAAGGATTTGTTCAAGAATGAGATTGTGCTGATATTCGTCAATATTTGTACACCATCAGAAAACGCTTATTGTTCAGTTAACAAATCCGCAGAAGATATTTCCCTATCCTTCTTCTCCAAAATAACCAAAAAGCGGAAATAATACAGTATTGCCTTTTCACTCAAAACAGTATCACCTTCGCAAAAGTGGTTTTGGAAAACAATGTTTTTAGAAGGGGGGATATTAAAAACATGACCAAATGCTTTTTGAAGTGAACTCAATTTACCACTGAGTTCACGCCCGACTAAAGGTGATACGGTGTTTTAAGAAAACTTTCTCTGTAAGTGCATGATATAATCATTTTTCTCTCAAAGGAGGTGTGTCTTGAATGTTGTCCAAATAAGTCAGACAGAGAGAAAGGCTTGGAGATCTAATTGAGTGAATGATAAAAATAATCGCCTTGAAACATTGACGGAAGGTCAAAGACTAACATAGCAAAAGCAAGAGAAAGCACGGATGACGAGAGGAACAAAATTTGATAGATTTCAACGGAAGTTTTGAACACTATTCAGCCTAACAGGTTTTCAAAGTTCAACTCTGTTGTTTGTATCTTCATGATCAGTATGATACTTGGTACCTTAGGACACATTTTTTCATAAACAAAACAAAACAAAACAAATTTATCATTAAAAGTGATTTCCTTAAGTTTCATAGCAAGTAGGGGCTAGCAATTGGCACGTTTCATCAGAAAATCTTAACCTTCGGCTTCGTTCGAAACTTTTTTTGCTCCTGTGATTGTTGTATTATTTTTGAGGTTTCTAATCCAAGGTCAGACAACACCTCTGAGATTTTAAGCTTTCGTCAAGGTTGAGCTAATCAAAGAAAATTCATTTCAATAATTCCTGGAAGATTCCTGAAAAGACGAAACCCATTTGATGTTTCTCATCGAAGGCATTTTAGACTTGAACTTTCGCCACACTTGAATTGGAAACCAGATCATTAAATTCAATTTTGGACATAAGAAACAGTAGGTATTTGAACGAAGATTTAGAAACTTAATCTCAGTATCGGAAAATACAGTGATCTACGCGCTTAAATTGTTTCTAGACGGTAGATTGAATTGGTTTGGTAAATTTAGCGAGCTAATCTTAATTCTTTAAAGAAACGAGGACATTTAGTTAAAAGGACATACAGAAACACACAAATGTTGTAAGGGAGACTCAGTGTTGCGGAAATTCTTATAAGCAAGCAGATTTTCTTTTGCCTAAGAAACATTGCCAACAACAAAAGGATGTATTATAATCTTTAAAGCTTCAACTACACTTGACTGCTAGCGGTCTCCCAGGATTGTCTCTTTTGAGAATACGCGTAAAATCGTGCAGTCATATCCCGGACTCGTAGTCGTTCTCGTCATCTAAAGGTCTCTGTTGGAAGGGGAAGAAAAACTTAAAGAACGCGCTCCCCATGGGTGCCCCCATTATGTACTAGGTACTTGCGCGCTTAATCATTACCCTTTCCCCCTCAAGCACCTGCCACACCGGTTATAGCCTGCAGAACAGGCGCTATTTTTTCCAGTTTTTCTGTCAAGCGAAGGCAAGCGAGAAGTGAGCGAGGAGCTGCGCCTTCCCCTGTTGCGCGTGCCTAGCGGTCCTCGCTCGCATCGCGCTTTAGGACTTCGCTTGCCTTTTGCTTGTTTTACACCCCGCCTGACCCAGAGTTAAGTATTTAACTGCTCCTGACGAAGCCCCGAGGGGTGTTCCTGAGAATTCTCGGTGGGGGTGTGCCGCCCGCTTCTCAAAATCCTGCCCCAAAAAGTGTCATTTTCCACTCCCGTTTTCAGACCACACCTCTAAAATCCATACCCGTTTTCAGACCTGGCCTTTAGGAAGAAATTATGTCATCATTACTTAGATTAGAGCCAGGCTGGATTAGAGCGCAAACAAAAGAATTCTTCAAATGTATTTCGAGTTCGCATATTTCTATTTCGCTCTATTCATTTGGAATTGAAACGATAACTTTCATACACTCCCGTGGTTCCCTCGAAAGCCATACCCGTTTTCAGACCAAAACGGCGCAAAAACCCTACCCGATGGGGCAGCACATACCTATATGGCTTATATAAGGGGGTATCCCCCCCGGGGCCGCAGCATAGCAAGAGGTTTTAGGAAACCCTCATGTTATCGTGAGTTTTACTTTAAATTAAGCAGAGAATTGCAGTTGTAAAACTTAGTAAAGGAAAATCGACTACCGATACACCCTTTATCAACTTTATCGGATGCAGCATGGTTTGCGTTGTAACAGACGGTCGTCGAATAGTAGCTACTGTAGCCTGTGGGCAAGCTCTCCTCATCAATAGCTATTAGTCGCTTTGAAACGATAAACACAGGCAAATTGAGCACGTGCGGTGAAGGTGCTTACGACAAAATTGTAGTGTTGAAAAAATATATATATATCAGAGAAAGACAAATTTGTATGATAAATGAATGTGAGCCGTGAGAAAAACAAACGAAGTACGGACAAAGCCATTTCTTCTCAAATCTTTATAGAGTCTATATAATTAAACACAATAACTCTGCTTACTTTAACTTTCCTTATTGGGTCTCTTAGTTTGATATCTTACCTCAGCTCTAAGAGTTTCGCTTATAATCTTGCATCCGGCTATATTCGCTATATGAACAGGCTTTCTGGCTGTGGGTCTCGCTTGTCCATGTGGCTCATCGGCCGGTTTGTATACAGAGTAAGTTAAAATTTTGTTCTTTGTCTTTCAACGCCAAATAAAGAGGGATCTTATAAAGAAACTGTATTTATTGACTACATGATCTGAGGTTTTGTTCGGAATCATTTGTATGGTGTTATTTTATTCTGATAAGGAAAAGTCTAATTCAATTGTTAGCCACAAATCTGCCGCAAAATTTTATCATCAAGGACCTGCTACAAGTGAATTTTTCCCCGTTCCTCGAACCCTATCCTGCGTATTGCATTGACTTCTCATTTCTCGGTAGGTGGTAGTTCTCGCCAAGAATACACCATTTTCCCGCTGTGACCACAGGGACACCAAATATGGGTTGGGGTGTGGTTTATATCAGTCACTTTATAATGCATCAGTCAATTCCAGCTGCGCCCAGCACACCCTCCCCCCCGGGCTCACCCCCGGACATTAGCATTTTTTTTCGCCTTGGATGGCAAATTCCGGGGGTGGGGACTCTCAAGCTGTCAAATCCTCCGGGGTGGGGACGAAAAAAGAGGGCAAATGCCCTTTCCTCCGTCAACACTCCAACATGTTTCATTGATCGCACAGTCGAGTCGTGCCATTTTAAGCATTTTAATGTGCGATTTTTTGTTTCAATCAAAGCTAATTAACTATTCTAATTAAGACTTCACGCCGTCAGCTGACGCCGTGACGACACCAGTTTATGGTTTCAGTATGAAAGGATGTTCTTCAAATAATATCAAGGGAAACTTGATTCAATAACCAAAGAAACGTTGATTCACGTCGATAGCTCCCGAGTTTCGCTCATGTGTAATTCTGGCTTGATAAGCAATGAAGAAATGTATGCATAAAATCGAGAACATGCCTTTACAATCCTCTTCAATTTTTTCCCGTCCTTGACAAATGAGCCAATCGTCTTGTTTTTCCAGTAAAATCCGCCTGCGTGTCAAAACCTTGGGGTTGGCAAATGCCCGTCCCCCGGGCAGCACAAAATTTGCAAATGCCCCACCCCCGGGACTGACAAGGCGGGCCAATGCCCGCAGTAGCCCTGGGGAAGGGGGAAGTGGGCGCAGCTGGAATTGACTGATGGATAAGATCTCGCAGTGTGTCTCGTCAATTAAAATTCAATGTGAGTGCATTCCCTTATAAAATATTCTTTTACGGTATAGTAAAACCCCCGACCGGTTTCTCAAACCTCTCGAAACAAAATTGACTTCCTGTCTTCAGTCTGCTCATGCTTCAGTAACACACTGTAATTTTACCCACGAGTTTTCGAACCTCCCGATGATTCCAACCGATTTCCTTCTCGCCACGAGACACGAAAAACTTGGATCCCACTGTATGTAATATTTGATTTTTCAAATTTTGTGAAGAAAAATGTTAATGCAAGAGATTTCACCCGAAAAAAATGTGCCCGAAAAAAACTCATGCAGACTGTCCCCACCCCCCTCTCACCAAACTAATCAATTTTCCGATGACTTCTTCCTTAAACTGAAACTTTATGACCAGGAAGGGAAGTTACGTTTATCTGCTTCCTGCAGCTTTTCGGTAGGGTGATTTTGCGCATAAAGTGCTAAAAAAAGCGAGAAAAGAGTGGGCGGTAGACTGCCAGAATATTTGCGTGTCAGCACAAAAATAGACACAATGAACTGAATGAAAGATTCCTGCTTGGGATTGAGAAGGATATGCACTTACAAATTCAAACAAGAGAAATTAAAATAAGCATAATCTTGTCGCATACACTATTTTCTATCACCTTTTGCATATAAACATGGCAAATTTGAAGATTATATGATTTATTACCTGCGTTGTATATGCTCCATTGTAGCTCATTCTCTTAGTGTATATATGGGAACGAGTCTTACTGCACTAGAACGTATATACTGACTTAATTGAAGACGGTGGAAATAGGTGATCTCATTGAGCTAAAAGAAAATACTGAAACAGAATGAACGCCTCTTTTGAAATAGCAAGTATGAATTTTTTTTATAGTGCTTTCATGAAAATTTGTTTGGTAGAGAAAATGAAATCAAGAGTTTAGAAATAAGTAAATTTCGTGGTTTTTCTGAACGTCAGTCAGACTAAAGCAGCAAAAAAGGCAATTTATGAGGGTATCTTTTTTTCATTAGCATTCAACGTGTTTCCGCTTAAACTTTTCACACTTTTCTCATATTTTAGACCTGAATTTAATTAGCAGAGGGTGATATCTAAGAGTGATTTTCGAGTGTTCTGTTCAAAAGATCTTGGCAATTGTCTTATTTCTTAAAATGACGCCCCCTATTAACTGAGACATAAGCATTTGCACTCAATGGAGATTTTTTAAAAAAGACTTCGCAAAGTTGCACGCAATGGTGATGCAAAAACTATAAAAATCTCTCCCTGATGAAAAATTTGCAGCCTAAAGGGCGCTTATTCTTTAAAATGAATGGTAGCTGGAGAAAATTGGTTACGGTCCATACGCAGCATTCTTTAACCTGGAAGGTACGTATGCATGCTTACTGCACGGAATACGAGAAAAGCTCAGGAAGTTTCTTTTTCGATAAAAGGTAAACACACGGGGATGCCCAATACCTCTTCCAGTATTTTTGTATCATGGAGCCACCAATTTCACTTTTTCTTTTAAAAATAGATTAACATTGTCAGGTTTTTGGCGAGTCGAGATCGTTTGAAATATACTAGAACATGTTTTCGAATGCCGTGTTTTTTTTCCTAGGTAACAATGTAGGTTGTAATAAAATCATGTTATGAAATTTTGTGAACGGAAACTCCAAAAGTAGGTTAAAATTGCCCCACGCTTTTAATTCGTAAGCATTAAGTTAAACTTTTCCCACGCATTGCCTTACCTTGATCCGTTAATGCGTTTTGGAAGTCTTCATCTTGTATGTGTAGTCTCAACCGCTCCCCAAGGTTGCGTATTATAATTTGCGGCTATTAAGAATTTTCTGTTAAAAAGAACTTAAGTACAACAATAAACATTTCCTTTTCTGTTTGAATAAAAGGTGTTCCATGCCCGCGCAATTAGGAAATTAAACATTTGTTTTTTCCCCTTCTTTAGGTCAACATCACTAATACAAAAGCTGTGCGAGTTTTCTTGCTATTCAAGACCGGAATTAAGATCAACACGAAACAGGAGCTCATCATGGATGCACACAGTGATGTGTTAAAATTGTTTTCCGCAAAATTGTTACACAACCACCTAACTAATGAATCACCTTGACCGATAAAACTGCGGCAGTCCGAGCAAAATCCAGCAAATACGGTAGCGATTGAATACAACAATGGGATCTCTTTTCGGAAGTGAAGTTGAAGAAACTGAAGCTCGACAAAATGGCCGTTTTCGATGTTTTGCATAAAAATGTAAAAGAAAGACAATACGTCGCAAACAAACTTGGACGAAACAGTTTGGAAATGGATTATTTTGCACCCAACTTTTAGTAGTCAGTTCTTATCCGAACAAGTTTTCAAATACCAGTGGACCGTTGGATAAAAAAGTTTCATTGCACATAACGCCAACGTCTGGCGTTTGCAACTGCACCCGGGCGGATTGAAGAATTTCAGGAAAAGAGGGCCGAATCAGTAGCGTAGAGCGCGCAGCCAATCACAAACTACATTGTGAATCATGTTCATTTGGTGGGAGTAAATATGTAAGAAACGGGGTATTATTGGCAGTAGGACATAAATAACACCTGCAGAATGAAATTGGTAAAGACCTTCACGTCTGGGCTTTGAAAAGAAGGAATATAGGAGAGGAAAAATTTTGGGCGATTTACTACTATTATTATTATTATTATTCTTTATTACCACGGCATGTACATTATAATCCAATATCATTCTTCAACTTCCATCAGCTACGCCTGCTGGAGAGCAGGTGTTCTTTAAAAACAAATCCTCTTTTAAAGTTGAGGGGAGGGGTGGGTAGGAGAATTAAAAACCAATTGAAATGCTGTTCTATGGCTGTTTTTTAGACCAGCAATAAACTTTGTCAAACTTCCTTTACTTTTCTCCCAAGTCTGGGGCCTGGGTAACCTGTCATCTCATAATAAGAATACTTCATGCCATCCAAAGGTTACAAAATTCTTTTATATGTAGAATATTCTTGGCTTTTGTCACTATAGTCACAATCAACAGTCAGATATGCATTTATCCTCTAAAACTGCCCTTATCTTAAATAAAATTTACAATGATGGATGCAAATTAGTTGTAGTTCCTATGACTTTATTCCCCTGAATTCTAAATTCTAATTCCTCTGAATTCTAAACTGCTGCTGTAACTTACACTTAACAGTAAAACTAGCTGCTAACTTGTACATTTACCTCTGCTCTGACCAGCACATTGTTGCCCAAAATGTTGTTTGAGCTGTCTATCTTCATCACCATGAGCACCCTACTTTGTGTGGAGTTCTGGTGTCACAAACTTTTGGTAAGTAGTACACGCGACTAGTCAATTGGTGCATAAATAAAAAATGGATCATCAAAATACTTCACTCCTTGATTTCAGCACCACTGCATTTTTCAGAGAGTTCTTTTTTACCAGCTTTTCTTCGTTTGGCATTAACAGCTTCCAGCTTGGACTCAAAACTGTCATGCAATGCTCTCTTCATCAGTGGCCTGTGCGTTTTCACAGCTACCTGCAGGGGAACCAATGGAATCAGTTGATAATAATGTGGAGGCTTAATATCACACCACTTAACTAGATGCTTGTCATTCTCATCGCTTCCATTCAACTGTGCACTGTCTTCACCACTAATTTCTGTGAGGATGGGCGCTTCCTCTAACTTGTCAATCAAGTTTGTAAGTACTGCAGCTTTAATAGCATGAGCTGACCACTGCGCTTGAAAATCCTTTAACAGAGCATTCAAAACACCAGGTTCATGTTTCCATGACAACTCTTCAAAAGCACAATCATATAGCACCAGCGGAATTTCTGATGCCATGTTGTACTGTGGTCGCTGAGGACACTGTTCAATATCAAGCATCCAGTCAATAACTTCAGGATTTTCTAGCTTCTGACCAATCATGAGCAGCACAGCAACCACGCAGCGTACCTGATGCCATAAAAATGCAGATCCACAAATGATCATCTCACACATGTCATACCCACTGCAGCTTTGTGAATCACTATTACTTCTGTACACTGTGAATGACAGTAAATTTCTTCTGAAAGTCACCACTCCACTTGCAACATCCATTTTACAGAAATTTCTGAAGTCATGTTCCCCAACAAACTTCTGTGCTGCTTGATTCATAACACTTATATCAACATTTGCTGCTGGGAAGTAGTATTTGTATGTCCGCTGTAAACAGCTAAATCGTGCATCAAAGTCTTGACTCACTGGAGTCCAGGCAATAATTCTGATTTCTGGTGGAAGCAGTTTGTTAAGAACATGAGGATAAGGGATTTCTTCAGTTACTTTGGATTTCTCTGTCAATAGAACAAAAATCAATGATCACCATACTTAAATCTAATGATGCAAATAGATGAGAAGCCTGATAGGAGTGACCCTGATCTGTACGGTCTGTGATGTCATTACATGAATAACCTTGTCAACTTTGACACAAATGACAATGTGATTGTCATTTTAATCCCTGAGTTCATTGTTTCATTAAAAGTGACTGCTACGACTTTGATTTTATTGGAAATACCCATACATAGTCTAAGACCTAAGACACTTCACCTGGATGGTTGAAATCAAAGCGATCTTTAGTACAAGGGGAGTACGGTAGTCAAAATCCCAACAGTTGATGGATCACTGTGTTCATTCTGAACGTTTAAACTCACAAAGCTAACTCCAAAACTGGAGGGTGGGGTTGGGGTGGGGGGTAAACTTGCATTGGGTTACTGGGTTGAAGTGGTAAGTTTTCTTACCAGTTCTTTGTTGAACTTTTTCTTGGTTTCCACTCATAATGACTCCAAGACCTTCCATGAGATTTGACCGGACATCAAGGGACACGACTTGTGCAAAAGCACTTACTCCCTTATCTGTCCTTCCACATCTCGAGTAATTACAATCATCTCTACTTTCTATCAGACAAGCTTTGGACAGAGCTGCAAAGAAGTGACTTTCAATAGTGTTTTCTGTGCTCTCTTGACTAGCAAAGCCGTGATAGTCCCACCCCAGATAGGCCATCTTTAGAGCTACATGTCGTTTGTGATAGCGACTAAAATCAAACGGTTTCTGCCCGCTAGAAACTCCTCTTGCAGCCTTTTTCATTTTAGGATTAGTATCAAGTCCCTTGCAAGAGGGTGAATGACACTCAGAAGAGTTCAAAGTCAGATCTTCTTCCATTTTGCTGACTGCGTAGGCTCCAAGCTTCACCATTAGCTCTTTCTTATCTCTATTAAGTGTTATGATCCTTTTGATCAGATCATCTTTGGAAAGTGATTGTAACTCTGACAATTCGAATTCGTTTAGGTCTCCAACATTTTCGACTGTTTCCATGTTGTCGGATTTCGTACAAGGGCCACAAAGTGGTAGTAAATAATTGCTGTACAGCAAAAGAAGGCAAAAAATTAGCGACAACAAATCAACTCAACTAACACATGTGCGTTCCGCCAAGCAATAGAAAAAGTATAACATACATGACGATATTGTTTCTAAATACTGCTAACCGCTGAGCAGTATGTGAGACTGCGTGACATAACAAAGCAACATGGCGGCCCACAGTGTGGCTCTGTTGCGCTCTTCAAAACGACTTTGTGGGCTCAGTTTTTCAAGAACCTCCCGGCAGTTATTACCACTGATCTTTAGAAAGGTAAGTTTGAAGATAGATGTCGTTTTAACATCTTTCCCGAGGTGGTTTGCGATGTTGATGCTTCTTCATGCATGTCATCGGGCATATATCAGCTAAAATAAATCCCCGCATATCTTATAAATGTTCTACAGGTACGTGAGTTTCTGTTCAGAACAAACGGTCAATTATTTTTATTTTTCGTAGAGCATTTCCTTTTCTAAAACCACACATAGCCGTGGTCACATTACGCAGTATGGTGCCTGCAAAATTAAGCCTAAGAAAGAAAGCACTGAAATTTCAAAGTTTACTGATTAGTCAAGCTTGCTTTTATAGCAGTGAAACTCTAAAAATGCAGGGGTTCCTTTCTTTTTCTTTTTTTTTCGTGTGTGCGTGCTAATAGGGAGTCATGGTCCCAGGCATTCCTAGTGGAGATCATGGAAACTGGGGATAAGCATCGCAATGTGACTGATAGCCTGCTGCATTGCAGGCTACGTGACTGACAGCATATAAGAGTTTTTCAGACAGAGATAAATTTTTGTGGAAGAAAGCTTCGGAAAGATTAATGCTAAAGATGTCGAACTTTTCCAGAATGGGTCAGTCCACGAGTTCTATCACTCGAAAGCACTGATTACTTTGGAAGAAGTAAATACTTTGGTCATCGAAATAAAGAAGGATCTCTATGAGCAAAACTTCAATGGGGAGGCAAACCGGTCTGGTGTTACTAACTTTTGTAGTATGCAAATGAGTCTTGTGATGAGCATGAGGTTTATTTTCCGCGATGATTGAAGTGACGTGCCATGTTCATCACATTTCTGCTCTTTTTCTCTCGAATCGAGGCCCTTGCATTGATTTTCGTGTATTACATGCTTACTCAATCAATTCAGAAACAAGTTGTTGAATACAATGTGAAAAGTAAATATCCTGAAGAAGACTCAACCATCGATAGAGTCGGATGTGAAAAACTTTTAGTGAGGAAATCCTGTTTCATGTAGAATTGATTGATTCCTCTTTTGTTATCAGTCTAATCTCAGTGCTCGAAATTAACTTTTGGGTTGGTATTCCGCAGGACTAGTAGGATTAAAATTTACTGGTCCATCAGCAAAACTACTGATCACTCGTTTCATTTCCAATTTTTTTCGTTCCGATCCACTCAGTTTGACATATTTTGGCTCACATTTTAATTCACCGAAGGAAAATGGATATGGACCTTTGAAACGAAATTACAAAAGCCGTCATCTTATATCCCACAGTGGATTTTGTTTCAAGTACATGTAGAACCCAGACTTTTATTCAGAAAGAGAATGCATACCACTTTTTTGCCTGTTCGTTTTTGAAACGTTTGCCTTTGGCAATTCTTCGTTTGTTTCAAGGCTTTTACCACTTTTTGGTACGATACAAAAAACTAGTGGGAAAGAAAACTACTCTTTTTCAGATTTTTTTACTTGTTTTGGATGAGTGGACGACCGTTAAGTTCAAGCACTGAATCTCCAAGCAAGCTTGACTGATCAATGCTTATAGCGTTCTTGTTAACTTTCACTCTACTTCTGACCTTTTTTGTAACTTGAGAGCTCCACAAACAATCATGAACACGTACATGTAGGGAAGGCATTTGAACTATTAAAATAATCGTAACTCAAACATCTTTTTACAGTTAACAAGGCCTTCAACTGTCTCACCAGAAATGCATATTACATAATTATATTTATTGCTGGAATAAAATTTCCTTTAACTTGGTCTTTCAAGGTGTTAATTTTGCACCCTGCTCTTACTGGTACGCTGTTAAGGTCTAAAATTTTCTTTTCATCAGAACAAGGGTTCAAAGCATGAAATTCTCAAACTAGAACTGCTGCCTTGAAAGATGCATGTTGTTCAGTTGGATTGACAGTGTACTGTACATGTAGTTGCAGTACTGCTCTTGTTCTCTAATTTTATCCTGTAATAATCATTAACACTGGAAGGTGTTGACTACTCAGTAGTTAATGATTAGTACAGGATTTAATTAGAGAACAACTGGTAGGGCACTTGTTGAGATGGAAGTACTTTTTATAGTTAGTAGAAGAATGGAAAGAAATATTCTTGTTGGGGAACCTGGAAACTGGAAAAAAGTAATCCCTCGGCCTGCATAGCTAGCAGAATTATTATAATGATCGTGGAGTGCTTTTTTACCAGTGGAGCAGCCACATGTATGCATAGAACATGGTAAAACCAGAAGGTCAAGTTAGTTTCACTTATCCCTGTCTCGCTAGTCTCCCCTGCTAGGAAACCAAAAGCACTTGTCAATAATGCACGAATTTACACTACATGTACCATAAATCCCACCAGTTACTAAAAGTGTATATGTACATACAAGAATTGCACTGTACATGTAGCATAACCATGGTTATTCACACTGGTTAGAAAGACTCTACTACTTAAACATTTTCTTGCCTTATGTTTTTGAGGAAATTCAAGGACAGTACCATAAATTTTTTTTTATCTAAAATTTTCCAGAATTCCTTTTACCAAGTTCATGATGTTCCACCACATGCCAAGTATGGTGGGCGGAATACTGTGACATTGATTCCAGGTGATGGCGTTGGTCCAGAAATGGTCACAGCAGTGCAGGACATATTTAGGTACAAATAATTGTGTTATTGTATGTAGTGTAGTACATGTAATCGCCAGAGGTTAGTTTATGTACATTGTACATAAATCAACACAATTCCTGTACAAAACTGCAAATGTTTGACTACCCGCTGATCGCTTTTGCTGACAAGCATGTGTTGTTTCTTCAGTAATCCTAATTTGCTACCCCTTTATACTCACTGCATTGAGATTTAAGCTGAGATGCCAACCTCTATATTGGCCTGTTTGTGCCCATCATTCTCTCTCCCATAGGTGCCAATAAGAGCCATGAGTCACGAATAGTCCCAAATTTCTTTTTTCTAAAATTAGCATTGAAAAGTATATAATACCATGCACAAGTATTGTCGTAGATGTTTCATTTGAGTGGCCACACCATCAAATTTGGCCCACAAACTCAAAAGTTAGAACTATGTTACACATGTTTCTATGATAATTAGACAGTGAATTAGACACCATCTGAGTTTGAGGGATAAGTGTCAATTATGCAATAAAAAAATGACCAGAAACAAAAGAATAAATTATTAATACTAAGAGTAGGTACAGTGAACGTACATGTAAACTAAATTATGGTTAAACTGGGTGTTTTCTGGATGTTGAAAAACTATTGTTTTTAGCTGTTATGTGGTGGTGTGGGTGACTCTATATCATTTGGTGTTTGAACTACAGTGTATTATTTTACAACTCCAAGAAACTTGTCAGTAAAATCATGAATGTTGTTGCCTTTATGGTTAGGTACATTGGAGCGCCAGTTGACTTTGAAGAGCTTAAATTAAGGTACAGATGCAGTACATTGTTTAATAGGATTTGTTCGCTCATATAACATACGGCTGAAGCTTAACCACTTGTTGCATGCATAGACCTATGTAATTTTGGTAGGTACATGTAGGATAAGTCTACATGTGAACCAAGTGGCTTTGTAGGAACATCTGCATGCTAATGTAAGAAATTCACTCTCATTTACCTCTGGCCTTATGTGGGAGGTGTTAGTGTAGCGTGACGCCTGAGCCTGAGTTGGGTTGGACATGACTGTGTAGTATTGCAGACTTGTGTTGCTCGTGTTCTTGTTAGTAAATTGAATCAAGTGCTAGTTACCTGTATGTTGTTCATGTTCACCTTCCCCTAAATAATGTAGGACATAACCATTACTACAATGTACATGTACATGTATTTTTCTCCTCAGAGGGGAAAGGAAATTTAGTGGGGGAGGCCAAAGCCAAATTAAATGTTTTATAGAGGAGGATGAAGCTAAACTGGATTTCCCAAGAAATGGGGAGAGGGGCTTTATACATGTACATGTAAGAAACTCACTTTAATTTGGGGGAGATACGTCTAGATGTGTTGAAAATTTCTATGGAATTGACACAACAAGCGAAAACCTGGAATCATACGTATTGTTCTCTCCAGTTTGTGTAATGTACTGTACATTTGAAATGTAGGTTTAAATGCTTTCAAACTAGTTTGATTCTCAGGTTTCTTTGTTTCCAAACTGTAATTTTTATTCATGATCTCAGTGAATAATTTTTATTGGGGCTAGGAGACAAAGAAAATTGAGAATCAAACCAGGTTGTATGTTAAAACCATTTAACCTGAATTTCATTTTGACCAAAAACAGTACTCAGTCAAAAAGTTAACCATCTCATTAATAATACAACTTAATATAATATTAGATGTAAAAATTAATATGCATTGCCATGTTTGTCTCTATTTTATTAGTGGTAAAGATCTGGAAGATGAGGACACATTTTGTGACAAACTGGAAGATGTAGTGACATCAGTAAAGAGAAATGGAGTGGCAATCAAGGGTAAAGTACACTTGAAATTATTATTTGTATTTATAGAGCAGGACATGCATTACCAAAAGTCCACAGAAACAGCTGCAGGAAGGAAAATTAAACTTTGAAAAGACATGACACAACATGTGAGTTTTAGAGAGATTTTTTGGAATTGTTAACGGAATGTTAACAAAATGGTGGGAATAGTTGTATATCAAGTGGGATGACACAGAGTGCACTTTTTATAGTGAGATAAAAGTAACTAGTCATAATAATTAATATATTGTTGTTAATACAACACACATATATTACTTAAAGTGCCTATCACCTAAAATTTTTTTTTTTCTTATCTGAAACTACACCTACACCAAAGACAATTTTTTTAGAATTTTTTAAAAACGTGCAAATTTGCCGCCATTTTGGCACACCATTCGTCTTAGTCTTATTTCGGGGTATGACGTACTTTAAGGAACACGTGACTTTATCGACAGGAAAACATTAAAAGTTCTGGTAGGTTTTTCTGTTTCAGAAAAATTTTCTTCTTACGAAGACATTGTGATTCAATCCTTACTTGTAATTGATCTTTTTTGTGTACAGCTGGTGAAGGAAAGGTAATGCAAGTTCCTTAATTTACGTCACATGACATCATATATGAGTCTGCTAGTTTGTGTGACCAGCGGCGCGGGTGTACCGCAAAAATGTGGACTTCAAAAATTGGTTAAAAAATCGCGTTTTGTTGAAATGGCAAAATTTTTTCGCAGAAGTTATTTTAATAAGGTATAGTTTCAGATAAGAAAATATAAAATTTTAGGTGATGGGCACTTTAATACTTGCTGTGAATAGAACACAAATTGAGAATGAAAATGACATCAGAAGAAAGTAGAAGAAAAAAAACAATTAAAAAAAGTGACATCAAAAATTAAAGTAAAAGTGTTAAGTTAACATGTTTGAGCTTTTTATTCAGGGTGGGTCATTCTCATTTAATTGAAATGGCTTCTTTGATCTTAAGTTGGAAAAGAGTGGGAGTATAATCAAGGATGGAAAAACAAGCCCCAGAAGACAGATTCTTCCATGAAACTCTGGAAGTGTTATAAATATGGGAATTACATGTACGAGCCTAAAATAAAATGCTTGTGAAGCCTTGAGCTACTGTCATTCTATTATACAATGTTGCAAAGTTTCATGTTTAGAGAGCTGTTACTTGGAGAGTACAGATGTTGTTTTGAACTCAAACTGCTCCCTACTTCATCTATATTTTCATTATTTTATTACTCAATAATTGCGAGTTTCTATCTTAAACTGTTGCTTCTTTCTGCAAGTTTTGACGTCAACTTATCCATAAATTATTGAAGCACCTGATGTTGTCTCATTCATCCTTAAAATGGGTCTTATTTCGTACTTAAATTGTTACTGACCTATTACTATTTTCTTTCTAGGAAACATTTTTACTCCATTAGATAAGCCAACTTTCAAGTCTCTAAATGTGGAATTACGGTTTGTATTACAAAAGAGAAAATAACTTTTGTGTCAGTTAAATATTATTACAGACCGTAGATGTCTTTAAATGAAAATTTAAATTAAAACCTTGTTACTTACCACTCATTAACCGAGAGTGAGGTCATTACAGGAAATTTCAAACCTCGTCCTTGTTGGAACTGAACTGTAATGACTGAACAGATGAGGTTAATAATGTGACCTTTTTAACGCCATTCTTAAAAATTAATGAATACAATAAAAACACCCAAAGTAATATTTTTAACATCTGCATACAAGAGGTCATTCGAGGTTGTGTTAACTGAATGGAAACAAACCTGGCGATGCAATCGAAAACCACAAAACACAGTTTTTTGACAATGAGAAAATTTGGACCTGAGCCTGTGCCTGTACCCTTTTGACAGCTGTCAATTGACCACAACATGGATGTCCACTATCAAGTGAAACACAGATTGTATATGCCTTGGACAACTAGCTAGTAATGCGCGGTCATTACAAGGAAATCTTGCCCGCTTAGCAGCCAATCAGAGTGCGCATACTATTATGTCCATATAATAATTGTAAATAGCGCATGTGACAAGGATGACATTCAGAAGGCTGGAAAGTCATGTATAATAATTTATTCTGTGGCTTCCCTGGAGTTGTATCCGTTAATGTACAGTAGAGGATAAACTTAACTAAGATGTCTGTAGAAATTATGTGAGCAAAATAATTACAGTCAAAAACATTTTATTGGTAGTCTTCTCCTGTTGTCTTCAATTTCATCTTTCAGTCCTGTCACAGATTCCTGTAATTATTGACAATAATTTTTATAGTAGCTTACAACTCTAGATTGAAACGTAAACACTTACCTTAGCTCATCTGTGTACCAAACTATCATTGCTGTTTCTCAACAGACTGCATTTGGATCTGTTTGCCAATGTTGTAAGGTGTAAGTCTATTCCAGGAATAGATGTAAGGTAAGTACAATACCCTTCTAAATCTTTAGACACATTTTATGATGATTAAATTTTCGAAATGGGGAATAGTTCTTTGAATCTCATATACTGGCACCACGGTATGAAGAAATAAATGCAAAGAAGATCATTGCAGTTAAAGACATGATATAAGAAGTTACCAAAAGAAAGCCTAAAAAAATTCTAGCCTGCCGGTAATCGAACCCTGTCCTCCATGTAACCAGTGACTGCACTCTAACCAATTGAGCTAACAAGCAAACTGCTGGGAGCTGGTCATTAAATAGGTTCGTAATATACCCGGGTATTATTATGAACCAATTTAATTTTCAGAATTTGAACCCGGCAACATCACCAGGAGGCAAGAGCTTCACCACTGCGCCACTCTCTCTCCTCAAATCATCGTCCCCATCCATTTGTGTGCTCAGTGTAGCATATGATATTTATTTATTTAATCACTTCCACTATATGGTGTAGAACACACAGCAGAGCGGGGTTCCAATTTAAGAGTGTCCTTACAGATAACCCCACCAGCCAAGGAGAGGTTGGCCACACCACCAGGGTCTACGTCCTCTACTCTTTATAAGTGAAAGTGCTGTGAGATGGGACCTATGCTTTTTTGTTGTTATCCAAGGAGACATGAAAGTCTAACTGCTTGCAGATGTCATGAATTGCAAAGACAGTTCTTTCTCATCAGTTATTTAAAGACCCTGACTGTTGGTCCGGCCGGAGTTTGAACCTGCGACCCTCCGCTCAGCAGACAGGTGCTCTCCCAACTGAACTAAACAGGCTGCTGTATTAATAAGATGGTAATGGTGGGGATACAGTGTAATGTGAATATATGCTAGCTTTTGGCTTTGTATCATTGACTGATCAACAAACGTTTTTCTTCTTGATATTTTTAGACATAAAGATGTGGATCTTGTGATTATCAGAGAAAACACAGAAGGGGAGTACAGCCATATTGAACATGAGGTATGCAGAATATTTAAATTGTTTGTCAAGTTACTTTTGTCAACATGTACAGTCAACTCTATCTAAGAAGGACACCTTTGGGACTGGCACTATGAGTCCATCTTAGGGCGCTTTCCATTTGTCGGAACTGACCGGCCAGACAGTTCGCGTCACAAGGAGAATTTCACTTTTAAACAAAACTATCCAACCAGGTCGGTCAAATCCTAAATAGTATGCAGGAAGGAGATGGTTTTTCAGCAAAAACCCTTTCGAAAAAGCCGATTTCTTTTGCTAACTGACTGGTCCAGCAGTGGTCCGGCCGGCCAGCTCTGACAAATGGGAAGCGCCTCTAGAGAGATGTTCATCTTATAGATATTCAGTTAAAAGGAGTAAAAGAAAACAGGGACCAACTTGAAGGGTCGGTTATTTAAACGAAATCCAACTTAGGCCACTGTTTAGCAAATCTTTGGACCTCCAGATCTCGTCCTTAGTGGATTATTTTAAGAAGGTAAAATAATGCTTTTCTGTTTCGTGAAAGATATCAGCCATCGTGGATAATTTGTATAAAGGGTTTAGTTTATCTTTTGTCTCACGATTGTCACTTTGATATTGATCGCGACGTTTCAACCACAAACTGCAGGTCTTTGTCAGGCGATAGTGTCGACTTACCGAGTCGGACTTTCTTACTATCATCGTGGTTGTTAGTGATTGGTGTATCACGAACCTCGCTCAGGGTTGATGGGTTTCGATCCAAAGCATTGTTGGTATTGTCAAAGGATAGCGATTGGTTGTTATGTTGTCTGATTGTAGGCATCCACCCTTCACTAATCTCTAGTGTACGCCCTATACCTTCAACTAACTTTCATGACAAATCGTGGTAAAAAAAATTGTTATGCAAACTGAAAACGGCTTAGAATGCGGTCTTGTTAAACACTGGCTAAACTCCACTTGAATAACTGGCCCCAAGTGTCCATTTTAGAAAGATGTCTGTCTTATAGAGGGTCAACTGAAAGGAGTAAAAAAATGCAGGGACCAACTCTAGGTGTCTGTTTTAGCGAGGTGTCTGCAAACATGAATTTACATTAAATTTTGTCTAACATCTCTACGCTCTACACATACGCACTATCATATTAATCGGTGCATTTCGTTTTGGCACCTGTCTGTTTAGTTATACAGTCAAACCTGTGTACAACTGTCACCCTTGGGAAATGGCAAGGTGACCGTTATATGCAGGGTGACTGCTATATACAGGTCAACTTTGCAGAAAATATAAGGCAACTGAAAGTTTTTGGAAGTTATCCGGTGACTGTAATACACAGGTTGACGGCTATATACAGGGTTGTTACATACAGGTTTGACTGTAGATCTCGGATGATGTCAAAATGTGGTAAGATCCGGCAAAAGAGGGCTAGTTGGTTAGTCCTTTTATCAGGACTCATATTGTTGCTTGTGCATTTCTCTTTTAGAATGTTCCTGGAGTTGTTGAAAGTTTTAAGATAATGACAGAGGAAAAATGTACCTTGATTGCAAAATATGCATTTGATTTTGCCGTCAGGCATGGAAGAAAAAAAGTGACAGCTGTGCACAAGGCTAACATCATGTAAGATTCAAAATTTCAGCTTTTACAATTTGCATTTGTTTTAACTGCACCTTCCACAGATTTAATTTCAAATTCAGTTTTTTAAGAATATAAAATAATGCAATAAAAAAAGATACGATTATGTACACTGTCGATACAAATCCATCGCACAAAAGTCATTGTTGCATGGATATACATGCACAGTTATTATCTTCCTCAGTGTATCTTATAATTAATATGAGAGAAATTTTTTGGTCTTTGAACAACTGACTCACTATCTTGTTTGTTTTCCATGGATTTTAATTTTGATACAATCTGAAGGTTTTAAAGAGTGCCAGTTGAATGTCTATGTCACCTACTAAAACTGAAGGCAGATTCTTCTTCTAGTTCAGTAGCAAGCCTTTCCTCATTTTTGCTGGTATTCCATCTTAAATTACTGCAGTTCTCATGCCAAATAACTTACGAAACGTAAATATCAAACAGTAGCCCTGACTTATCTCTGTTACATTTATTCTAGAATCCACGGCACCTGTTTTATTTTTCTTCTTAAGTACATATATCTTATTGGACGGTTAAGTGTGTAGTATCGCTGGATATTCTTACGAGTCACGCTCTATTTTGGCAAGCCCGTAGGGCGAGTCAAAATACAAGAGACGAGCAAAAATATCCACTTTTGTCCAGGACTGAATGCACTAGCAAACATTTGCTAGCAAATTGTTTTCGCAAATTTCGTAAAAATCGCAAAAGTAACAAGATCCCACGATACAAAATTAGCTGTTTCCTGATTTGTTATATCGCTGGAAATTTTGAAGCTGGAAATTCATTAAATCTCGCTGTAACGGCGGTCGTCGGTCAACATTCGCGGGTAACAGTACAAGAGTGCACTGTTACCCTCTGACGTCAAAGATTTTGCAATGTTGCCTGCTCAGAGATTTTGACGGAAAACAGTTTCATGGTAAGATGTTATGTTAATTCTAAGTAACCAATGAGAGCGCATTCTGGTAGGAAAAAATTTCAAGCTATGCAAGTATTGTACTTGTTTTGGGTGTTATTTGTACTCTACTGAGTGAAGTTGAATAATAAATTATAGTACATGTATTTTTATAACAAAAAAGGAACCCTTAATTCGAAGCTAATAGCTTGTTTTAAGTCACCACATGATTCAGGGGGCTATGTTGTGGTTGAATTTTTCCTTGGTTTAAGTTTTGTTTTCCTTTGTCTTTGGGAATAATTAAGTATGATAATGAGGTTGAAACAAAGAAAGTAAACTTTAAACCAAGATGAAAATTAAACTACAACAGCTACGACTTCTGCTTGATTATTGTCAAGGACTGAAATTTTTTTTTTTAATTGTAGCATTATTCTTCATAATGTCCATGTTAATATTTCACAACAGGAAGCTTGGGGATGGCCTGTTCTTGAGATGCTGTGGCGAGGTCGCTAAGGAGTACCCTGATATTGAATATAATTCGATGATTATTGACAATTGCTGCATGCAACTGGTGTCCAATCCCCAGCAGTTTGACGTGATGGTCATGCCTAACTTGTATGGTAATATTGTCAGCAACATTGGGGCATCATTGGTGGGAGGACCGGGGGTTGTGCCTGGTGAAAATATCGGAGGCGACTATGCTGTGTTTGAGTCGGTAAGAGCTTGAAAAATAAAATAATAATGATATATCACACCTTCAATCCTTCAATTAAAAGATTTCCCACTTGAAAGGCTGCTCCCTCCTCTTACGCTCTAGCCTGCGAGCAAACTCTCCGGTGCACTCTGGCGGCGGGGCGGGAAAAGGAAGGAGAGCTTTCAACTACGTCTCTGAAAATTGAATATCTAAAAGTCGATGCGAAATGCTGATTGGCGGAGATGACATTAGTACATGACGTCATTACCCGTGGCGGGTGCTTTCACGTGTTTTTCAATGTTTGTTTACGTTCGCGCTCGTCTCCGCTTCGCGCTGATTGGCGGAAATTTGGCAGCCCAGTCGACGGGGAGCCACCGGGGAATTGGAGGCGTAATTCATATTCCAGAGACGTAGTTGCAAGCTCTCCTTTCTTTTCCCGCCCCGCCGCCAGCACCCCCTGGAGAGCTTGTTCGCAGACTACTTACGCTCAATTTAAATGGGTTATGTCACGCTATTTGCTATTCTTTTTAAAAAGCTAAAATTTTTTGGGTATCAGTTGAATTCCAATAGAAATGGTCCAGTTTTGTCTTTTAAGACTGTATTGTAGGCATTGAAACTGGATGGCAAGGACGAACAAGAACTGAAACTGTAAAGAAGTAGGCCAACTTTTTCGCCTTTGATTACTGTGCCTGCAAAAATCACCCAAAAATTTATTATGTTCAGTGCTCTCTGATGAAATCTGCGGTTTGACATCTTCATGATTCTACGGGAGCATTTTGTGTATGGGTAAAGGCCCTAAGTGATGACTTCAGCACAGAATTGACGTAAAACAGCAATACCCTCGTATCATAGCCTCTGTAAAGTATCGTCTCCTCCCCACAGCCCTTCTAGTGTCCTTTTACCATTTTTCGTGCCTACTTTTGTCTATAGAGAAATCAATTAACCTCCGAAATTTTGTAACAATCCGCGAAGAATTATTCAACACATAGCACCAAGAACAAACGATTTTGACTCGTTGACTTGCCGAAAGGTACCCTTAGTACCATTAAGTAAAAGTGCTTGGCGAGACAAATTGAAAAAAAAAGCCTTTTCAAAAACGACGGTTACTTGTGGACGAGGCCTCAATAATCCCAGTGAGGCTTCAATAGCAAAAGCCCTAACGCTCGTAAGAAAGCAACACCCTGAAGCGTTCTGCTAGTTATAGTCAAATGATGTCATTGGTGGTTCATAAGTCATACCTTGTACAAACGCATCCGGATATCTTTGACAGCGGAGATTTTTTCTCCGTTTTGGCCTTCCGTTGTGTATACGTTGTTTTCGGGCTCGAAAAACGCAGGTTTTCGAGAACGGTCGCCAGAGTGGAGTTTTTGAAAACGCTGGCTTAACGTGTTCGTGTGGACAGACGAAAACGGAGGTTTTCGAATTATGATGACATCATACATCATTAGCGCATGCTCTGTAATGAATGCTATCGTATTTCCATCATTTTAGCGTTTTTGTGTGGACAGGCTAAAACAATTCGAATACGCTACGTGTGGACATGTATTTTTTCGAAACGGATTAAAAAATGCTCCGTTTTCAAAAATTTCTGTATACTTGTTGACGAGGCCTTAAGTTTTCCTTCATCGTGTAAATGAGAGAATTTGACAAGTTTCTTTTTATCTTGACAAGGAAAAATCTTTTCATTTTTTCATTTACAATACTCAGGTAACGAAAATTGCTTGCATGCTCCCTTTACTACTACTAGTACTACCATCACCACCACCACCGCCATTCATTTCATTTTTCCTTTCATAATTAAAGTTGGCAATCCCCGTGAGGTTTAAAATAGCAAAAGCCCTAATTTGCCAAGACAGCGAAACACTGAAGCATATTGGCTGTGGTAGTAAAATGACGTCACCATGCAGCAAATGGCCTATTAACCTACTTTTATATTATAATTTACATATTTTCGTGTCATAACCTCTTGTGTTCACAGGGTGCGCGCCATACTGGTGGAGATATTCAAGGAAAGAACATTGCAAACCCTATGAGCCTGCTGTTTGCAAGTACACTCATGCTGGAGCATTTAGGGTAAGGTTTGTGTAATGCTCGAAATAGCGCTAGTTTGCTGAAAGAGTGTTGTTGTTGTTGTCTATCCTTCCAGTTAACGCCCCCGCGAGACTGAAATTATTACATAGGCGACACCAACCCTCCACCAGGAAAAAATAACTGACTATAGAAAGTAGAAAAGTGGGATTTCAATAACAGGAAGTAGAGGACCTTCGTTCTATGTAATATGGTGTGGGACTAAGTCCTCTCGCGACTTTGTCCCTCGCACGGCCGATTTGCACCCTCAAAAGCTGGCTGGGCTCGCCTTACGGCTTCTTCTGCTGTGAAACTCGTTAGGACGACTTATGGCAAGTCTGAGGGTCTTAGAGAATCAGGAATTAAGGTGGACCACACAGAGATATGTGTTTCGTATTAGAGATACGTTCAAGTTTACTATTGTAGAGTGGATTTACTGGGAAAAAGGAAAACGTCATTTTGAGACGGAAATTGAAAAGGGCGAAAGTAAGCGCCCCTATCTCGACTCAGAAAGTTAAATGAGCGCCCCGATAGCCTGCCTGAAAACGTGCACTGTTCACTTTTCCTCACGCAGGCTTAACGGTGAGGAGCGGGCGGGGGTAGAGCTCTGAAGGGGATGGAGAGGGCTCTCCCTCTTCCTCTCGTCTATTTACGCTCCACTTCTCATTCATTTCGCGCCACTACCTAACAGGCTAGCCGGGTTTTGTTTTCTTGGGGATGACCATTACCCTTACAGTATTTTGTGTTGATATTGCAGATGGAATGCTTATAGTGATCTGATACACAGTGCTATTCTACGAGTTGTGGATAAAGGAATGGTGAGTATTTTGTCCTTTGCGCTTCATATTCTGGTATTCTGATGTAGAGTTGGACTTGCCAGAGTGTTGTTTCATCAGGTTATGTAACCACCGATGAAAGACTGAAAGTGTTTGTATAATTCATGAAACACTCTTTGTTATGTAATGTTTGTAATCGTCAACAATTCTTCAGTTTGAAATTAAAAACCTGCAGTCACGGAAGGGATTTCTTTTTTTTCTTGTCTCGAATTTTTAATGAGATCGAGAAATGTGCCGGTAATAAAGTGAATGATCACGAAGTCTTGAGTCAATCACACACGTGCTTCTCAGAATGTCGTCAATGCTATTTTTAAGGATGTACTTAAAAAAATTTTTTAAACTCTGACTGAAAGTGTTTCTGCTAGAAACAAAGAAATTCACAATCCTACAATGGGTGACCTGAGTCGTTTCGCAAAAATTGTACTTTTTCGTCGTATTACATGATTTAAGGCAGAGCATTTATTACATCTAACATGAGGTACCGGCTGTTCCACTCCGGTCAAATGTCTCTGGCTTTCTTGAGTTAACGCCGCAGTGCTATTGCGCAGGGCCATACAAAATGGTTGGTGTATGTAAATATGTTATTATTTTTTTCGCGACATAAGAAGTTTCTCTCTTTTAAAGTGCTTTCCGCTCGACTGAAAATTTTGAAAATGACGTCACAAATCCGCAATTGGGCGTTTGCCTACGCTAAGGTTACGTTCACACGGCACTGGACGGACGAATTTTCCACCGGCAGGAAATCAGGAGCACCCAACGAGGGTTTCTTCCTAAGTACATTGAAAACTCTTTTTAGGCTATCCAGAGTACTTTTAGATCTCCAGAGATGCATTCTAAGCGGCGCTATAAAGCTGGTATCTGTTCGGTCGTCCTAGAGCAACTTCCGTCTTTTCGAAATTATAGGGGCTTCAGTATTATTTTCCCAAAGATTTTAGATGCAATTTAAAGTTTTTCGAAATTTCGAATTTTTCTGATTTCTTTCTCCATCGCATTTTCTAATCCTAAAATTTCAGGTCTCCTTTTTCTACGAAAAACAGCTTAACTTGGGGAGTGTTATGCTAAAAAGTAAACTTCAAAAAATCGTAAGGAATTTATGAGATATGAAGCTTCGAACATTGGCAAGAATGGAACGATCATCTAGAAATTTTTAGCCGTCCTCCAGCTATAGAAAATTCTTGGCAATATTTGCTTCTCCGAACAGATATTTTACAGAAACAGTCGTTTGGTGTCCCTCGGAAATTAGTGCGATGCGTTTAGGTGTTCGTTCACACGGAACCACCTTAACCGTGTGAAAATTTAGATGCCTATCCGTACAAGTTCCGCGGTGTGATCAAAGCGAAAATTTTGAAGGGTGCCGTGTGAACGGCCAAGTGTCAGCTCAAATTTTTCAGCCGCCTTGTAAACGCCGTAGCCTTAGAACTAACTTACTACAGTTCCGGCATAGAGATTTAGTAAGTTAATTACAGCACTGATTTTTACACGAATGATCAAGCGATCGCCTATAATTAGCTAAGCTGCTGTCTCAGTTTAATCGTTGGTGAATTTGTTTCAGAAAACAACCGATATTGGAGGCTGGCATTCCACAACCGAGTTTCTTGACTGCATAAAGGAAGAGATTGGACAGGTTGCAAGATTCACCGGTAACACATAGGTAACACCTGATTATAAAACGCCGGCGATGTTGCTCAGTTTGAACATTTTTTTTAATAAGATGACTGGTGTTGTAAGTTGCGCGAGAAAGACATTGTAAATTATATCATAGCGCATTGTAAATTTATAATTGTACGCTCTATATTCAATTGATGTATTGAAAGTTAATTGCAGATTAGGTTGCCATTTACTTGGTAAATCACGCAGAAAGAGAAATTAAAGTGATTTGTCATTTTGCTGTTATACACGAACCTTTTAATCGTGGTTCCAATAGCCTACGTAGGGCGCAATTAAGAGCGGGCCACGAGGCAGGTGGACGCGCGCGTCGCTTGTCTCGCGCACCATATTTTGTACGCGCCTGCTAATTAGACTTTGGTCCCAGCCACCTATGAACCATTTTTACCCTCACTCAGGTGGACACCTCTTTTATCGCAAGAGGATAGAGTGACTGTTTTTAAGACTAAAGGTAATGGAACAAGACCCCCTTTTCGTGCATTTAACTGCACGAACAATAGTTTACGCAACACCAAGATCCAGCACCACTTGGCGGTTTGTCGTTGTTGTGTTGGTGCTATTGATATTTTGCACTCTAAATTTAACCTGTTCCAGGCGTTCAGATATAAGTAGAGAGTATGGCGCGAAAAGGAGAGGGGCAAAAAAAAAAAACAAAAAAACAAACAAAAAAACAAAGAAAGAAAAGAAAAGAAGAGAAAAAAGAAACTCCCCTACCTCCACCCCCGCTGTTTTTTTCCCTGCTCACTTTTCTTCGCGCTAGCCCCGCTATCTGGGTGCCTGGAACAGGCTACTCAAAATTACCATTCAATGTAGGGCTACAGTCCCCGTACCATTAATAACGTTATCTTTTTGGACAACAGAGAGAATTGTTTTCTATGCATGTCTTACACCAGAAAAATGTTTGCTAATTTGGAAGAAAAATTTGTGATTGTTTTATTGCATTTGGTATGACGGCGGCCAGAAAACAACAGCCTTCTTGCTTTGCTGCCGCGCAACGTGAAGGAAATAAGGGACTACACAATCACAGGCATGGTCAAAAGCAGAGGCAAAAATGTTCATTCCACGTTCCGGTACGGTTACATAATTCGAGGCCCCGGGCGAGGCTCTCGTTTTTTTACTCTTAGGGCAAACTTCGCCTGTAAAATATGTTTTAAGTAAATTCAGGGTTCGCAAATACGCCAAATTATTATTATTGTTATTAATGTGTTTACATGTAGAAGAAAAATTACGATAAAGATCACCCGAACGATGATCATCATCGTGGATTAGAGCCTTTCGAGGTCAGCGGACTCTCATACGAGGCGGTAGCTAACTCATGTTTCCATCATGATAGCGTATACGTGCCAGAACCATGTCTTGTACGCTGAAATAGTATCCTCGTCGAAAAGGTTATCCAAAACTGTCAAAGAATTTGTTTCATTATTTTAACTCTTGTTTAAGCAATAATACATTGCTTGTTTCTTTGTTTTACTTGACTCTAAATATTCCAAAATGACTCCAAAATTTGTGAAGCAGAATTCACACCGACTTCACCCATCCGAATAAAATTTGCAAACGCTCCTGTAAATTGAAAGGATTTGACAAGAATTATTTTGGTTGAATGTATTAAGTTTTAGTCAAATCCTTTCGAAAAGTCAGAAGTGTTTGGAAGGTTTTACCCTTTATGATTTTCTCTTCCCCTCGGTGTTGTAATAAAATGGACCCTTTGAAAGCATATTTGGTCTGAATGTTTGTTTTTCATCATAATTATTTTATCTCGTGTTATTTTAAGAATATATTGTAGCATTATGTTTTTTTTTCAGTAGTATTAAGTGGCATTTATTATTGTAAATTTGCGGCACACAACACTAATTAGTTAGTTCGTTAGCATGTGTACTCTTTGAGCAACGATGGTAGGATGAGATTCCAGCATTGAGAAGCTGCAGTTAATGGAACGTTGAGCGAAAGTCGATAAGTTGAGGAACTAATACTTATGATTTTTCAACCTTCCAAACCACTTCTGCCCATGATTGCAGCGCTGTAGTTCCTGGAGAGAAAGAAACATTAACCGTGCACGTTCTCCTTAAACCCTTGATTTTAATCATTTGTCGACATTTGACGTGGTGGAACGGCTTAAAGTGCATGTAAAGCGAACAGTGAGAAACATGTACATTGGTGTAGGGGGTCGATTAAACTTCTCCGGTACTAAAGTTTGCGCCCGGGTGTTCTCCGTCGGGAATTTCGATAAGTCTTTCCGGTTAGGCACAAATCCAAGTCGCTTGCTAAGAGGCGGGCAAAGTCAAGATCAGTTATAAGTATAATTTGTATTCCTTATTTTCGGAAAGTGAGCTTATTGTTTCTTTATGGTAGCTGAGGCGAAAATAGGATCATGAGTAAATGGAACTGACGAGGGGATAGATCAGCGATAGCCAATTAAACTTGGCTGGTTTCCGAGGATATTTTCTCTCCTGGGAAATATCTAGTCCTGAATTAATCATCAGGAGTTCCATTTGTATTTTTGAAGGACAGTTTGAAGCTAGTAAGTTTACTTTCATCAGTTTGCTACAAGTATTTCCTTGCCTGTTCGTTTGTTCGTTCGTTTTCATTTCTCGGCAGTTTAAGTATTTTAGTGATACTTCCCGAATCCCCATGAAACAATACATTTCTCTGAAAGGAGAGAATTCCCAACGCTTAGAAGCCCTACTTTGCATGCCACAAAGAATTATGAGAAAGTGGCGAACTACTGAATTGCCAAACACGGAATCTGTTTGTCTAAAGCCTTGAGGAACTTGCATGAATCAGCTACTGAATTGAATGGATAATTTTCGGATTTGTTGAAAACTTTGTTGCTTGCCTTTTCGAACATGTTTGTTTTTACCCTAAAAGCCTTTTTCGGGACCCTTTTTTCTAGAGGAACTTAAAGCAACTAGTTGCGATGAATGTTGACGTGTTTTTGTATAAAAAGTACTGATACCTGAGTATTTCGAAAATTGTCCGTGATAACTACACAAGGCCGATTTCAGTAAAACCTATCTACCACGTTCATGAGGTTTCCGCTTAAAGACACTTGTAAGAGACGACTATTTCATTTAGTTAGCAAGTTTTTCCGAATCAGCATGCATCAATAAACACCTTTTTTTGTCCTGTGACAGTCTGCTGTTTACGAAGAGCCGCTGAAACCTAGGGAATCCTGTTTTGAAAATGGACTTAAGTATATGTCATTGCGTGGTGTATGTTACGGGAGAAGCGGACTAGACTAGAGGAAGAATTCTGCAGAGTACACGCACAAAAAGAATTTCAATTAATGGTAAAACGTGACTACCGTGTCATTAATATAATGCTGGCGAGAGTTGAATCTAACTTCTTGACTTTTGAAGTGTTGCTGAAATCACTGCCAACATGACCTTACAGCTCCTAGCAGACACTTTCAAGTGTTCCCGTCATTTTCAATTGTATTATCTATCATTCATCCGCAGCTGATCAGTGACCCACGTATATCTTGATATATCTTGCGTGTCTATACTTAGTTTTCGTCTTTGGTACGAATTTATAACCCAGATGGCGTGCTTCCAAGTGACGTAAAGCGCCAAAGGGGAGGGGTTTACTGCCTTGAAGAAGGTAGGTACGGGTTCACTCAGGATTTTTGGGCGTGTTGATCTGGATTAGAGGATTAGAAGATAGTAAATCAGGGGTTTTACATCATAAAGATAAGTTGGACCGTCTCTTTCAAGTTTCCTGCATGGCTGTTTGATGTTTTGAATTGAATATACTGAAAGCGTAATGAAATGTCAAAGAACTATTGGTTTAAATACTGAAAGAAGACTCAAAAATCCTCCGTAATAGCCTGAGATTAACCTTTTTAATTACGGCATTCAGACCGAGGCATAGACAACTGTTTGGACACCACTGGCCCCGGGGGGGGGGGGGTATTACTTGGGTAAATTTTTGCTGGGTATGTGCCGCTGGCCTCTCAGAGCCCTTACCTCATTATAGTCTATTCTGTGTCCAACTAAAGACCACTTTTGGGCAAAAACGTAATTTTCGCGATCCCAACTTAGTCACTTTCTACTTTTATGAATTGACCCATTTTTTAAACTGAATAAAGAACACTTTACTTTTCATCTGTAGTACAAACATTCTGGTACGTTTGCGAACTGTAAATGTGAAGAACTGTCTTACACCAAAAAATTCGAAAATGTGTGACCCCATTCTAGATATTCTATTGAGAATGCGATCCCATTATAGTCAATCCAGTCGTGAAAATGCGCATCCTCATTAGTCTGTTATATAAAGGAAGTCCCGCTCCACGGAACCACTGGTTGATTTAAAAAGAGTTTTGCACTATTATCAGATGAAGTTGCGCCTCGATACTCGCTGATCACAAGGGGCAATTTGTAGTTTGATTCCATATTTACTTGTGGACGTAGTTTCACTTCCTCACTCAATTTCTTGGGTAATTTAAAGCTTCTCAGTTACAAAATAAAAAAAGAGCAAGGATTATTTTCGCGACTCAACGCCTTTTCTTTGCTTCGAACACGCAACTTTTACGTTGCGGAATATACTTCTTTGCCGCGAGCACGTCCTTGTTCAAGTGACGTAAAGCAATGTACTCTGATGTTTCTAAGAGATTCATGTTATACAGAAGAGTAGCGCTAACAAACATCACGCAGAACGTTTTTTCTTACGTGGGAGATTTTTTCCTTTGAGAAAGTAAATAAACGCAGAAGATCGAGTCTTTTATAAGGCGTCAAGCAGTTTCAAAATCATTCTTCAGTTTGGCTGAAACAAGTTCATCAGAGGTGTCTCCATATGTGGACACTTCAGTCCCAACCAGTTATGCGAACGTTGAAAGTCTTTTTTCAAAAATATATGAATCTCAAATTTTAATTGGTCTCCCGACGTTTGTGCGCAAAAAACATCATTGTCATTACTGTTTGTACAGTATGTAAGATAGAACAACTTAAAAGTTGTTTCAGCTTTTCTTAGTCAAAGCGGACGTATCTTGTGAGAGTATGGAAACAAAACAATGTCTACGGAAAAGAACTGAGTTTTGAGATCTTGAAAGTAAGAAGTAGAGAAGTTTAAAGCAGTCAGTAGTCAACTCCCTTTTTTGCAGACACCCTACAAGGGTGGATTTAGGGTTGGGCCCAGGGAAAACTGCCCCCCCCTCTTTTGTCGGGGAATTCTTTTTCTTTTGTAAACGTGTGTCGGATCGTACTTCGAGCTTTGTTATTTAAATATGCATGTATTTCTTTAATAAACATTGTTAATAACTGAAAGAATCTGTGTTCGAAGCCTAGTACATTTTTTGTCGCAAATGACCAAAGCTACCAGAGTGCATGCAGTTAATATCCGTCTCAAACAAACTGGATTTGACGATTTTTCAGGGAGACAATGTTGCCGCCTTTGCTGGGAGGTTGTGCTCTCGCCGCGCACTCGCTTTGGCCCCTGCTGGCGTCATAAAGTGTTAATCAGTACTTGTTTGACCACAACCACACCTGTGGTTTATTAAATATTTCAGCGTTACATGTTGAATATGAATCCAGGCATTTGCTAAATTTGAGCGTCCAGAATGCAGTAGATTACCTCTCAGAGAACTTCAATCTCAAAAATTTTTGTGGAGAAGCATGCACCCAAAACTCCCTAGAAAAGTGCGCGGTTCGCAGTCCTGATGGGCGCTATCGCACCCATATTGCCACTGTATACTATATCTTTAGGCCCCCTCTATCACAAAATCCTCCGTCCGCCCCTCCCTTGGGTCCGCGAGTTAGTGCTCTTATTAGCGAATATCCGTTATGAAACGTCAGTAATTGACTTTGCAGGGAATTTGGCTGTTCTCCATATTATCGTGGTGTTCGTTATGACGAAGTGTCCACCTGGCAAGAGTTGACTACCCGTTTCCCCAATCGTTGATAAACCCGATTAGAATTGCAATTAAAGTAGCTAATTTCCCCATCTCTTTGTCAGCACCGATCGATTGCGCATCATAAAAAACAGGAAACGCGGAAAAAGCCTTTCCGTGATCGTCTCTTATTTGTAACTATTTATCTTAAAAGAAACAAGATGTCTTGTTGTAGTAAGCTTTACAGATTAAATCATGGACGTGATGGAGATTGTGTATTTCACCTCTAATCCCACTTTGAAGATTTCTTTAACTATTAAACTTACACCGCAGTATGCACGCGCATGTTCACTATATCTGTGGTTTCGTGATTAAGGCGTTACCCTTTAGCTTGGCAGTCATACAACCAAAATGTCTACCTACGTAGCTTAATTGTATTAAATGCATTACCCCGCTAAATTGGCCCACGTCAGCAGAACCAACAGTGTTTTCAAAGTCTCTTTTGTCTCAGAAACATCCTTGCGTGTCCGGTTGAAAGCCCGGGAGGTTGGGGGAAGGGCCTCTGTGATAAAAATCACAGGGGTGCCGTTGGCATCTTGCAGGGAGGGTGAAAAGGTTGTTACCGCTTATTGTTAATCTGATATGACAGCCGATGGAGTTGTTGCAGTACCTTTTGGAGGCCTTTTACTGTATCAAGACAAAAATTACTATTTGTGACTAAACTTGATTGGCTTTATATCCGTCAAAAGCAAGCTAGATAGCTGTTTAAGAATTAGTACCTCTTAGGGGTGCAAACGATTTGAGCCACGCCCACAAATCACGAATCTGATACTTTTTTAATAGCATGCGTAGTGGTTTTGAAAATTTCGGACGAACACCCGTTCAATTTTATATGGGGGAAACACCACCCACCCCTGGGGTTGAAAGTTTGTGTTATCCCCTTCATTTTTTCCTGTTGGATAAGATGGAATAAGGGGAATTAAAACCAAAACAGCAAGGAAGCACACACTGCCACACTCCCGCTAGGCTGCTGGTTTGTAGATTGCATCAACACACGCAAAAAATGATGACATGAAATTTAAAAAGATATAAATAATAATAATTTATCCACATGTTTCTTTTTCAATAAAAATAATAGAAGGAAAAATAGGATAAAATAGCACAGAGAAGTATCAAGACTTGACAAGAGAGATTAAGAGTTTGTAGAATACAAGAACCAGAGTTGTGTCAATGGTAGTGGGGGAATTGGGATCAGTTTCAAAGGCGTTGACATGAGGAGCAGTTGCGGAATAATGCTTAACTCGGCACGTATTCTTAGAAATAGGATGGGAGTCTGAGGTCTTAGGTCAAGAATTGACTGGACTTTGTTCCCCAACTCTGTGTTTTATTGGATGGTAATAATGATATTATGATGATGATGATGATGTTAATAATAATAAAATGATAATCGGTGATAATTTTAATGATAAAATAACAGGCGAGGGTTTTGCTTTTCTACTAAGCACGTTTTTTTGTCGGAAAAACTGATATATCCAGGCTAATTACTGAATATTATTTTGCACCATATTTCAGTTCTTCTTGATATTTTTAATCTTCTTAGCTGATTAAGTATATTAGTAACGACATTTTCTTCGGTCTTTTAAACTTAACATTATGTTGAGAAGGGCAAACTATGTGTCGCTGCTCGCTTTGTGATGTGGAGAACCGGTTGTATCTTAGCTGCACGGACTGATGGAAAAAGCGAAAACTGGTAAGCTATTAAGCTTTTCAAAAGGCAGAGAATGTTGGTCAGTCTTATTTATTGGTTATCCACCTGCTCGCTTGGTAAAGATCACTTTTTCCTTTGATGATTAGCGTCAATGTTAGTATTATATATGCAAATTTCGTCCCCCGTTATATCATTTTCAGAAAAGACCCCGTGATAACATGCGTAAGTCCTAATCTCGAAATGTTTTAAATTCCTTTCTTTCTAAGTTTCATCCAATCACTCATACTGCAAGAACTGAGAAAATATTTATACAGGAAGTCGAAGGAAGAGAAGAGTAAAAATGAGTAAAATGCACCGGCGTTGTTGTAGGGATTACTCGTTCCGCGCTCTTCCGATCCGTGGATTACTGAGAAGACACGTTTAATCTACAGTGTTGTCTTTTTTTGTAACGTTAGGAAAATTCATTGTAAAGTGAGAGAAGATTAGACATATCTATTTTAATATTCAAGTATTTTTATCTCACTCAAAGTTCAATAATTGAACATAGTACAGAAAACCATGTCCGCCAAACAAACGAGTTTAGCGGTGGAATCTCTAACAGAAATTAGGATCAGTAAAGTGGTTATTCGTTAAAAACAGAGCGTCAAATCCATTCTTATTGTTTACTACTCCTTACTGGTGGTGCAGATCAAGAAGACATAACAGGATAAAATAGAATAAAAGAATGTTAAAAAAATCATCCTTCGAACTGTGAAAAAAAAAAGAAAAAAAAACACCGATAAGGTTGTGTTTCAAACTGAAATGTCAGAAGCCAAGAACCAGAATGCATAACATCATTGACTTAAATTTTATTCTGTGGTGATCTTTTTCTCATTGCCGCATTATCAGTTTGCCGCTCTTTTGCTTTCATTATAATAATATCAGCATTTTTTCTAAAAAAAAAAACAACAAAAAACAACATACACAAAACGAAAACAAAGTGTTCCGATAAACTACTCCTTTTTGCGTTAGCTCCGACTAGTTTGATTTGTGCTGCATGCTTTCAGGTCTTAAAAAATCACGATCTCAATTTTTAACTCTTAAGACAAGAGCTCTCTTCTCCATGAATTTTCCGTGGGAACGGGCTTTCTACATTTGTTTGAGATTAGGTTGAGAAGGTGAAACTTCGTTCTGTCACTTTGGATGTCCTTAGTTACAGCAACTCGAGCATGGGCACCATCTGAAGAAAGCACTGTATAATTTCAATCTTGACTATCAGTTCTAGGCATGGCAAAAGCTTTGTCTATAACTTTAATTTTTTGGACTGAAACGTTTTCGGAGCACTAATGCGGCCAATACCTTTCGCTTTGACGCCCTTTAACCCAGGATCCTTCGTTTCTGGGAGAGCGGAAGAATTGCCTCCCACACTAAAAGGGAAGACTGAAGGACCGCCTGATCGCAGGTTCCTTTAAAGAGGGTAGCACGCCTGCGTTGGAGGTTTCCTCGGTTGCGTGCGAGCTAGCCAAACAAATTCAAGAATTCTTGAATCTAAAAAGATGTTTAAATCGAAATTTCTTTTCGCGGTTTTTCAGCTTGTTAGTTCAACCCGGGCCGTGGTTTCATCCCTTTTCGTGGATGTTACAGATGAGTGGAACGTGCTCAGACAAACAAGGAAGCTTTGTTTGATTTTCAGTTTTTCAAGAAACCGCAAATTGCTATATCTTTCCTTATCAACAAAATTCACTGTATGATCTGCACTTCAAAGCTTATTAAAACACTTTCCGGCTTTTAACTATTTTAAGCTTGTCTCTCTTAGAATGGTTGTTTATATTACGTGTTAGTGGTTCTACGGAAAGGGTTAACGAAGAAAAATAAATTTAAAAAAGTTCAATCTGGCGCCACAAAAAAGAGAATGACAGCGGACCGATAAACTCTAGCACAAAGATATCTCTTAAAAGGATAATGCTTTGTAGACATAATTATGTCCAGCTTTCTCTTCTTTAGTTACAGGATGGAAACATGTTTTCTGGATAAATATTCGTTGCAAAAACAATTTGTTTAAGCTTTTTTGCTCTTGAGTGACACCCAAAATGAATTATTTCAGTGGCTTAGACTAAGAGGTAACTTGCTCCGCGGCATTGATTTTGAATTAAACGTATGATAAGTCTTAAAACGCAGAAAGCTTCATTATTGCATTACATCCATGGATAGAGCCAGCATACGTGACATTTTACTGAAGTGTTATCCTGCGTAATCTTTAAACTTCTTTTGCCATTGAGAGCGACACGAAACAGTACGAAAGAAAACACGGAAAGTGGCCGTTCATGAACTTTAGCAAGGAAAATCAAGATAACCTAAAAAGCAAAGAAACTCAGCACCGTACATTGCCAGAGAAACTTTAGCAGCAACCGAAGCCAGTCAACAGGGAATACGTAAGTGAATAAAACCAGTAAAACCAGAAATTAAAGGGGAGGTTCAAAGGGGAAAGATATCACGACGTAGTTTTAGTTTCAAGATCCTCAGCTTTGCTTTGTTTAGCAGTTGTAATGAATTCTCAATTCAGTGATTCAGACCCCGTTTTTGGCACGGGTTCGGACAAATATTTACCTGTGCAATGAGTTTACACGGAACCGGGCAAATTCTGTTACAGATTGCAGTACTTGTGTACGAGTCCATACAGCACTTTACCGTCCAAACATTTACACGGTTCCGCGGGTGCCGTGTAAACGAAAGGCGGATCCGTGCAAGTTTTTGTCCGTTTAAAATTTGTCCGTGTCCGTGAAAATGGAGCCGGGACTCAGATGTGTAAAGAACTCAGATCTACACGGTTTACTGTTTGCCCGGAGGGGGGCACTTTAGGAATTTCTGGGTGGGGATGTGCCGCTGGGAGCCTGGAACCCTTAACCTTTAAAGAGCTTTGTTCAGTACGTCAAAGTAAACTGAAATCCCCTATCCTAGGACTTCTAGAAAAATTTTCATCTTTTTCCCGTTTTGGATCAAACACTCTGTTTAATATATCCTTTGTAAACTGCTTGAAAACCATACCCTTCACAGCGGCACATACCTATATAGCCCATATATGGCAGTACCCCCCCCCCCGGGACTGTTTGGCAGTTTCTCCCATGGGATGCCGGAATCTTTGCGGTACGTCAAAGTAATGAGTGGACTTCCGAACACTTTTTGTTTTGGATCAGTTAAATATATCTTTTGTAGTATTGAAAGTGAGGCCAGGCTGGATTCTTCCTCTCTTTATTGCCTATACAGTAAAGAAGAGGAAGGAAAACAGTATTAGCTCAGACTTATCAGTGGATCATATCACAATCAATGCATGATTATAGTCAAAAAAGCCCACAACCATGTTAAAACTACTGATAAAATCTTGAGGGGTATTCAAAGAGTTTGTTTAGACCTACAATTAGCCTGTTCTAGGTTCCAGATAGTAATGTGAAGAGATAGTAGAATAGGCCCCCCTTAGATATCGCGACCGCCACTGGTCTCTTCCCCTGATCACGTGAGTCTTGTTTTCGCTTGGCTTGTTCTATCCTCGCGCGCGGGTCGCGACGTTGCTAGCCGGACATGGGCTAGTTAAGACCATAATACTTGTATGTCTTATGCACGGCGTTTATTTACTCACAGATGAAAGGGGCATTTCTCTTCATTTTTCCCTCTTGACCTGTGCCATGATTTTCCTTTCTGATATCGTTACGTAGTTGTTGACCGTTCTTATGTAGTAGGCGTGCTCTCAGATAACGCTCTGTTTTTAACTCTATCTTCTTTCGGCCTGGCCTCGGGGTTACAATGAAGTTCAAAGGCTTCGACGAGGAGCAGCTTGCGAATATTTTTATCCGTGCTGTTAAGAACGTGATTGACTTAGTAAACTTGCCAAGTGAGAAAGTGATACGTCTGAACCGAGTTAAGATATAGCTTCAGAAGGGGGCGAAATTTAACAGCTGTTGGTATTATGGGGTGCACAATCAACCCTCACCATAGAAACGCCACTCTGTACAATGTTACGTCTTTGCGGAGCTGTGTCTTCAATAGCTACAATGCTCTAGCTTTCAACAAATCTCTCTCAAACTAAACTTAACTTATTAAAACACGTCCTTTTCAGCGGCGTCGAAGAATTTTTGCTATGTGCTCCATGTTACAAGTTGAAAAAACGGTAGTTGCTATATCCACTGAAAACCGGTCAAGCGACCCTGTATTGTACTAAAAGCGACTTTAAAGAAAATCAGGAAAGTTGCACTACAGCATAACAAACAAACTGAGTACGGACACCTCATCACGGACAGCTCATGGGACCGGTACCAAGTGTCTGCAGTCTGAGAGAGTTGTCCACCTGAAGAACGGCAGACACTAATATAACAGTAGGCGTTCAGGGAGTTGTCCGTCGTTTCGTAGTAGCCTGAGTATCAGGCGTTTCTGGGGGAAAGAAGCGAAAAAGGGAGAGAGCTGAAGGAGGGGGCTTCTCCCCCTCCCCCTCCCCCACCTATAATCTCCGCTCCCCTAGCCCCTTAGGAAGGCCTGATACTCTCTATAGCCTATAGGCTATAGCCTCCCACGCGGACGTCCTTTTGGCTCGTCACGCACCCCTAGGTACGCCTGCGTGGGAGGCTAGTTGTGTCGAGGCTTCCTTAAGAGAGAGATGAATGTAACTTTTTCTGTGAAGATAACGAACACCTCTCTCTATATGTGCACACATGTTGCCATGTTTTACGATGTGAAACATGTAGAATAATTTTGTGAGCTCCCTGGACTGGACAAATGGGTTTATTGACAAATCACTGTCACTTATTGCAAACCGAGACTCCGGTGCTTCCTTACTAATTTGTCGAACGGGCATCATCGTCGTCGTGCCAACATTTTTTCTGAGTGAAAACAACTGTGTACTCCGTTTTCTGAATTCTGAAACTCTCATTTTTTTTCATATTTCAATCAATTCTAACTGACCAGGTATTAATTTCTGAAATTGCCTTAACGTGCGTGATCTCTCCCTTCTAAGACTAGAATTTTAATTAACAACCGCCGCAAATGGTAAGGGATCAATCAATTAACGAATCAACGTAATCGCAAGAGTAAGTTTTCTCAGATTATCACCATAAGAAGGAATTGCATGCAGCTAAAGCATTATGGATAATCTGAAACAGCTCCCAAAAGATGAGCCAAAATAAACTGCTCGTTATGATTTGTTATGTTAACGGATTCTTGAGATAACAGCGCAACAGGAATGCTAACAGCAGAAATGTAAGACTTTACTCAGTTGAAAGAGAAAAATAAAAGCCGCTGAGTTTCCTTCCCCTTTGTAAGACAATTTGACCTGTGAATCACTTTGTTAAACAATCACTTAACACTTATGCCAGTAGAAAATCCCATTTGTCTAATTATGCCAAGGTCAATATTCTTGTCCCAAAAAAGGCAATAAAGAGGTTAACGAAACCATCTAAGAATCTAATTTAATTTTTTTACTTGTGCATTGCACTCAATAAATCTCTTTTGTAAAATCAATTTTTGAAAGGAATGGTTGACAGAAACTTTAGAAAAGTGTATGTGTTGCAAAGAAATGCCGCAAATGCACTTAAAGCTTTTTCAAAATTATTGGGATTTTCATACCGAGCACAGATCTGAAAGGGCAAGTTTCCCTTGCCCCGAAATCAAGGCTAAAGCCACGCGAAGGCCAAAACGCTCTATTGTCCCATCCTTGATTTGGGATGTGTCGGAGGTTCTTAATGTCCCGTTGTCCAAGGATTTTATAAACTTGCTGGGTAAAGACAAAGGAACATATCTCCGATCCAAATCCAGTAAATCAGTCAATTTAAATGTGGCGAGGCTCTTGTGCCAAGCTGCAGCTGAAGCAGTGCTCCGAGACTCCTCTGCATGCATTCAAAACGAGGAGTTTTTTTGGCCAACGACTGTCGTCTTAGTGCGGTGAGAAATAATGTTCTTTGCAAGTTTCTGTTACAGTTTTATCGGTATAAGAAACAAGATAGGCATGTATGCATGATATAGATTACCGCGAGTGAGAGACGTAAGAGTCAGGTATATTTCTTTATAACATTAATGCCGCACTATCTGTAAAAGAAACCTAGTTCGTCCGGTGGCCGAACCTCGTTTCTACACTCCAACTAGTGTACCAAACGGCTTTTTCACCTGCCAGCTGACTTGGAGACTCGCGCATAAGATATCTTAAGCTAAGGTTTGATATGGAGAAACGAGTAACGGCAAAACATAGGTGAGTTCTTAAAAATTTAGAAGGGCTTATTTTCTCTTTTCGTTTACTCTGCACGCGGATTCTTTAACGAATTCTGCTCTGATGATCCAAGACATCCAAGGTCGTTAGCCCTAATTAAGGAGCTGGGAGTCAGGGCGAGCGATATTAATTTTTTTTGAATAACTCAATTAACTTAACGTTATATCGTCATGGCAGATTGACGTCATGGTTTGCCTTTTGCTGATTCCGTTCGCTTCCTGTCCAGTCAACAGTAATAAATCAATCAATAAAAAACTGACCTTTTAGGGTAACAAATTATTGGTAAGCCAGTAGTTTTCATTGTGGTCCACGATGTTAAGATTCCCAACTGGCCAGAGTCAGCAGTTAAAGGACTCGGGACGAACAGAGAACAACTCCGGCTGGCGCAGCCTCCAGGCCAGTTGGCGCTATTTAAGTGACCAGAGGAGGCTTGGAACCGAGTGCGATAGCGGCGAATTTGATTTGTGACGTCACATTCGAAATGGCCGAGGACGACGGGAACTAGGCTGCAGGAAGGGGCTAGGGGATTGATCTCGGAACCTCCATCAGATTACAATATTCCAGCGCTATATACCGCTCATTCACGCTGCCTTCTGCTGGCCGATACTAACAAAGCAATACAACTAGCTGTAAGTACTTCACTTATTCGGGCCTACGAACTCCTAAGAAGTTTCCTTGTGTTCGGGGACAATCAAATGTCCAAAGAATGCCAAATTGAATCTCTTTAGAAGGTTAAGAAGAGCGTTTAAGAAGGCCCTAGCAATCATTGACATGGTTGTTTTCCTGCGGATTTCATTATGTCAGTAAATTGAGCCTCTTTTCGAGTTTCGACAACCCCGCTGAACACTTGTAAAATGCGTTATTGACTAAGCTTTTTTGGTCAAGATGTCTTGACTTTGTCCAAGTTGCTTTCTGCATTTATAACCTGGAGGTCTTTAACATACTGAAAAAAAGACGAGGCTAATCGAGCCATCTTGATCGAACAAACTTGGTCAATAAAGGATTCAAGATTGTATGGCCAAAAAGGGAACTTTTTTTTAAATGAAAGAAGATCGTCGCAATTATAGACGCAACTTTTGCAGTTGCGAAAAGATAACCTGAAATAATTCAGGCTTGTAAGAGATCCAAAGAAAAGGACACTAGAAGCAAGTGCACGTTTTAGAGAGGTGTCCGGTGAAGGTGTTCTTTGGAGAAAACTGACTAGCTGTTTTGCCATTTAATCTTTATTTCCCTCAACCTGAGATGACCACCCTGAAAATCAATGGCAACTCATTTTGACGGAAAATGAGCAGCCTTCCGGTTTGGGTGTGAGATCAAACCTATTTTCGAAACACTTCAGAAACGGATGATGCGATCGTTTGCTTGCAGTAGCTGGAATAACTAAGCATGAGTTATCTTCATTCTCAATTTGTACAACCTTTTCTCACTTTCTTATCCTTGGCTTTTTGCCGTCTGTTGTTCCGAGAATTATTCCTTTTTCCTTCGTCAAGTTGGTTTGAAGATGACCACACCTACCTCAATGACGAACGGTCAATTCTAGGAACCAGGGACAACCATTACTAAAAAACAAAAATAATTTTTAGGAAGCCCAACCTAATTTGCGTTGGACATTCCGGAAGATATCCTCTTGTTAGTAGCTGTTGAAGGTGATTGAGGTCAGGCTAATCTACTGATTAGAACAGTTGCTCATTCCGTCACGACTAAGGAAACATTCTCGAGGTTTAAACTTGTTTATTTTTGGTATGAAACTGTTTTCTCTGTCTGCACGAGCTGCTACTGTAATTCTGCTTATGACTTTGCGTGGGAAAAAATGTTAAGTGTACTCAACCGGAATTTCAGTACTTTCCAGTTGTTCTGTTTGTGGTCAGGCAAGAACTAGATGAAATTTGTTGCGAATGGGTGGTATGGAAATCTCCACAGTGCTTAAACTCATAGGATTGCGGTCGATGACGGTTTGGAATAGCAATGAGGCCTCATGCAGGGAATTGCAGATTGAATAACGTAACGTCCTTTTCATTAAGGTCATAAAGAACTAACCTTTCTCAATAGCCTACATTTAAAATCTAGTTCGCAGCGAGGCTCCTCGAGGCCAGAAGTTAGAAGCACTAAGATTGCGTGCGATATGAAAAAAATAATTAGCCGTAATACCGTCATACAAAACTATAATTGTTTATCATAGGTCAGTGGCCGTTATCAACGTGTTTATGATGTGTGAGGCAAAATCAAAGGGTTGCCGACTTCCTGTGAAGTGTAGTTTACCAATGACAGACGCTATTTCCTCTAAATTGCTCAATAGCGAGCTTTCCGCTTCTCGGGCGTCTCTGCGTCAGTTTACTTATTCGTATGTTAGGAAGTTGTAGGAGCTTAGCTTAGGCGGGCGAGGTATCTATCTGCAGATTTATCTGTGTTCACTATTTTTTTAGCGTGCGCGTGCAGAAGGAGTGATTTCAAAGATAACCTATGTTCTCAAAACAACTGCTATTTCCATCGGATTGCTTTCCCTATTGACAGACTGCAGACATTTATCAAGCACTTCCTTGCGGACAAGGTAAAAGAAAAACGCTACTCGAAGAGAAAATATTTGATTTTCAATGGCATTTGATAAGTTTAATAGGTTGTACAGGGTGGTGCAATTAAAATGGCGGATCGCGTGCACTTTGATTTACTCTTGTTGTTTTAGTTTCTTTTTCATATGAATTTTGTTTTTTCTAACGAAAAGTGGCACTTGGTAAACATGTAATGTAAACTAGATGTCTATAAAAAAGCTTTTTCTGGTCACCTTATAACTAAGCTGACAGATACGAACTCACAGTAGTTAAGCTGAGGCCCGTCTGTCACAGAGCCCTCAACCTTATACATTTCCTGGTAGGCCTTTACAGCTATACTGTAGCCATTAATTTACGCTGTCAGGTATATGGGATAATCTGGAAGAAATTTTCTCTGTTTGTCTTCAATTGATAATTTGAATCACAGCGGGTCACAGAAATTTGAGAAGTGTCAGTTTTGCGCCTACACTTTGAGTGCAGTTGCGTACTGGACGTCTTATGACTCACTTTGATTATTTTATACACGCAGGGCCTTAACAGAGTAACTAACAGAGTCTTTAGGCGTATTTCAACAAGGAAGATTCAACAATCAAGACGTTAAGACAGTGAATAACGTTTGAAGTGTTGTACGTGAGTCATGTATCAGCGAGTGAAGTTTGTGGGTGCCCTTTTATGTGCAGCCGGTGCGTTAATGCTCGTTTTACAACCCTGCGAAGCAAAACCAAAACGAGTTCGCCTCACCATTCTCAAGTCTTTGCTTATTGTGGATTCGCAAGGAATGGACGTGATCGAAAACGCGGTTGAATTGACGAAAATGGCCGAGACAAAGGCGTCCAAGCGTGTTTTCATGGAAGACAACCACTTCATCAAACGAGTCGCAATGGTTGAAACCTCACTGAACAGGTCGTCAAAGGTTGGAGGCCTCTGGAATGTTGACCACTGCGCGTTCAAAACGTCACAGAGCAAACGCAAAGAGAACAAACGGCTAGCAACTTTGCTAAAAACGGTGCGGCGTACGTTTGGAGTGGCATGGGCCAAAGTAAGATATAGTGATTTAAGGAGACCTTTGTATTCGGTTCTGGCCGCACGGATCATTTTGGAGATGACTGAACGTTCCGTTCCCCGTGGTTTAAGAAACCAGGCGAAGTTCTGGCTGGAAACATACCACGCTTGCGCGCAAAAATCTACGCAACAACAAGAAGAAATGAAGAGCAAATTCATCAGAGGTACCTTTCTATTTATTATTATTTAATTGGCTTTATTGCAGGTTTATGACAGTAAGCCAAGATAAACTATAAGGCCGAGCGACCTGATGCTGGCTACAGGTCAGTACGGTAAGTGTGAAGTTTGTGTGAAACAACGAAGGTTCAGCCAGCACTGGAATGAAGACCTGGGTTGTTGACCGGAAACGCAGTGGTGGGTTCCGGTTTGCCCGACTTTGTTGCTATTCACTAAAACTTAGAATAACTGACTTTAACAAATCCTCCACAAGAGGAAAGGTCGAAGACGATCATATAAACTATTTTTAAGCAATTTGTAGTGATTTCAGTTTTTATTTTTAATTTTGTAGTTTGCTCTCATTTCGCAGTCGTGCATGTGGACTGTGTCAGATTTGCCCAGTTTATAATTTACCCAGATTTGGTTTATGACCTGACTTTTTTTTGGCATTAAAACCAAATAAAAAGAAAGGCAACTCGGATGTGAAAACAGAAACTTCTTTGACAGTCATTTAGATTTCTTTTTACTTTCGCAAGGCGGGTTTTCTAGAAAAGACAGTAAAGCTTGTTTTTGGGTGTCATTTGACGCGCGCACGGGTGGTTTTGTGTCGGAGTTTGATCAGTTCACCAACAGCGATAATTCATTGCGCTTGAACGATTGCAAGGCAGTCGAACTTTTTAAAAAAGAGGCGATGTTGGAAAGCCTGGCTCGAATGCCTTGCCGTGGGTTATCTTTTTAAAACATGGAAGCTCCTCATAAAAAATACCGGCAGAACTTCCTTGGAGAAATTTACCGCGCTGTTCCCGCGATCACACATCTCTGTAAACAACTTCGTAGCGGCTAATCGGAGAGATATGGTTCTCACATTTCGCGGGCAAAATACCGTCATTAACGTTTCAATTATTTTCAGCTGATAGCTAAAAGAAATGATCAGTAACGTTTCTTCGTGAAGGATAACTTGTCGTTATTTTCACGTCTGCTTAAGTGTTAGCAAAAGTGTAAAAAGCGGCGTTCTTTTCGAAGAGCACTTCGTGGTATAAGTAAAAACGCTGGAAAATGCGGTTTTCCTTTTAACCCCTACAAACGTCACCGCTGATTAAACCTGTAGCAAGGTGTTTCTAATTTTCTCCCTAAAACAAGTCTATTTAAGTTCTGTCTTTTTGCGAAAGAAAGAAATTTCCACTGAAAGAACTTAATGATCAATCTTTGCATGGTTTATTCGCTGAAGAGGAAACCGTACTTGGTCGTGATAAAACCTTTCTGAGGTCAAGAAGCAACTTTAAAGTTAAATGGATTGATTTAATTAGGCGATAAGACTTATAGAGTCAAGCAAGAAGTGTGTTGGCAGTTATTTTAGAAGTCTGCGACATTCAGTCAAGCGCGTTGTATAACGTTTATATACCTGTTTTCTAAATGAAAACCATTTAAGTGCAAGTAAGTCATAATATGAAGAAAACAAAAGCCACACACAAAGTTTATTGAAATTCAATTGGTGATATTCGTGGCCTAAGATCTGACAAAACTTGTGAAAAATGATTTAACCAGGTGTGAAACAGACGATTGTAAAATTGGTTTAAGAACTCTACCTTACGTTCATGTAAGAACCACTGACACAAGAAAAAAGTGTAGATTTGTAGGTCTTGCAAGGCAAGCATATACGGCATTTGTTAACTCAGGTACAAAGACCGCGTTTTCACAGGGGAGTATTCTCTAAATTCTCCTTTAAATTTCAATGAAAATTGTTACGGGTAACCAGTGGTTTAATTAACCTCACGGAGAAAAATTCCTTCCAGGCCATTCAGCCTGTTTTAATGCGAATAAAATACTACTGTATTTTGATACCATTTCAGACATTGTTGAAATGGTGTCCGGACTGGATATCTCAGTGATAATGATAAAAACAGTGTACATTTTGACTGAAAACATGGTTTGATCCTCGTTCGAAGTACAGATTGAACTGTGCTGTGGTTTGTCCACCCCTACTGGACAATTGACATGCTACATTTCCAAGAAATGTTAAGTAGCTTTGAAAACAAGAAATAGCTAAGAAATTTGTTTTGAAAACTCTTTCATTCTTCCGTCTCTCTAAGTGTTCTGTTATCAAAACTATGTTTAACCATGGGGTCAACGCTCCAGCAACTATCTCAGATTAAATAAATTTACAGCAGATATGTAAACAGGATTTGAAGAAAATCCTTAATGTAAACATCTTCAAGAAGAGTGATTCGCAGTGTTGGTGTTCAGTTTTACGTTCATCAAAAATTGCGAAGAAATGTTTCGTCAACTCAAGCACGTAATTGCAAATTTGATTCAAATTAATCACGTTGTTAAAATTTACTCGTTAAAACATAAACAAATGCTTTGAAAAAGATTTCCACCGCAAAGGGGCTAAATTGTTTCCTGTATTCCACCCCTTCGATTTACAATTCAACGGAATGGTTTTCAATTAAGGAAATAAATTTGTTTCGTAATAGTTTTGACTTCAATTTGACCTCCAATTTCGTTTCCTTTTAAATAATTTTGGTATAAATATATCCGTCCAGATTCGAATGTAGTTAACACTTAAAAGTCAAGGAATTGAGCAGATAATATCGGTATCTTAATTAAGAGAGTTCTTAAAATAGATAGATATGGTAAAGATGAATTAAAGTTTTTTGATCTTCTTTTTAAATCTGGCACACAGCACGAAAACTGCGGCGTATGCTTTGTAGAACAAAGATCGCGCTTCGAACTGCCATGGATTGAAGTGGAGTGTGTATTGTGAAATCAGCCGGGTGTAACTGTACATTACTACATGCATGCCTGCTATCTAAAAGAGAAGTCATTTTTAAAATAGACAAATTGGAGTATGGTTTGCGCAGATAAGATATTCCGGGACGACCACTTAATCAATTGCAGACCAGTAGGAGACAGTTCGGATGTATAGTGGGTACGAACTCAATAATAGCTCTGGAACTTTTGCTAAAATTAGATGGGAAAGAGAGAGCTTTCGTGACTTAAAAAGAGTACTTGAACTATCCGACGACAATGGTGGTCTAATTCTAATAAAAAACACCTTTCTTAACTTTTCCGCTTCTCCCCTACATTCTGTTACTGGATTTATTTCTCGCTCGTGGTTTCTAGTGGAATTGTCCAGCTAGGAAGCTAGTCGTGAAGTTGAAGTGAAAGAGATTTAGCTTTATATAATTGTCGTGTACCTAACATAAAGAACTTGAGATTATCTTACAGTAAGCGGATAAAACTATTTTTTTTTTACTATAACTGAAACTGAGCTGAGAAAAAGGAAAGATGATCTGCTTTAGAAGTTAGAGCAAACTGGAGTTAAACTGAGTTTCATTCGTCAACGTTCTTGTGACGTGAGAGTAAGATCATTTCATTATTGACGGGGGTCGACGCTTTATCACTACATGCCCTATAAGTAATACAGAACATTACGTTACTGGTATCTTACTGGTGGCTTGGCATTTCGTGCGATTCTTCTACATGTTTCCATCATTTGTTTTTAATGGCTATTTCATGGCTTTATCAGCCAGGGTGTGGCACTCATAAGTGTTCCTTTGTCATAACAAACTGTTTTGTGTTGATTAACTAACAAGAGCCATATGTGTTTTAATAACGTGACTACTTGCTTGCCTGCAAACACGTTAAGTATCACCCTGTTTTCATCGCAGCACTTTGCAAGAACGCCCCTTTTCTCTTGTAGATGTTAGCCGCGAGACAAAGTCATTGAAAGAATACGGCATGTTGACTAAGAGGTCATGTTCTACGATCAGAGAGCTATTTATTGGCACTACAAAGTCGTTTAGTAGTTTAACTTGTTCTCTGCATTTTTGTTCGGTGATAAATTGCAAATGATACTGGCGGAGAAATTGAATTCATGTATTTTAACATTTGCTTCTTTTCTGTTACGTGTCCAGAAGAGAAGTTAACGCCTCAAAGGGGGAAGTTCTTTAAGTCATGAAATTTTTTGTGGTTTTTACATTGATTATTAAAACAACACGAAGTTTGGTTTCCTAGGTTAAAGTCACGGTTTCTAGAAACTTCTACAATCGCATTCCACAGATAAGAGCCCGTTTTCACCCCTTATTAGTCCTACAGTGCCATGAAAAACGTTATGTTGTAAAAGGCAAGCCGCAAAGCTGAAATCGGTTTCCTTTGAACTTTTCATTTTATCTCAGTTTCTAAACTTTTTCCCGTTCTGGTCACGCATTAGAGCTAAAAATAAATTCTTTGATCCTCTTTTTGCAACTGTGTAAAACAGCATCATAGACTGGATGGGGAGAAATGAGAGACTTCCAGGAAAATGAAACATTTCTGGGTTTCGATAACACCCCACGCACGCACGCAACCTGTAAATGAGATAGCTAAATATACCATATATGTATTCCATATTATTATCCGGATAGAACTCGGCAAAACAATAACTGGCTAAATAGTTTTAGAAATAATCGGAAAACTGAAGAGCACTTTTTACAGTCTCTGGAAGTCTTTGCAGGGAATCCCAGCATGTGCTGCGAGGCAGCCGTGCTCGTTGTTGGAAATCTTGATACGAGCCAGATTTGTGAAAAATTGGGCTGATCCAACGCTAATTGCCTACGGTTCCAAATTTCAGCCGCCATGAGCAAAGTTGAGGGCGAAAAGGAATACATTTTGTGTTACAAAACGCTAAAACGATCAGTTCAAGTAAATAAGTGTTTTATTGTTTTATTTTGAAAATGAACTTTTGGTCATGTCAGTCCAGTCCAATTTGTGTAGTATAGTTACTCGCTGTGGAAAGTTCACGTAAGCGAAGAAGTTATTCGTATAAATCACATAATCACCGATTATGACAAGCAAATATTTAAAGCCGGTCATAAAGAACTTAGATGAACTTGGAAAAACAAATCTGTTTTCAAAGACCCGTGCTTTCTTATGCTTTTGCAGTATTTTTTAATTAAACGTCAAAGTTTGGCTAAAATTCTCGACACAACTTTTATGTTTTAACCTTTTGTAAAGCTGTGACAAGAAAGTATAAAGCGTCCCTCAATACACTCTTGGTTGTGATTATGACAAAGTGGCTGAGAAATTTTGCTGCTGCTTTCAATGTTCTTGTCTTCACACGTGGTAAAGCAAATACCACTAATCTTAGATACCAGCATAAAGGAGAAAAAGTTACATCAGTTGGCGCGTGTTTGATAAAGTTTGACGCGTAACGAAAAATTTGTGGAAAATGAAGCAATATTCTTGCGCTCAGTGTTTTCATTGCTTTGTTTATTGAACCTAAACGCCCGATAATTCTGCCAGCATATCTGAAAAGTGTAGAGGCTTTTATCAAGACAGAGTATCATGAAACTTTTATTGGAGGAAATCCTATTGACCGTCATGCGATTTCATTGTCACTGGTGCATAAATTTTTATTTCTAGTAAGTAGAAACCGAAATGAAGTTCCCAGAGGTAACTTCTTGGAAGTGCTATTCCATTCACTTGAATTCACTGGTGTGGTTTGAATTTTTTATTTCTATATTTTGGTGTGCATTAGTGTGTCAGTAATCATGTCCTGTTCTGTCCTCGTTCCGAGAACTCATTTATCATAGATTTTGCAGTTCAACTGTTCTCAGTGGTTGTCTTGCAAAGTTTTAATCTCCTACAGATGGATAACAGGATGATCGGCTCAGACAACACTTTTGTGAAAGAATTAATTGAAGACAAACGTTCCCCCCTACTGAAAAAACAAGATCAACAACAGTTCTCTAGGAACACGTCAAAGATTTATGCAAAAATGAATAAATAGTCCAGACTATTGTTTTACCTGGAATCACTAAAATTGTCAAAGCTACAGTAGAACGATATCAGTCCAAAAAATTAACTAGTTATAAATTTTAGTTAGAAAGGTTATCTATCATACTTCAGTGATTCAGAATCGGAAAAAGGCGATGCTTGACTTTGCTAACCCATCTCAAAAGAACAAAAGATCCAGTAAAACGGCAAACACAGCAGTAGCAACAATTACTGTAGTAGAAACTAAAACAAAAACACTATAAGCCCTGCAATTTGAATCCGCTAAAGCCACAGTTTCGTTGATGCACAGTCAGTGGTCAAACTCGACCTGTCCACCACTTTTCCTCATTGTAGTAAAAGTTTTGACGCACGTAACCCATCTAATTTACTTCCTTCTTCAATGCAATATTATTTGAGGATAATAAGCTGATAAAACTACCCCCAGCCGGCAATTCAATCTAAATTAGTTATGCTCTATTTTAATACCCTTTTTCAAGTATCGTAGAATAGCGGACTTGTACAGTTTGTTGTGCGATTCGAGGAAAGTCGGCAGTTTTGGCGTAATCAGATCTGTTATTTTGTTTCCGGTGTTTCACACTACATTAAATGCCCTAGGCAATGGATATGAAGGTGTATCACGACAATCATGAAAGCCTGAAATAACTGCCTCATTTAGTTGTCTCAAGCGATATTGAGATTAACTGTGGTAAATTAACATGCTTTACTGAATGTATGCCGCAAACAAAAAGCCTTTTCCTCGACTTTCAAAGGTCAGGAGTAGGACTATAATTTAGGCTCATTAACTAACTGATGACAGAAGTTTGAGAAACGTTGGAAGAGTAGCCGCCTGGCTTTGAATTTTTATCTTTTTGATGGGTGTAGATTTCTTTGTCATCATGTAATTGGCTTAGTTGAAAGGGGCCTAAAAAAGTAAGGGATTATGTTGAGTTTTGTTGCCTGATTCCTTTTTACCTTAATCACAGCTTAACTAACTTTCAACCTCGAGTAAGTTGATGTTTCAACTAACTGCTGAGTACTGTGGACAAAATTTTAGCGGATGTGATCTCGTTGACTGCGGTGAACAGCTTCACAAATTTTCGATCAATTTTCAATTCATGGCACGCTTGATGCTTTCAGCGTTTATAATAGGATTTCTTCTCTTTGATGTTCAATTTAGCAGCCTGTGTTGGGAATGATGAATGATGTAAAAACCATCAATATCGTCAGTTAACTGTTAACTGTTCGTGCTTATTTCCCGCATACTTTCGTTTCCTAATGCGCCTTTCAGCAGGAATTTATTTAGCTTCAAATCTTCTAGTGCTTCAACCCTTCCGTTTTTGACATAGTTACTTGTTCATTTCTTCCATCTACGTAGTCCATAGTCCTTTTCATTTCTTTTGAAATTTTGAGCAATTAAAAGTAAAAATTGCCAGCCAAGATAGGTCTTTCTAAAACTAGCCCTCGAGCCTCGAGCAGGGCGGTAAGGTGCAAATCCTCTAAGTCAGCTTGAAGGTGGAGTAACGTTTCACTCCCTTACGTGGTGAATTTGGGTAAGCGCGCTGCGAACTCTTTACCCCCAACTTGGAATATGAAAAGCGATTCATACACTTGAGTTGAGACAAAAGCCTTAAAGCTGTCTCAAATGTTCATTTAATATTTGGACAGGAAGAGGACGATCAAAAACGTTTTTCTAATCTTAACCAGGGACCCTTTATCTTTTGCTTTGCTGCTTTGAAAACCTGTTTGCACAGGTCGTTTTTCGTGTGATTTTTCCCTGAAAATTTTGTTGTGATTTTGTGTCCTTTTCTTGGCGATTTCATTGTAATTTTTCAATCTTTATGAATAATCCATGGCGCTAACCATGGCTACAGTCGCGTCCCCAGAGCTGTCATTCTTTAGGCCAGCGTCACGAATCAATCCATGGATCCATGATGGCGCTGACCAAAAGAGTCGCAGCTTTTGAAACGGGAATAATGGTGCTGTTTCTGCACAACGCATGCGTTATGAACACTTAGCCACCACGGTATTTTATTGCAAGATAACCGAGATAACTAAGCGGGTTACCATCCTTAGCAACAACGTTTGAGATTTGTCAGTAATTTCGCATTTTCTTTAACAGGCAATCATGAATGTGATCTTGTTACAAGTGCTTTTTCACTATTTACATTAATGCATTTTCTTCAATTCTGTTTGTTTCCTTCGCTTAGTGTTTCGCGTCTGTTGATAGGTTAGAGAAACGACCGTTGTTGTTCCTGAAAAGGCTTTGGTAATCTGGTGTCTGTCTCGCCGTAATCAGTAAAATGTGTGGTTGTATGTTTAAGCTCTGCTTTTCGATTTTCAACAGTGATCAACCTATACTGATACGCACCTCTTGAAATCAGCTCAATTAGCCCGTAATGTTCTTACTGATTCCCCTGTGTTTTTTTCCTTTTCTCTATATGCAGTCGTTAAAAGGTCCTGCCACAGTGAGCTGCTTAAGTGTGAACACTTCTGTCGTGAGCCGGCCAATGAAAAGGCTGAATGTGGGTGCAAGGGTGGCTATGTTCTCCAAAGTGATGGCACATCTTGTGCAGGTAAAACTTAAAAAAGCTCAAACCCCACCACGTCTTGGAGCCCCCGAAAAAGCTCAGCCACGAACTATAAGATACCAGGCTTTACACAAGTCGATCCTTCTTCCTCGATAAAAGCGATATAGTCTGTGCTTGTAAACGACACAGATTAGCATACGATTGCTTAACATATGAGACAGCGACTGTCGATAACAAAGGACAGGAGTACAGTTCTCATTCATCTTTATCTTTTATCTTAAATTGTAATAGCCGTCAATTGAAACTTAACCGACGATATATTATTTAAAAGTGTTTTTTGATGGTTTAATGTAAAAACATCCCATTTTCATTTGATAAATGGCAAGTGGCATTCGACTGTCGATAGCAAAGTACAATAGTACAGTTCTCATTCACCTTTATCTTTCATCTTTTATTGTAATAATTGCCAACAGAAACTAATTTGGCGATATATTCTTGAAATTTGTTTTTCATGTTCTTCATGTAAGTTAACACCCTTCTTCATATGACAAATGGCAAGCGGCAAACGGCAATCGAAATAAACGGCGGGAAAATCTTGTAGTCATCGTTGCTGTAACGTGAGCAACCGTTCCTGCATTTATGGAAACACTTCTTTGTCCCTTTTTGATCATTTTGTAGCCAGTATATAATAGTAATCCAAGAAAATTAATTTTGCAATTGCTTTCTATGACAGTTACCTCAAATGTTTCTTGAAAAACGACATTTTCTTTTCAGCTGGGTCTTCTCGATCACCAACTAGTACCAAGGCTGCTGAGCCTCAGTCGACTGAGACCGGGTGTGGGAATGGACTCAAGTGTGAACACAAGTGTATAAAGTACGGTGGCAAATCTCAGTGCACGTGCAATAACGGCTATCAGCTGCACATGAATGGCTTTAGTTGTGTTGGTAAGTTTTCTTACTGCACAACTCAATTTCTTACTTGACTAACAAGGGGTACTTACCATTTTTATATATAGGAAAACCGCAAGTTCTGGTTAGAAAATCAAATGGTTCGCGGAATTCCGTTTGGGAAGCTTCAGAAAATATGGGCTGTAACTTGGTGCGATGTAATTTTTTTTCTCCTTTGATTTTGACATAATTTGTGACGGGTCGTTCTCCCACCTCGTCAAATTTTATAGTTTTTTTATGAAGCAAGCTCTCCTACAGGTTACGGTTTGTAAGCGGGTATGAGTTGTCTCGGGATGAGAATGTATATAATACGATTGCTTAGGACGAGGTAGTTTGAAGGCAAACTTACCACCAAAATCACCTCCTTCTCTGTGCAAGGAAGCTGAACGAGGGCCAAAAAAATAATAATACGGCTACCTGGGGAGACTGGGATCTACAGTAAAGGGTACGAAAAAACAAATCTTTCCCGATGTATGGTCATAACCCCCTCTTGTAGAACAATGCCAAATCTTGTTCACATATTTATCAAACAATGCCTTGTTTGCATGTTTTAAAAGTAGAAGTTAGCTTAGATGGAAGGTTTTTAGGTGAAAGTTGTAAAACAAAAGTTCAGTAATAGTTTGAACGAAGAACGTTTACCTCGTTCTGTTTGCCTTGAATTCATAATTATAGGCCACTTCTTGGCTCAAATCAAGGGAGACTGGATCTCCATAGCGTATTGCTCAAATTACAAAATTGTTCATCTCTGATATATTCTTTGTTTCCAGACATAAACGAATGTCGGCAGTCACCATGCTCACAGCTGTGCACAAACTCTCCAGGATCATTTTCTTGTTCTTGTAAATCAGGATTCGAACTGCAATCGGATAAAACCACTTGCAAAGGTAAAAGCAAACTGCAGACTGACAGGTCTGTGAACGGACAGTCTAGTCTTGATAGCCTGGCAAAATAGTCCGATAGTAGGGCTTAGTAGCTATCGATAGATTGCGTCATCGCTCAGGGAGTGTGTGCCACGGTATAGATACTTAGCTTGGTACCTCTCTGGTCCCATATATGGTGGAGTCTTGCTAACCCTCGTAAATACGCACAACCTTCCAGATTTCTCTACGCTGTATAGTGACGCGTGTCTGAAGTTAAGAACATTAAGGAGACAGCGTGGCCAAGCGGTTAGAGAGCAGACTTTTAATTTAGAGGCTCACATCCTCGGCCACGCTTGTAAAGTAGCCAGTTAGTTCGCCTTCTACCAGCTGGAATTCTTAACCATGTTATGTTACATTTGAATTTTTTGTTTCTTAATCCCTTAAAAATCCCATAAGTTCAGAGAATATTTAAGTATTTACATTTACATTCAGTTAAAATCCATGGAAAACGCGAGCGAATATTATGTGTATATTACAATTCTATCAACAGAAAAGAAGATTAACTGTTCACCGAACGATATCGCTTGCATCGAGAAATGTTCCCAGTCTGGGAACTGTTCATGCCCACCAGGAAGCGTGATGTCCCCGGATGGAGAGACATGTGTTGGTGAGTGTTTCAATCCTTTCTACTGTACACTCCGTGCAATCTCTTGCCATTTCTATGGTCAGTCGTTAATTAAAGCCTCCGGTCGACACTTGTGTCTCCGCTGAACAATGGAAACGGTTCTCTTCATCGCCTTTAAGGAGTTGCGCTCTGCCAGGAAGTCTGTAGTAAACCGTTCATATGCGCACATGTTTTTTGTCGAGAACTCGATCACAGTCTCACAACTTGATACCGTAAGAGAAAGACCTGGTACGGAGAAGAGACCCGCTCACTAACATTATTACAGCTCATGTAGAACCGTAAAATTTTAATCTTGTTTTAACGCGCTATTTTGAGTTCTGTTTTACCCGATTACGATTAATGCCGGCCAGCTTACGCAAGATTAAGAGGTACCATTACCAACAATTGGTGCTTCTTGAAATCTAATCGAAGTGTCTGTAACAATGGAAATTTCCTAAGAACGGTCTGGTCTTGCTAGGTTTTTTATAACAGAACATGTAAACTGTGTTTTATGCCAAGGACGGATCGGGAAAGTATCTAAGAGAAAAACTTGAACGAAACGTCGAGTCGGTGATGTTATTCGGGAATATTTAGTTCTATGGCTTGCCCACTTGTTACAGAATGAGTCTTGCCTGGTCTGTCAATGGCTAAATTGTACCCCAGCGGGAAAACTTCCCTACTTGTGCTGTTGTGTAGTTTCGGCGAAAAACTTTGGGAGTTCCTCCGGAGGACAAAAGATCTTAAACTGGTTTTAGATCGTGTGTTTAAATTAACATAGCTCATTTTCACGTCAGTTGTTTATTATAATCGAGAACCATCAAGCAAACAAACAAAGAGAAGTTCTAGAGTTTAGCAACTAATTTTTGATGGTTTTTTGATGTTCGCTGTGAGGCGTTAGAGGTCATTCGATTATTTTACTTTTCTATCTAAACATTTCGAGCTTATTACCGTTTGTAGTGTAATCCAAAATAGTAGCAATTTAATGGGAAAACGTTACTCAGTCGCTTCTCTCATCTTATGCAAAATATAGGAATTCTCATTTGGGGCTTGTAACTACTTTACCTTCTGTGAATCATTAAATTTGATATTGATAAACCCAGGAACAAAGACAGGAAACAATGGCATTTGTGAATAGACAAATTTAGAAGTTCATAGTTGACCTCTGCATATACCTGTAGACACTAAGTCTGGGGTCTAATTGCTCTTTTGACACAGTTCGCTTTACAGATTTCAAATAGTATTTCCGGCAAGTAAAGGGAAAAATTAAAAACCAAAATAATTATTAAAAAAAAACCTTTTTTTTCTCACGCATCGGAGCATGTTTTAGAGACCTTTTACGAAGTGCTCTTAAACATAATTTAACTAATTTTAGCAGTGGCTGGTTCAATTTGGGCACGGTTAATTTCCACTACATTGTGTTCATTAATTAACGCCAGATAATGGCAAAAGCTGGAGCCTTCGCCGTGTAGATGTCGAGTGTTTGCTTAGCTCGGATAAGGGACTGCACTGACATAGGCTAACAATACAGCAGTTTTAGAGAAACGAATACGTGTCGTTGCTTTACAAGCCAATCTGTCAGATCATCGGTGGCTCTTTGCATTTCAATAAACAATTTGCACGTCAGCATCGTTCGGCCACTTCCACCATCACTCTTCAACGTTTCATTTCTTTAAGTGTTGTTTTGTTCAGATTGTTACCGTCGCCTAGTTACTATACATTCCTGTTCAAGCTAAGCTCCTATTTTCTCCATTAACTCTGGCAGGAACGATCGCCACGTAGGATATTTAAGTAATTGTTTTTTAATAGTATTGGAATCCCATTAGTCTAAGCCGACTAGAGCCAATACAGACATCGAAATGAAATCTTCTTGGAAATGTCCTTTAAGATCGCAGGCAGTCGAAAGTTTAGCTTTGTTCTGCTTATTCCATCCGTACAAATGAAGATAATGAATTTGGTAGAGTAATGGCTTTCTTGGGGTGACAATTGTTTTGTGGCATTAGAATAGAAAAAGTTTAAAAGCCTTTAAATTCTTAGTGATTTCTTTCATCACAATGGGTATTATGGAAAATTGTTTTGCTCCAGATGCATTTCATAAGTTTCCAGGTCTCATCTATCTGTCTTTATGGTCTCTATGTCTCATCACATTAACGTTTCAAATTCAAACAAACATTTTATTTTAAAAAAGCTTAAAAGCAATGGCTTTGTCACCGACTGACTTGGTAACTACATGCCCTCACACTTTGTAGTCCCTCTTCTTTTAACGTTGTTAACCCCTTAAGTTTTCGTTTTTTTCATATTACTTTTAGAGGTAAACGAGTGTAGCTTGTTCAGAGGAGTTTGCCATCAGAACTGTGTGAACACACCTAGAGGATATCGCTGTTCCTGCAGTCAGGGATATGAGCTGGATAACAATGGAATTTCCTGCACAGGTGAATTAAGGGATGGGGAAGTGAACACATGACGACGAATTTCTCTTTCTAAACTCCGATACAGTCCTTTAGAATTCAGCTTCAGAAAAATTCACCAACATTTGACAAATTAAACGAGATGGATTAAGAGTGACGTGGTGTGAAACAGCGCGAATTCGCTTTTCAAGGCGACATCCCAGTTTGCGTTTGTCCCAGTAGAGATGAGATGTTTGACGTCACTTTACCATGGTAGCAAAGTTTCTGGATCACAACAATACGGAGCCTAAGCAACGACGACGACGCAGTGAGAGCGCAAAAAACCAATAGGCTTATATTAGTAAAACATCAGCTTTACATGTGCATCACCCTTTTTTGTACATTCCCTAGCCGTCGTTGCATGACTGCAACATGAAGTGTCCTAATTTGACGCGCCCCCTTGATGGAGTAGGTGAACTCAAACAAAAATTTTTCTTTTTCTTTTTCTTAACTTAGCTACGGTCGTTTCGGATACAGCCCCCCAAAATTTTGCCAACATTTGTCAAATTAAATGAAATTGAATAAGATCGATGAAGTTTGAAACAGTGCGCATTCGGTGACGTTTTCGGTTTACTATTACCCAGAAATTTTGCTACCGTGACGTAACGACTTCTCTCTATTTTCAAGAAGACCTAGCCTCTGTCAGGCTCTCAGAAAGAACGGACATCGCAAAAACAAACCCGGCGAAAACAAGACGCGCGTGATCTGGGGACGTGGGCGGTGGCGGGAAAGGAAGAATCGCCTCCTCTCTCCCCAGCCCCCGCGTGTCAGTTTTCCTATCATTTTTTGGAACCTGGAAAAGGCTACGAAGACCTCTCCATAACTATCACATGAAAGCAAACGGAAAGAAAACACCTATGTTCTCACTCTACCTCAGTTGCTTTATTTTGTTTTCTGTTTGATTGACTGTCTTTATTTTTACTCGTATTAAAATGCCATAATAAGCAATTATACGGCCAAAAATATTCTTTCTTCCCCCTCAAAATCAGTGTGTCACATTACACCTCGGACCACCATAACGGCCACATTCATCTTCAACGGCCACTTACCTCTGCCCCAAGGTGGCGGTTGAATTGAGGTTGGACGATACTTTATAGGACTGCCCCTCCATAAAAACACTAACATTTGATTTTGCACTTGACTTGGTCGGTAGTGCCAGTAGGTCAGTCAAAGAGAAAGGTACTAATCGTATTAATTACATCCATTTGACATCCTGGTGCAAAACAATGAAATTGCGCTTCACAAAAAACCTTTCCTATCCACCATATTGTGAAGCACCTAACCCAGTTTTTCACCTTTCCTTTTTCTATTTTTTTTTGGCGCTAACGTCGGTTCTGTTTTATCGTGGCAGATATTGACGAGTGTTCGCGGGGAAGTCATGGATGTCATCACAACTGCCGTAATGTTCCTGGTTCTTATTTTTGTTCATGCAGACGAGGATTTCGCCTCAGTAATGATCTTAAGACTTGCGTAGGTATGGAACGCTTTCATTATAGCCTAATTTAAAAAAAAAAAAACGAAAACCAACAGTCCCCACTCGCCTTACAAAATGAAATAGGTATAAGCAGTTAGCGTTTGATCTCAACAATCAGTTCAAACTGTTCATGCGTCTTTGAACTGGTCATTTGTCCAGAAATTAGACAGTGTTTTCAGGTACATTATCAGCGGCTATGTTAGTTTCTTGAAACAAAAGAGTGTGTCTACGTAAGAAAAGAGTTGAAGTCCTACTGGATTGGTCTGTATAACCAACATGAAAGTCACACATTTCGTTGTTTCGGTATTGCGGAGGCGACCCCATCTGAAATGGTGTACGGGGTGTCGAAATTAACACCAAAGGACAGCTCGGAAAAGAAGGAACCTGTTTCAAGCGAGGGATAAAAGAGTTAAAAGAGAGAGATACAAGCCTAATATCTTGAAAACCTTTTTCATTGTTGTAGATATAAACGAGTGCGCCTTGTATCCTGGCACGTGTCCTTTTCCCTCGAGATGCCGTAACACGATTGGTGGACATACCTGTGAATGTCCCAAGGGATTTGTGATGGACAGACAAAAAATCTGCGTTGGTAAGTATACATGTGCATTGCATACTTTAAATATGTTACAGGAACCTAAACTGGCATCCAGATCTCCCACGGACAAATCTACAGACGGTCGGCCAGTGAATTCTGGGTAGCAGATTAGTAAGAACCCTGAAATGCTGGAATTAACAAAAATTCTATTGATTTCCACTTGATTCCTTTTTGCGATTCAACTAAGATTTAGTGCCACGAGAAAATCCTGCCAAATGCTGAAAATTTCTTGATAAATGTTACCGTACTAGCGCATAAAAATTGTTTAAAAAAATCCCCCTGGTTATGGAAGAGTGAGAAAGAAATGTGCTAAAACTTAAAAACGATGGTGGGCCAACGTTTGCAAATTTAACAGTGTTATTTAGAAACGTATTGCCAAGCCATCGATTTTGGTTTGCTCACACTTTATCAAATGATCTTTTTTCTTTCTTTCTCTTGTTGCTCTAATTAATGCCATTTTGGACATCTGCTGAGAGTACTTCATCGTTGTTTAAGATAGAAGAAGTACAAACAACAATTTACAAGTTGTTATAGACGTGCTTTTAATGAGTGTTGTGTTCTTTTTGTAGATGAGAATGAATGCGCAAAATCAAACGGAGGTTGCAGTCAAAGGTGTGAAAATTTCCCAGGAAGTTTTAGGTGTTCGTGTCAATACGGCTTCATGTTACAAGCAGACAGGAAAACTTGTAAAGGTAAACACTCTTTGTAGACCGCAAGCCTAGTAATCTTATTTTAGTGTGAACGGCGCACTCATCGTACAGCGAGCGGTGAATTTGTGAGACGTGAGAGACCAGGGTGTGCTGATTTAGCAACAGAACGGGAACGGCAGTTGACGATGGCGCGCGCAAATCAAACAACTGGCTTGACCAATGGCCAAAAGTGTGGTACAAAACCTATCCGATGTGTGACGCTCCACGTTCGTGGTCGGCGCGGCGTAGCTTCGCTTTCTATTGTGTGAACGGAAGCCTTATTCGGACTTAGTCTCCCTCCTTTCTGCCGGTATTCAAGACTACAAGTACACCCTGATAGGTAGTAGAGCTAGCGAAAACTCGAGCCTAGGAAATATGGCTCTACATCCTGTGACGACACGCAACACAAGGTGTAAAGGGGATTGAGACTACTCCTAGTCTACGCGCGTTATTTGTTTTATAGCCAAATAGGTAGACAATCCCACAGAAATTCAGAGCTGGCAAAAGCTCGGAGATCGATGGGAGATAGGGGTGTGATCACAAGCAACCCACGGTAGGGGAAGAGAGGGCACTGAAAGCGAGTCCGTGTATTATGGGATTATCAACACAAGACGCACAAAGTGTGGTGTTTATCAGGCCAATATTGAACGAAATACAGCCATTCTCTAAAATTTGTATAAGTAATGGCATGATTTGTAGAGATATTTGGCATAAATACCACGAGTGATATTTCGGAATTGTTATACATAATTTCACGAGCCGTTAGGCGAGTGAAATTTGAGACAATTTTGAATATCACGAGTGGTATTTATGCCAAATGTCACGTAAAAATCATGCTATTATTTGTTTATACTACTACCCACAACACGTTTGTAATTTTCCCATGTAGGTATATCATACCACTGCTCTAAGCCAATCAAATTCCAGAAATTTCTCATGTAGTAGTATAAACTGAGAAACCTATAGACGTCCTGACAATAGTTCATTCAAAGCGAAGCTATTGACATGAAAATGATTTTTTATTCTCATGCAAAATAAAACTCATTTTCAAAAACAAAGTTTTTGCACTTAGCTTCGTTTCGGAAATAGCCTGTTGTTCGGAATTCCGTAAATTTCTTAGTAAATTTTTAAGTGTTTGAATGGCCCCATCTTGTTATATATAGCCGCGCTTTTTCACATTCCTAACGAAAAGCTGTTTGTTTTTCAGATATCGATGAATGCAAAAGATACTCATTTTTGTGCCAATTTAGTTGCGTGAACACTCCAGGAGGGTACAAATGTTCTTGCCCACCTGACAAGCTCCAACACCCTAATGGATTTATGTGCCTATAACGACCCATACTGCGTGTTCTCCTACTGGAGTGGCCATTTAGACAGTTAAACAAGGAAACTTTTGGAAATGGCTTAACTGAAAGAGAATACCTGTATGATAAAAGCTGAAAACCTTCTGATCAGCCATATTCAGTACCAACACGCCCACACACATTGTCCGCAAGGAACTTGTTTCAGTTCAAAGCAGAACAATTTTAAACATTTCGAGGATAGAAAATCAGAGCATCTACCCGTGTCGATTACTCGGAAAGCGAAAACATGGACAAGAAGTATGGTGACGGCAGCGCTAATCCCAGGTCTGTTTTATTGACCATTAAATGCACTGAGTAAAGGACATTCGATTACATTTTAATTGTAAAGGATTCTTTAAGACTGTAAATACCGTGGCCATTAATGTTGTATTTAATTTACCTCGGGTAAGGTAAAAACTTAGTGAAATCTTTTTTAGTTTAGTGAAGTTTCAAAAAATAAACTGAAAAAAGTTACTTCATATTTCGAAGCCAGCTGTAAGGGTGAGACAATCCCAAGACATGACACGGTGGATCTACGTTACTATTGACTGGTGAGAATGAATTGATATGTTTTCATTGCCAGATTTCGTTTGTATGAAATACAGTCAGGACGTTCCTTTAATTCTTGGAAAAAATTGGTCATATGTGTCGTAGATTGACTGTAATGCGCATTGTTAGGCGATGCCTTGTATTTATAACTTAAATCAAACGAAATTATTTGAGTAGAATTTACCAGTGATTTCTCCAAATTAATCAATAATTAGCAGAGATCTCTGGTATGCTTTGACACACTTCCTAACCCGTAAATGATAACTCCAGCGAACTACTTGCTTTTCAGCCGTTTTAATTCGTTGTTTGTACTTACACCGTCCCTGATAAAAAGTGTTTTACAGCTCTTATTAATGAAATATAGCCCAAGTAAAGTTATCAGGTGTTTAAATGTCAATTTTATACGGCATTTTTTCCTGGTTGCTGGGAAGTTCGGACACAAACATATCTGTCTGCGCTTTTTTTATCAAATGAATGTGTAAAATATTCTTTATAAGAATGACTGATCGCCTCTGAACAGAGGTAGCATTAGCGATTGCCTTCGAAGTGAACGAATTGAAGCAATCCAAAGATTATTTCACACTGGAACATATTTTCGGTAAGAGAATTGCAAAAGTCGCAATCACAAAAGCCTGTTGAAACGATGGCGAAATAAATTTTATTTGAGTGGTTATTGTTAAGCGTAGATTGTTTAAAAGGAAAATGCTTCTCACGCAAAGTGACAAATGTGCCTATGAATTCGTGGAGATAACACTGAGGTGGGAGAGGTCCTGAGGTCAAATAACCGAGTATTGGGCATGGTTAAATTAGCAAGTGTGTACAAACTTATGCTTTTACGGATGTATTCGGCTGTCTACACGCGAACGATGTCATCGTTAAAGATGATAAGTGTGGAGGAAAGCTGTAAATAAAAAGAACAGAGAGATTTAGTGTCTCACGTTTACGGCAAACGTCAATTATTACCACGTCACGCAGTTTTCCTTTCACTTACTGTTCACTGTTCTTCATATCTACCCCCAAATTAGTAGGATTAGGCCACTTTTATCCGGAAAAAATATTTTGCACAGTTTTTACCTCAGAAATTGTCAAACTGAATCGGACGTAAGCCGTTTGCAGTAAAGCAGATTCTAAATCTCTCTATTAAATACATAAGATTATAAGATTGCAGTAAACTTATATAGTCATGCGCAGAACGCGCAAATTGGCATTTCGTAGGGCCACTGCGGCGGAGAACAACAGTAACCGATGTAAATGAGATTTGTAAGTTTTGCGCATGATTGTTACACTCGTCTGTACAAAACGAATTAGACGAAAGAAGCGAAAAAGAACAAAATAAGAGAAAACAATTAAACTATGCCTTGAACAATCTCTAGATGAACATGCGGGCATTTTCTGTTGATTTTGTAAGTACCGTTATCTCATCTAGACAGTTGATGATCGTACACGATTATCCACAATATTTTAAAATAAAAGTCTTTGTAATATTAAAAATATTGTCAATATATTTTTTTTCGAGTTGGGAGAAGTAGTTGTAACTTGCTTTCTTGTTGAAGAGTGAGTGGCGAGGCCATTCCGAAACCCAGCACGAAACCCCACCTTTCTAGCTCTCTCCTCCGCAGAGCTTCCCGCTGGATATTCCAGTAAAAATAGCAATAATAATAGCGATGGGAGGAAGGAAAAGGCGGGAGCCTCCACCATATTATGCGATCACGATGGCGCCGGATTTCCGAGGAAGACTGGAGATAGGTCGCATTTGGCGGATATGGCTCTCTTTCGCTCTTCTTCCCTTCCCATCGTTTCCCGCGCGCCTTCATTTTTCCCTCTCCCCAGCCTCCCGACGACACAAAGAGGCCTCTGCGCGTGTAGAGGAGAGAACTTTCTTAGGCTATACTCAGCATAGGTGGTCTCCTCGTTACAAGATTATCGAGTAAGCAAACGATTCCATATTCTAGCAGTACCACAGAGACGTCAGGCAGAGTTCACTGTAAGAGGTGCTGTTCGTGTCAGAACTAAAGGGACCTGATTTCGTCGAAAGGGAGTACTTCTCTTGTCCCTGTCCGCTGTGTTACCTGGAGCTGTGGGGACTAAACTGTCAACCAATCTTGGTCTTCTTGGAAACGGGCTCGTTGCTTTTCCCAGCAGTCATGCACTAATCACAAAATACAGAAAATATTTTAATACAAATCATAACCGCCATCTACGGTCAATTGGTAAGGGAAGTGAAAAATAGAATTTCAATGTTACTTTCACCCTCCAATTTCTTTTTGTTAGCTACTTCAATTAATAAGTGCTATCGTTAACATAAAGGCACCCGATCATACTTTGGTGTGTTACTGTTAAAGAGGCGGTGTCACGGCTGCCTAGTTCATAGGGCTAATATTACCAATGAGGCGTTTTAATTCATTCATTAACGAGGAATTTACTCGTAAACGATAGAATCAAAGCTTAGTATAAAACAAATATCTCTCCCAAAGCATTATGTCAAACGTTACAAACAACAAACATAAACTTTGAAAAACTGTTAGGCTGACAAGTTTTCAAAAACTGCAATTGCAATCCGTTCTGATCGTTTTCAAGTTTGTCCATCCGTATCTCCTTTTTTGTGTTATTTAG